CTCTGGCTTGCACCTGCGGAGTGCCCCAAGGCTCTGTTCTCGGCCCTGTCCTCTTCAGTATAATCCACGAGATGTCCCTTTGGTTTCCTCGCCTGTGCCAAGTGTACAATTTGCAGATGACATAGCCCTGTACGACTCCCTGGTCTCAGCGGCGGAAGCGTCCAGAACCCTCACCACAGCGGCAACTGCTCTGGCCGGTTGGCTGAAGTCCCGAGGCCTCATCTTGAACGCCACCAAGAGCCAGGTTCTGACTATCTCTCCCCAGCAGCATGTACAGGAAGTAACAGTCAAAAGCGGCGACTGTCGCCTCCCCTCAGCGTCTTCTGCGCGCTACCTCGGCGTTCACCTTGACAATCGCCTAGATTGGGACACCCATGTAAACTATGTGGTCACCAAGGTTGCTAAGAAAATTGGCGCCTTGTGGCGGGCACGCCGAAGCCTATCAAGACGCTTTCGTCAGGTGTATGCGAAGGCGGTCACAATGCCCGACCTGCTTTATGGCTCCTGCTGCTTTTCAGCCGCAATGCGAGAGGGTCAACTGAAACGACTGCAAACCGCGCAAAACATCTCGGAAATCGGATTTATTCAGTACCATCTGCATTTGGGATGACGGTTCCGCCGTTACCCTAGACGACACGCCCTTTTCCGCGGCAGTCTCTACTAAAAGCACCTGCGTTGCTGTCAGATCCTGGGGGGGGGGGGGGGGCGTATTTCGCTAACAAGATCTGTGGCTCGAGTAGCTCTCTCCCTCCGAATGCGCCCTGACTCCTGTCGGCTGAGGGCTATTGCCTCGTTCAGTTGGTCTATTGGTGCAATATCATTGGTGCTTGTTAGAGGTGCTGCTGGTCTTATGCAGGAAGCCACAGGAGCCACAATCTGTCTGGAGGCGGAAAACTCTTTCCCTGCCTCCACCGAGGGCACAGGGATCGCCATGCCACCAAACGAGGCGTACATGCCGACGAAGGAACAAAGTACTGAAGATTAACCATGGCTAGTACACTGTAGTAGTTAAATGAACCCAGGCGCAACCCCGTTCTACCCTAGATGTATACGGACACTGTCCCTGAATATTTGCAGTCTACGTAATAAACGTACTGACTTGTCCCAATTGATATCGGACACGAAAACTGACATTGCTGCTGTATGTGAAACGTGGTTTAACAACTTCGTTTCGTCGATGGAGAGACCAATCGCAAACTATACTTTATTTCGGCTTGACAGGCGCGACAAACCCGGAGGTGGTGTATGTTCGTATGTTAATAACTCACTGTTTAGTCACCTACGTCCCGACTTAACAGCCGATGGCGTTGAAAGCATTTGGGTAGAGATCAAAACTTACCCACAACCTCTTCTTGTCGGGTGTATTTACCGCCCACCGAGTCAGTCACTAGCAGGCTTTCGAGGCTATGTTACACAAGGCATCGGGAGAAGCCAAGAATATTCTGCTTTGTGGTGACTTTAATGTTGATCTGGCCAGTCAATCTCCCACATCCCAGCATGCCTCCTTGCATGACATCACAACCAGCTTAGGCCTGCATCAACTTGTAAAATCTCCAACACGCATAACGCTGCAAGGGAGCTGCACTCTATTAGATCATGTCTACAGTACAGCTCAAGTCATATCCCCGCCTGATGTGTGTCCAGTTCCGTTCACGACCACTGTGCTATTGCAACCAAGATTTACAGCATTGCCTTCTCAGCGACTTTATCGAAACTTCAAGAGAATGGACTTGACATCACTTCGTATGGATATATCTTGCGCCAACCTCTGTGAACTTCGTGGGTCCTGCGACGACATGTGGCAACAGTGGCTGTCTAAGGTTGTGCCCATTCTTGATGCTCATGCTCCATTGCGCCACGCGTCTTCCCGACCAAGACAGCATTCACCATGGGTCAATGAACATTTGTTCCTGTTGATACGACGACGGAACCACGCTCATCGGAAATGGCTGCAATCTGAGTGCCAGACTGATTATTATGCGTTTAGAGAAGCCAGGCGTATCGTGACTCGTATGAACCGTGAATTGAAGACGATTTTTTTCCAGTCTACGTTCACCAGTGTTCAAGGTAATCCCAGGAAAACGTGGAAGGTTTTGAACGAGTTATTCGGAAGACAACGTGTTCAATCCGTTCCACAATGCTCTGCAAGCAACATTGGGTGTGTATTTGCTGATGTTGTCAGTGATCATCAACGAGCACCTGAACTGTGTCTTCCACAGGGCCCAGTGGGTTTTACATCCTTCAGTTCGGTGTCAATAGGTTGTGTGCGTAAACTGTTGGGTTCCTTGGACACCAGCAAAGCGACAGGCAGTTATGGAGTACCCGCATTTCTTCTGAAGTCCTGCGCTGATTTGCTAGCTCCCTCCTTAACATTGATATTTAATGCATCTCTTGCTGTTGGTTCTGTGCCGGACGGCATGAAGTTGGCACATGTCACGCCGGTATTCAAGGCTGGAAATCCTCAAGATCCGGGAAATTATCGCTCTGTGTCTCTCCTGCCAATTGTGTCGAAGCTGTTAGAACGAATTGTCCCTAGACAACTATCCTCATTTCTGGACAAGAAGAATTTGTACCCTCCCTGTCAGTTTGGCTTAAGACATCAACATTCAACGGAAGACGCTCTAGTTTTCGTCACGGACACGTTTGTTCGCGCTCGCGATGCCGGACAAATTACTGGTGCTGTGCTCGTGGATATGTCCAAAGCATTTGACAAGGTCAGGCACCAAGTGCTCATTAATGATTTGTTTGAGCTTGGCATATCTGGTTCAGCATTAGTTTGGTTTGCCGACTATTTTTCCAATCGTCGCCAAATAGTGCACATTGCTGAGAACTATAGCCCTCCTTTCCCCTGAATGTGTGGCGTTCCCCAGGGCTCTGTTCTTGGTCCGTTGCTTTTGTACCCTATGTTCGTTCGATCCAGTCCATTGTCTCCGAGTTTTGTGTGAAGGTTATTCAATTTGCTGACGATATTCTATTGTATTTTTGCGGTACGCAGAAGAATGCGCTTAGCAACTCCCTGTCTCCAGCTGTGTCAGCCATTAGTACCTGGCTGTCAAACCGCAATTTAATTCTAAATGCCCGGAAGACACAAGTGCTCTTCCTGTCTACGCCACATATTACTGACCACCAATTTGCAGTCTACTGTCATGGAGTGCAGCTCAAGCAAGTGACATGTGCAAAGTACCTTGGAATACATTTGGACCAGGATCTTTCTTGGAGGACTCAAGTTGATTCTATGGTCACCAAACTTGCCAGTAAAATTGGTATTCTGTTCCGGGATCGACACAATATTCCGCTGAGTTGCCGAGAAACCTTTGTAAAGTGCCTCGTGTTGCCAGATTTTCTATATGCATCAAATTGTTTTTCTGCTGGCCTTTCCTTAACCCAGTTAGGTAGGCTTGAACGAATGCTAAAGCGAGCTTTGCGTTCAGTGTACGATACTGGTTTTTGTAGCCCATCAAGCCCTTTATTTGCGAGACTTGGTCTAGATCGTTTGGCATCCATGTATTGCAAGAAATTACTGTATCTGACGTTGCGCTGTTTGGAAGGCCGCTGTAGTGTCACATTAAGTCAAATGTTCGAGCGTTTAAATAATGCTCTTGTAACACGCAGCCTTGTATCACGCACTCCTAAGTTGTCCATGTTCAGAACTGCCTTTGCCCGTCATGGCGCTTCCTTCCAATGTGCTAAGCTGTGGAATGATTTACACCCTCTAGCTCGCTGTGTGGATAACTCCGCCCATTTTAAGAAACTGTTACCCCAATGCCTTGCTTTTTCACGCTAGTACTTATGACTTTCAGCTATGCAAAAATGCAAACATGATCACCTATCCAATAGTCTATTATATTACATGTAATTATTCATATCTTTTTGCATCTTTCCCTCAAGTGGCTCTATTGTTATTAGGCAATTGACTGTTATAGTCACCACTATAAATAAAAATCCTATCCCATCCTAAACCGCACTGGTAGCGATAGCAGCTTTATTAGTGCCGACTCGTCCGAACAGGAATGGCCGCTGAGCGCTGGCAGCAGCTTGGTCGTGATGGCTGCGTCGAGACGGGCCAGAAGACTCGCAGGCCAGGCGCTCAACTTGCAGCGTCCACTTGTCGATTAATTCTGTGATGTACTCCTCGCAGAAGACAGTTGAACCGAGTGCGCCGCCAAGATACCGAGCACCCTCGGTCACAACGCGGATGCCCGTGTCCCCGAAAAGCTGGAGAGCCAAGGCTGAATGCAGCTCCTTGACAATTCGTGTTGTCTTGCTCGCGTTAGGGTAGTATCCATGGCCAGGGCCATGCTCCAGAATCCCATCCCAGTACTGTCTTAGATTGAGGAGCTGCCCGCCACCAGAATCGTCATCAGCATACCATAGCTGCACCACATCGGGGCAGCACTCTGACAGCTTGTCAATCAATGGCATCATGGCGACCGCGTATATCGCCATGGCGAGGGGATCACCTTGGCAGGTACCCTCCTGACTCCTTATCTCGCCACCACCCGACACAAACAGGCGACACGGACTGCTGTAGGTGTTCACTACTACACCTACTACTACTACTGTGTGTTATGGTTTTTTTATTTCCTGTATTCTATTTATTTATTTTTCACGGAGAAGGCGGACAGCGCGAACGTGCTGGTTGTCAATGATTTGTTTTGAGTTTTGCCCGTACTTCCAAAAGGTCTCGCGTCCACTACCCATTTACTACCTTACATTTTAAGTGTAGACTCAACACCGCGGTACCATTGAACAGACTCTGACGTATCCTTCCATTCTCTTACATGGCAGATGGTAGTAACAGCGCTGTTGCGGTCTTGTGGTTTGAGCTTGATAAAGCCACGTCTACAGTAGGATGAGAAGGAGCGCTGACCAGCAATGGACCAAGACAAGTATCTCCCATGCGCAACAGTCCTAGATCGACGTACTAAAGAATCATTATAAATGAAACTTATCCTCCTGCAGCAAATTCATTTCAGAGAAATCCTTCAGCGGAATCTTTATGAGTTGGATATTAAAGGCATCATGGAAATGAAGATTGCTGTAAGTACAATGCAAACCTAAATGGCTTTCTGTAGCTACTTCGAGACCAGCTATCCTTCAAAACCCACTGTACTCAATTCTTCCACGCAGGTCTTTTTTGCCCTATTGGGAATTGCGTCACTGGAGGCGCAAAATCCATTGGACACGAAAGGTGCGTTCACGGAAATGTTCTTGTCACGAGTCCCATAATTATTACTTGATGGGCTTTGTGGAGTGGGTCGCACTCCGAACGGCGTAGCCATTAAGGTATTGGTACTATTTATTTATACATGCATATGCATGCAATGTACGTTTGAGGGAGCTGAATAATCATCATTCGATATCGTGTTCTTGTCCTCGTGCTATTTGCTGCAGTCACTTTGAACGGTGAAGAAATACAGGAAGATTCCATTTTGACGGACGTAAAGTTGGACGATGTATTTGTCTGCTCCACATCGAAGATGAGCGATTTGGTGTGGCGCAGAGGAGGAACCTCTGACAGCACTGACTCAAACATTGAAATACAGCCCGATATGATCCTAGACCAGAATGTGGTAACGCTAAGCTTTACCGCTTTCGTAGAAGACGGCATTTTCATATGTGGCGTTTGCAACAACTGTGTGCGATTCGCAATTTACACCCCAAGTGAGTAAAGAATCATATGAAGTGACCCAGTAGTGCTGTTGGTAGTAAAGTAACGATAAAAATTATCCCGATGAATGTGACATAATTGTCATGATTGATAAAACTTTATAGAAAAGAAAAAGGACCAAAGAACTACAAGTTACACTATAATGTTCGCTACAGGTAGTTGTAGAACGTCAGTACCGTCGGTTAGTGTCGTGCAATGTTATCGCATGAGCTGAGTGTTTAGTAACTGGTGGTAACTTGTAGTTCCTTGGTCCTTTTTCTTTTCTATAAATTTATCCATGGTTCTCCATCTGAGTTCATTAAGTTAATGTAATTCCTCAGTGACATGACCTCCAAATCAGAAAACAGCTTTACTGAATGGTTCGCCCATTTTGTTCGACAAAACCGGACAGACCACTCCACCATGGGAATAGGACCATGCATTCAAAGTGTGTTCGCTTAGTTCGCTACAACAATACACAAGGCCGAAGGGTCACTTTCGGCGAGAGGTGTGGAGCAGTCCATTGATGTCGCAAAATGCTGATGCAGGGTACTAGTATTCAATCATGTCTTGGACATGCTGAAAAACAGTCGTCTAACAGAACGCCCAGCTTCACAGGAAAAGGGAACACAGAATATTGGCTATGACGCCAGGATGACAATACACGAGACACCATTGAACAGCAGAGCCATGGCGCACCTCAAAACCGTCAAACAACCTCCCCAACAGGGAGTAGGATTCAGGATTAACAATGATAAGTCTAGAGTGGCGCGACCATGAGATCAGACAGACCTTCCGCTTATCTTGGATGCACATGAGCATTTGTTTTCATGTTCGTTCTGATAAGAAGGAACCGCCCCGTGAGGGGGGGGGGGGGGGGGGTCCTGAATGTCGTGCTGTGTTCAGAAGATTGTTTTCCATTTGTCGCATGTACGTGCATTTTGATTAAGATGCTTTTATAATCACACCAAGAAACCTAATCTATGCAAATCATATCGACTTGAATTCGCACTTGGTTGTTAGATGGGTCCCCAGTAACCCGTTAATTAGTCACGTCCATCGATTGTCTATTGTCGCACTACGTTTCTTCACACTTGCGATTGCGATTGCACATTATGCCTACAGTTGTTGTTTTTCACTGCTCTTCTTTGCATTATCTTGTCACTCCTCTAATAAATAAATAAATAATAAAACAGGTCGCGTAATGAAGCAGCATAACGATAGATGTGCAAAGTCATGATGCCTGGTCCGCTTCTGTCCTGGGTTCACTAACCCGTGCGTTGCAGCCGCGAGCAAAACCAGCTCAGGCTGAGAGTTCCCTCCATGATTGCTTGTCCAAAGCGCGCATTCTGAGCCCACTCAGATCAGTCATGGCCTTCAGTGGCATGTCTCTGGCAGCTGTGCTTGCCTTGACTGCCGTGGCCAGGTTCGATTTCGGGCGTCCACGCACACTGGTGACATCTCGACGGAAGTAGTTGTCCATTGCCTGCTGTGGCGGGGCATCTGAGGGCATCCTCAGAACATGACCCAACATCCGGAAACGGCGGACAGCAACGGTGTGCGAAAGTGGCTGTGTGTGTGCTCTGGAATATAGGTCTTTGTTGGAGATGAGGGCGGGATACCTAATTCCGAACAAGTTCCGTAGTTGACGTCTATGGAAGGCGTTCAGCGTTCAGCAGTCACTCCTCTGCTGAACTTAATTCTTTGGTCCTGTCCTTTCGATTTTTGTTAGTGTTTCACCATGAAAGTATACTGGTGCAAACATTAATAAATTGTTATCAGCGTTCTGTCTCTCCCTGATGTTTTTAATCTTACCTTTCCTTATGGATTTGGCATCCCCTTTTGCCTTTTCAATTTTACAGATACAACAACGCGGGACGCTCTCCTGGGAGCCACCAGTGTTTTGGCTCTGCTTTTCGTGTTGTCTTTGACATTGGCGCTTTACGCCATACGAACAAAACTCCGCATAGCGGAGGCCCTTGATCACCAGTGAGTCTGAAATTGGTTATCATCGTATGCCTCGTGCATTGGTGAAATTATCTTTGGGAAATGACACGATATCGGTTAGGCCTTGGTCTGATATTGGGCTGCACAGAATCAGTTCAAGAGCAGGGACAGCGCGAAACAAGAATCCTTGATTAGTACAGTAGCTATTCTGGTGTGCTCAAAATCATCCTTATTTTTGGTTGTGGTGCCTGGTGGTGTATGGTGAGTGGCGATGGTGGTGCAGGTGGTGATATTGTCGTTGTTGTTGTTGTTGGGGTTGTTGTTGTTTTTTTGTTACTAGCTTACTGCTGTTCTTGTCGTTGTCATTATTGTTCCAGATACTGCTTCTTCTTTGTTGATGGTTATTTGTATGTCATGCAAGATTCTTGCGATATGGCCTAACCTTCTGCTATATCTACGTACCTTGATTGAAAGTCCTGAAACCGTGAATTAGATGATAGCGTATGTATCATACAATTCCATGGCAACATTATACCCTTTTTTGTTCTGGTCCTGTAGGCAACGGGAAAACCAAGCCCGGCGAGCCACCGCCATCGAAGACACGGTCTTTGTCCGCAGGGTGGATGGCCCTCCGCAGTACTCTCCGGACCTACCACAGACAGACAGGAGGTAAGTGAAGGGGAAACATGGTAACACTTTTGAAATTTAGCCACAGTTCTGATGACAGTATGCTTCTGGGAAGGGGATGGAGGACTTCAAAACAGGCAATGACACTTCAATGAGCACAGAGATAAAGAAACTGGAAAATCCAACCGCGCATGCCTGTCCATATACGTTGAGACAGCTGATTGAAGGAGAAGACGGAAAAAAACTGAAACAAGCCTTTTACAAGCCTTTGGGCCATGCATGCATCGAGCCACATATCAACGTCCTCTATATTCCTGAGTAACAAGCTGGCCTGCTGGACCCTACGTTTGTGGAACACTTTAATCAGGAATACTCTTGTCGGGTTGACAATATTAACGGTTATCCATGATCACTGAATTGGCTTGCAATGGGATAGTCGTGGGCCGACTTTGGCACAGTGGTGGAGCTTGCTCTATTTCCTGAAGTTGGCATAGCCGTTGAGGTGGCAGTGGCCAACTTATACGCAACAATTACGAGCGCCATGTTCAACATTACAGCCCGTGCTCATATTAAGTGCCCGCGCTCATACATTGGGATAGGGGTTAGGCATTGGCAAAGGGGTTAATCTCTTCAGAGCTAGTTTTGCACAACAGACAAACATAATCCCCACTGTCTCCTATAGTGGTGTCTTACAATCTTCAGATCTAAATAGCCGACATGGAGACAATAATCATTACAGTCATAGCGATGAGTAATACAGTTGCTTGCCCTTTCCCTTTTAAGTTAAAGTCATGATACTTTCACTGATGATTGTGATATGAAATCGTCCTGCACACCACATGTCTTTCGTTGCAATGCGTGTGACAGGAGTGTACATCTTATTTACCCTTCAAAATGCACATAAGGTGTTTTGTTTTATAATCTCTGTTACAGAGTACTGCCAGCGGAAATCCAAGCTGGTGTGTGGCCATCGTTCCGCCTGGCCCCCAGGTCGGCGGAGCGCAGAGAGGAAGTGCACGCTCTACACAGCAGAGCGTGTAGTGCCTCTCTGCGCTCCCAGTCACCGCAAGCAGCACCGTCGCCCGTGGGCCAGGCTCCAGCACTGCCACCACCACCCCCTGATTCGCCTCCTCCTCAATACAAGGAGGACGACGACTCAGAGACGTCCGTCTAAATGGTGAGTGATCTGTGCTCAAAATAATATTGACCTCACCCACATGCATACACGTATACAACGCCTGGGAACACATACCCAGGCACACACACACACACACATACACATGCGTGCGCAAACATAAACAAATACAGACATGTGTACACCAAGCAAACAGAATACCAGGGAGTGGGGCTTGTCATACTCCCTGGCCCAGGGGGTGGGTTTTGCCTCAATCCTTTTTTCCTTATTCAATTCTGTCTTACAAATTTTGATGAGACAGTGCATTCCGAACCAAGAATTGTGCAATAAACGGGAACAAGCGAATGCATGTGGCCCTTAATGGTTGGGGCTCCCAAAGATTTCAAGACTTGACATAGCCAAGGTTTGAAAATTTTCAAAAAAGACGGTTTTCTTACGTGGTGCACTGACAAACAGCCCCGCGCTCAAGGGATTAACACTTGTACTTGTAACTATCTGAATTAAATTATTTGTCGCACCCTGTGTAACTCTAAACCATGAGTCATCATACACGGTACGGCACTTAGGATCCGATTAGTTAGCAAAATTAATGTCTGTGCATTGCCGACTTCTTCTTTTTAATATCCAGCTCCCCCTTGTCATCATCATCCCCATCACCGTCACCATCATCATCCCCCATCACCATCATCACCATGCCTCTCTTCACTCCCATTCAGCATTATTTATCTCATAACTTGATCTCTTCCGTAATTTTCAATACAATCATCTACATACTTTATCTGGTCATCACGACCATTTCATCCATATAATTATGTGTAATTTGTAAAATTAATAGTTGTTAGAGTTACATGTAACTTGCTAAAGTACTTTTATTGTTATATTCATATTAGTACTTTTATTGTTATATTCATATTAGTACTTTTATTGTTATATTCATATTCATTGAGTTATGCTTACATTGTTAAAGTAGTCCAAATGTCACTTCAGCTCGTCCTACTTATTGCCATATTAAAATCGTTGTCTCCTCGTCGAATATTTATGCATATCATATTACATTTACTTTTCTGCATCTATTGTTCCTCTCGTTTGCTAACAGTAAATGTACTTCAGATATAATCACTACTTGGATGCAATGAATGGGATTTACTTTATGCAGTGAATGTGATTTTCTGTCTTTGATCATTTTGTGGAGGGTAGGGTCCGGCCGATTCTGCCGGCAGAAAAATTGGCAGAATTCGGTACTTTTTCTGGTAAGTTTCATGCATGTTTGGTATGTGGATAAAGAAATGGAGCAGAATTCGAGGAATTGCCCGCCGTAAGGTTTGTATGGTTCTGCCAATTTCACTGCTTTTCGAGCAGAATCCGCGGGTCCCCAGTGGTGGGTCTGATCTACTCATCTCCCACCGCTTAGGAGCTGCATCTGCGCCTTGATCCAAGAGGGTGGTGGCATTCCTGCGGATTAGGCACCAGCGGATCATGCCGCACTAAGTATTGGCATAATTCGGTGGTGGTTGAAAATTTGGATCACAATTTATTTGCCATCCTTTCGGAGGTACATGTAGGAGCATAACTACATCATTGTACCACAGTTCTAGAAATGTAGGCTACACAATTGTGTGCAATGCACCTGATAAGTGCTGGTAGTCTGCATGGCAAAGGGTTCGGAGATCATGCAGATAGTGTTTTCAATGAAAAGCAGGGTAGAAATCACGGCAATACAATATTGTATTCTCCAATTCGTCTTCTTCAAAGTTCTTTCTCACACTGATCTAGTACATGCAGCATGCGAGTGAATCCGCCTTTATCAGGTATCCTGGAACTGACGAGATAGTGACGGGTAGCCCGCAAAACGCCATGACTGTGCAGGCTATAGATATTGCTCAAGTAATAAAAAATATGAGGATAGTTGATGTTCGGTGCTGATGGAAGGAGAGGTGGAGCTACGGGATAGATGAGCTGATTATTCGCCGCACAATTCCATGATTTGGCGAGCATAATCCGCCGGAGCCTACTGCGAATGCGAAGAGTGATATCTGTCATACGAACTCGGCATGGGCATACATACTTAGTACTTCGAGTACTAGAATTGGCCGGCGCTGTCTGGACATGGGAAATCCTACATCATCAGCAAAGCAAGTTGTCGCTCTGCTGCAAATTCTGTAATCATCTCAAGCAGTTCAAACATTCGAAGATAAGCATTACCACAAGCTGTCTAAATGGAGAGTGATCATACTAGAGCCTAGAGGACATCGACAGCTGTTCGGCCTATGTACGTCAAGTGTTACAAACGTGTTGCTCAGTGAGCGAGTTTGACAGGTTTATTGTTCCTATCCTGTCCAAAAACAGACAAGTAGAGTCCAACAACAGCCATTGAGTATCATTCAACTGCATCCAGCATCCAGCATCCAGTCTACAAGTCCAAACTAACTTTGCAATACTGTAGCATAGGGTAGCTTACAAGAACATTGTAGACCTCCCCAGATTTCAATCATAATAATGTTGCTGCCATGTATTGACAGCTAGCGGCTGAAGTGCGCACACAACTAGATGGCTAATGATAATCCGTCGCACACCTACATGTACAGTGTACATGACATGACTCTTCGACCGTATATTCTATCGAATAATTTCGTATGACGTTACCAGACACAATCATAGTAATTATATTTTTTAGCAAACGTACAATTATTTTCATTAATTTTCAATTCCGGAGGGAACTCACGAAGGCCGCTAGCCCTCGACATCGCTTTCTGATAATCAAACCCACGGGAGATGTAGCAGATGCTAGTAATGGTACTGTTGTGTCTTGGCCGTTGGGGCATGACAGTATAGGAAGCTACCAGAAAAGTAAAGTGAAGTATTGTCCCTCTTCCCGAGGGAACCCAGGGCAGCTGTTAAAATACGGGAGATGCAATCGACTCGCCATGACGCTCCTCTCCGTAACAACCCCAGTAGTTATACGCAACTATAGTTTCTCTCTCACATTCACTGGGGTTTAACATTGCTTTCTTATGATATTGTTGGCGCTAACATTTTTTCACTGGTTGAGGGAATGGTAAAGGGAAAAGTCCCCCCCCCCCTGACAATTGTTGATGCTTTTGGAGCGAGCTTCTTCTGGCCGTGATGCGGCGACCTGAGGTCAGCGGAGCCATCAATGCCCTACTGATGCGTTTCGGTGTTTCCCCTCATGTTCAGTACTAGTTGTCTCATGTTCAGTACTAGTTGTCTCATGTTCAGTACTAGTTGTCTCATGTTCAGTACTAGTTGTCTCCGTAGTCCTAGTCTCAGTATCATTCGTCCTTTCTTATTTTTCGAGCTGGGTATGTGAATAAACAAGTAGTAATCAACTAATCATAATAGTTTTTCTTTAAATTTGATTGTTCCAACTAGGAGCACACACTTCTTGCCCAACTTGGCACTTGACTGGCTCACGACTGCCATCCGGAGCACACGAGGAGCACGTCGCACCTTCCACTCGGCAAACCTGCAAGAAAGCACCGCTCCCTGCTCAATACACAGTGTTTCGGGGAATTCGCCCCTCTTCAGTTAAGCTTGAGTAGGCTGAGGAAGATTGTGCCTGAAACGCACCACTTATATACTGCTCTCCAGGCCAAACCGTCACCAGGGATACAAACTTACAGAGACGCTTTGTTTCCAGCGCGATAAACACCTCGTGGAGGCCCAGGTAGCAGCGTGTGTCAGAGTCGCTCATGGAGTTGTGCTAAACAGACGTTGAGAGCCAGTATAGCTATTCGCAACGCTGTCACCTCCAACAACTAGTCGCACGTCCGCGTGTTCTAAGTTCGTATTTTTCTTTTATATAAATAATCCTTGGCTCTCCATCCGAGTTAATAACAATAAAGAAAAATAAAATTTGGTAGACGCTTGTACTGGTAAGGTTGGGGACATGCGGTTGGGACATGACAGTACAGGAAGCTACCAGAGAAGTAAATGTAAAGTATCATCTCAGCCAGCATAGCTTGCTGGTTAGTAAACATACGTCAGCAGACACTAGTAATGGTACTGTTGTGTCTTGGAAAATGCGGAGTGCACAAGCGCCGGGAGCTAGGCACCGGCGGATTATGCGGGCAGAAAAATTGGCAGAATTGGGTACTTTTTCCGATAAGTTTCATGCATGTTTAGTATGTGGATAAAGAAATGGAGCAGAATTCGAGCAATTTCCCGCCATAAGGTTTGTATGGTTCTGCCAATTTCACTGCTTTTCGAGCAGAATCTGCCATCTTTTCGAGCATTATCCGCCGGTGCCTACCGGGAGCATAGGCGAAGAAGCGTTGATCCCGAGTCAGCGAAAGAGTCATCGCCAAACAATCCGGCCTTGAGTATAAACCGCCCATGCAGGTTGCAAGTAAATTCATTTGCAAGGAGTCTGTACACGAAACGCCTTTAGTACCTCCCAGGCGCGCTAGGCACTTGCCCTCTGCGATTCCGTTTCGTGATTCTAGTTTACAGTTAGTAAACCATGATGAAGAATGTCTGGATTGTGGCCGTAAGTACACGTGTATACTGATCGTATGAAGGATAGCAAATTGTGGCAAGAATGTTGCAGTAAAGAGGTTGTTTTTGGACGGGTGTTCAGTGTGTAGCAACGCTAGAACGTTACTACACACGTCATTACTGGTTTGCTTCATAATTGTTATGATTCTTTACTCATTCGGGGCATGAAGAAAAATCACTCATATCTTTCTTAGGATGACCCAAAGGCTGGTCGCCTATCAAGGGGTTCACTGTATGGAAGGATGTACCAAGTACACGTACATGTACATGTGTGAGCGTGAGCTAAAAAAAATTATAAAAGTGGTGAAAGTAGTGCAGCGAGAATTCGCTGGGGAGCACATAGAGGAGTCCTGAACTGCACAATGTTATATGCCTGCCTGCATTGTTTAGGAATTGTGAAGGAAATAGTAAATATAGGGGTGTCTAATAATTGAAGAATTACAAAATTCGTCATCATGCATTTGTTCTCGGTAATAATATGGATGACCCCTAAGAAAAGTAATAATTGTACTGCTGATGTGTGCTGAAAAGAATGGACTGCATGTTCCATAAAGAATTACCTACCGTGTTGGAATGCTGGTTTTATTGCTTACCAGTTGCAGATGACAGCCAGGGCTAGTGAACCCAGTAAGATGCAACCTATAATGGTTGCTGCCAATCCAGTGACAGCTTCCTGATACCCAGAGCTGTTCCATTACTTCAATGGTGTAGTCCCTTCTGATCTTCTGGTTTACGATATTTCTAGCTGGCCCTATTTCAATATTGGAGGCGCTGACGAGCTTATTTTGAAAGTTTCCTCCTCTGCTCCACACACCGGGAGATGTATACATTCACGTTCGTCAGGATGGCTCCTGTCCATCTCTGGTAGCTCGAGAGAGTACTGCGGAGGGTAATCCGCACTGCGTGCATAGGGCGTATCTTCGCTGGCGGTTGCTGCACGGGCTTGGTTTTGCCGTTCTTGAAGCCCACTCCAGCTGGGCTGGCAGCCTGCTGCTGGAGAGTTTGGTTTTCCCGTTGTCTACAGGACCAGAACAAAAAGGGTATAATGTTGCTATGGAATTGTATGACACATTATTAATACATTCTAATTCAGGGTGCAGCACAATATAATCCATTTCAGACCGTGGCAAAACCGGTATCGTGGCATTTCTCAAAGATTATTTCACCAGTGCACGGGAAACACGAGTCGATGATAAAATTAATAATTTCAGACTGACTACTCTTGAAGGGCATCTTCTGTGTCGAGTTTTGCTCGTATCGCGTACAGTGCAAGGGACAAACAGAAAGAAGAACCGCGAGTATGTCCACAACGCTATTTGCTGCGAGAAGAACGTTTCTTGTGGTGTTATCTGTAAAATTGACTCACTGCTCTTCAAGGGCATCCTCTGTGCGGAGTTTTGCTCGAAATGTGTACACAGCTAGTCCTAAGGACGACTGGAAGCAAATGGATAGAACGCTGGTTGCTCCCAGCAGAATGTACGGAATTGTATGACACATACTATGCAGTGCGTGTAGTGCGTCTCTACTTTCCGCAGATGATGTTCACGGTAAAGACTACGGAGGTTATGACTCTCCTCATAACTGGGAGCCAGTGACGGCAACAGTGGTTTTGAGAGTGGTTTTGAGAGTGGTTTTGAGAGTGGTTTTGAGAGTGGTTTTGAGAGTGGCTTTGAGAGTGGTTTTGAGAGTGGTTTTGAGAGTGGTTTTGAGAGTGGTTTTGAGAGTGGTTTTGAGAGTGGTTTTGAGAGTGGTTTTGAGAGTGGTTTTGAGAGTGGTTTTGAGAGTTGTTTTGAGAGTGGCTTCTGGCACACTCTACTGTACAGTGCATGGAGTGCTGCTGTACGCTTTGCCCACCACCTTCGTTTTATGCCCAACGTTGGAGGCGCTCCCAGCAGGGGTGTTGAACTTGTAGGCGGAAATCTGCGTGCAGCGCTGCTCTACGCTCCGCTGAGGATCTTCTCGGTAGCAAAATCCCAAAGAGTTGGCGGTGCCAGTGCTCCAACGGTGGAGACTGCTTTGACTTCATTGCCTTGCGGAAACAACGTCACTTACAGAGCATCCGGTTTGTACATGGGGTAGTGGTATTAGATACAACATGGGGTAGTGGTATTAGGTACAACATGGGGTAGTGGTCTATAGGAAAATGTACTCACAGTATACCGCACAACCACACTCGCAGCCACATGCTAGCAAAAAAAAGGCCAGAAAATGATCAAGACAATGTCGGCCAGCAAGAGAGATGCCAGTGAAAAACGCAAGCAGAGCAATAGCACGGTGTTGGTGACTGGGCAGCAGGGAACGCCTGAAAACATGACTCCCTATGTATACAGCCACGACCGCTCAACCAGGCTGGAAGCCCCTGAAAAACTCACCTTGTGGCCAAAACACCCTTATACTGGTATGGGACGTACCCGCTGCCAGTCACACCCGAAACCTGAATAGAGGCAAGTGGAAAAGGCAACATGAAACAACACCTCTGCAATGGGTCCAATCTGCGAGACATACGACTCACCGAGTTTGAACATTGTGTCTGCGATGCAGTTACTATTGTCGTCGCACATGTAAACATTTCCATGATAACGTGATGGAAAAACATCATAATTATTGTGGACAGCATGTTAGTTGCCATAGAGATGGTTGCCCGTTTGGTCGTCGATGGAAAATTAATAAAACTTCAAGCGAACAAACATGTTGATTCAGGTACTATAAGAATAAGAATAAGAAAACTGGTAGTCAAACAATTAAATGTAGAGAAAGGCTAGGTGAAGACTACAGTAGGTGCATCACTCGTGTACTACAGTATAAGAATAAATACCGTGGATTCAGAACAGAACAACAAAAGGACAATCAAGGCTTGTTTGCTGCTACTTCAAGTTTCATGCTCACGCAATCATCAGGCAATATCATTGCGCAGGATGTTGCCTGATGATTGTGTGAGCATGAAACTTGAAGTAGCAGCAAACAAGCCTTGATTGTCCTTGTTGTTCTGTTCTGTATTACGCTCTGCCTCCGCGGTGTTGAGCACTGTCAGCACGCTGAGTACATCCTCCGGCAGTGTGAGTACATAAAATTTCAGCAGCTATTCGGTTACATTTGGCACCGACCCAAAACACTGAAATAAAAACGCTGATGAAGGTTTTGGCTTTGGTGATGTACATAATTATGACAAAATATTAACCCCGTGCCGAAAATAATTACGTATCTAATATTGACTGAGTACGAGGTCAATATAGGAAATAAAAGCCAAGTAAAAGACCCAGGCGAAGCCGAGGTCTTTTACGAGGTGTTTATTCCTATCCTGACCAAGTACTAAGTCAATATTGTATTGTATTGTATTGTATTGTATTTATTTAAAAGGATTCTCCAAAAGCAAATGGATGCTTATCACGGAAATCTCCCACATAAATATCGCAAGAAAAATGGGGAAATGGGGGAGAGGAGAGTGGAAGATGAAGCATGGGAAGAAGGGAAACAAGTACCTAAATATCGAGGTATAAAAGCAGGAAAGAAATCGACGAGGGAAGAAATCACCTCTGCAGATAATAGCGGGACATTTAGATGAAAAAAACCCAGCAAGGATTAATTTCAAGGAAAAAAAATTCTCAAACGGAAAAGTTCGGAATTCCAGTCAGAGAATATCTATGCTGTGAGTAATGAGTCTTTAGAGCAATGCGAAAATTGACAGAGGACTGAACGCAGCGGATGTGTTCTGGAAGTTTGTTCCATTCCACAGATAAACTGAAGAGAGGGGATTTAAGGAAATGGGCGCCAGAACGAGGTAAAACTATAGAGGACGGGTGACGACAACTAAGGGATACATTGAATTTGAAACGAATTAGCAAAGACGGAAACTGGTAAAAGACATGATGAAAATACAGCAAGGACAGAATCTGACGACGCCACTTCAGGGATGACCAGTCACAAGTACGATGACCAGTCACAAGTACATATTAGGTGTATCATGACTAGCCAAAGCCTGTGTTCAATCGCTAAAAAGGAGTCAAATATAAGCAGTCTATATAGTCCTAAGGAGTGAAATATGCATGAATATTGGACTGCTTAGGTATAGCGAAAATGTATGGAAGTCAATACTAAGGGAGTGATAATTCGAAGTATATCGCTGCCGGAATGTCGAAAATCGTGAAATCATCAGCTGAAATTTTGCAGCACCGAAATTTTATTTCTTTACAGCATAGAACTCACCGTACTCGTATTGCACCTTCTTTTTGCTCTGTGAGTTTCAGACCTTATTGAAGGCAGGTCACCACGGCGTATGAACAATACTCGTGCTGCCTACAGCATGGAGGCTTTCCATCATGTTCTCTCCAGATGTCTACATGTACGTGTGCGGTGACGATAGTAACGGCATCGCAATCGCAATCTTCAAACCGGCCGGGTGGGTAGTATATGTTTTCTGTTCAGTTGTCTTAGGATTGCTATCTGACATGAAGCTATCAGTTTCAACAAACCAGACGCGTGGTACTCTGTGACTCGTGTGTTTCAACTGAAGTAGTATGTATATTTAGGATATTATTTGAGTGATTTCCCAAAGGCCGAGAAACACATCGGTGTGATATACATGTTTATCACTCCCTTAGTATTGACTCGCATAGATTTTTGCCATACCTAAGCAGTCAAATATTCCTGCATATTTCACTCCTTAGGGCTATATTGACTGCTTATATTTGACTGCTTAGGGGTTGCGCAGTTGAACGGTGCACGTGCCTAGTGCAGCATTGTCACTGCATGAGTAGGTGGTGCTGCAACGGTTGTGCAATCATAAAACCGGGATTCATGAGGTTATCGTTCTGGAATTTGAAATACGGACTGTTTGTCGTGATAAATCTAATATTGACTTCGTACTTGGTCAGTATAGGAAATAAAAACCTCGTAAAAGACCTCGGCTTCGCCTCGGTCTTTTACTCGGCTTTTATTTCCTATATTGACCTCGTACCCAGTCAATATTAGATACATATGTACAACAATTAAAAAATATCCAATGATGAGCCAATAGTAGTAGTTATGTAAAGAGAAAAAGGACCTATAAGATACGAGTTATGACTAACAGTTCACCATGGTAACGAGATCTTATACAGTCAGATACTGCGACAATAAAGCACAAAACTGACAGGGATACTGAGACATTCAACGACCTTACACCTAGCTCCAACACATCCACAAAGCGCAAACCAACAACCTTCCTACTTGGAACGCTCAGGTGCGGACAGTACCAAAGAGGGGAATCGATTCGCCACGAAGATGTGCACCACCTACATGTATGTCCCTGGGCAAAAAATGTTAGTCATAACTTGCCTCTTATACTAAGTTATAGGTCCTTTTCTCTTTACAGAAAGAAAAGATAAAAAAAGATTAATTTTAAAAATTAAATGTGAAGAGGTCAATAAAGACGTCTGCGTAGAAGCACGCGAAATGAGTAATTGAAAAGAAGGCGGTAATCAAGAAGTGAGAAAATCTCGAGGATGGAATTAATATCTGTGGAAATGGGACTTAATTTGCCGGGTAAATACACCATGGGTTTCAGATATCCTAGTCTCGGCAGGCAGGGATAAATATGTTACTGCTGTGTAATCAAGTGATGTGCTTCACTGTCCGAAGAGTGCTCAATATCCATGTAGGGCAGAGCCTTGTACACAAGAGAGAGATTGTAAGCTGTGTTGCAACTCTGAGTTTCACGTATTTCTACGATCATCAGGAAACTGATTATTCCAAAACTAGTACCCTGAACGTAAGGGGGGGGGGGCAAGATGGGAAATCCCGAGTATGGGTAGCATAGCCCAAGAATCAGGTGTACTACTGCTGTGTAGAGTATTTCATGTACACTCATACCTCGCTTATCCAGCAGGCTCGGACCGGGCAGGGTTCGTCAAACTTTGAAATGTCCGTGACTCCTAATCACATACATTTTGATGGGGAAAAATCATAGATATGGCATGGAACGTCACTATTTCCACAGAAGGTGACACAAGGATACAGTAAAACCTGGTGTAAGCGACCTCTGGGTTTAGCGACCACCTGCTCTTAACGCCCGTTTTTCCATGCACCGACAGTTCCACACAAACACTGTGGGACCTGGTTATAAAGACCACCTGGCTATAAACGACCGTTTTGCTTGCATCGTTGGGCGGTCGCTTAAACCAGGTTTTACTGTAGAAGTTAGTATTTCAACTGAAACTCGTCCAAAGGGCGCCCGGTAGATCAAAGTGCCGGTAACTTGGAGCTGCGGATAACCGAGGTATGAGTGTAATGGGCTGCTACATCCATTTCAACTTGCTGCGACAAAAATATCAGCGAATGACATTTATTTGTTCACTGCTTCATGTTTGGGCCACATATCAATCTCCCCCTGCCACCCTAAAATAAATCTTGCAACAATCTCTCCAAATTCGCTCAGAATGTCCATGTCACTGAGGGCCACCCACTCCACCATCTCCCTTGGAGTTCGTAGCTGCGTGTTGGGTGCTGAAAGACCATCATGGTGTACTAGTAAACAAAATGCTTTTATTGGAAAGAACCTTTATTGGAAAGGTGAGAAATGAAACCAAAACAAAGGATAATGTGAAAGGTTTCAACACCTTTGCATATTTTTTAAAGGGTGACACATTATATCACTAGCACAAGAATGGAGAAATTGCACTCTGGTAGAACCTACAACAAAAATAGCATGAACTATTGGCCCTCTCTGACCAAGACACTACCGAACTACTTGAACAACTTCAACGTACTAACGCCAGGCTATCCTTCTGCACACACAAAATAGGCTTCCATTAAGACTTGTGTGTTTTGTAAATCTTGGAGTCACAACCACTCCTGCAATATACTAGTCAGTGTACACGCAGGACACCACGAGAGAAAAGCCACTTCCTGTATACGTCACACTACCCAGGACCACGCTGGTCCTGGATATGGAAACTGCGTTCTGCACTACATTTGTACCTTGACTTATCACTGAGTCGACACAATTAACAAACGATGGCAGATCACCTTGCCCCTCATCTGGATAGATCCATTCACAATGACTAAATGCGTGAAGGTCTGCATGCACAATGACTAAATGTGTGAAGGTTAAGTTGCAGATGCCTTCACCATCCCAGTACAAATAGCAACTACTTGAAGTATTTGTGGTTGCGGTATTGACAATGCATGCAATAACGTCTTCCTTGTCCAGCTTCAAATTTTGTCCCCTCAGTTATTCTTCCACTGCCCACAGTAAACGTAGCTTGACGCCGGCGATGGCAGGAATCTCAGGCGGTGTTGGCGGGTCCAGTGCTCCAACTCAGGAGACTGGTTTCACTTTGTCGCCTTGGGGACACAATGGCGTGAAGTGGCTCTGCACTGTCTGCGCTCAGCCTTCCATAGCCTGGCACACTCTGCCTGGCACACTCTGCTATGCAGTGGGTGTAATGCTGCTCTGCGTTCCACATATAGTGTTCGCAGTGAAGAGTACGGAGGTTTTGACTCTCCTCATACCTGGGAGCCGATGATGGCAGCAGTGGTGTTGGCAGTGACTTTGGGTACACTCTGCTGTGCATGGCACGTGCTACTCTACTCTCTGGTCTGTGCAAGATCTTCTCAGTAACGAGTATGGTGGTGGTATGAGCGTTGGCGGCGTTGGTGGCCAGAAATGTAACCGTTTCCGCGCACATAAAATCACAGGTCACTCACCACTCAAACTGAGGTATCACACATGGAATTCATGCCACTACTCCCACCGTGCCTGGACCTAGAAATCTAGCAGCGAAAGTGATTGCTGCTCCTCCCCTTTGTAATCAGGGTTAACAGAGAACCAGGCAGTAGTGGTGGTGGTGGTGGCACTACACGCTCTGCTGTGCAGTGCATGCACTTCCTCTCTGCGCTCTGCCGACGCCCTGGGGGCCAGGCCGAACGATGGACACACGCCACCACTCAATTCTGCTGGCAGTACCTGTGGTGGGGGTGCCAGTGCTCCAACTGTGGACACTGGTTTGACTTTGTTGCCTTGGGGAAACAATGGCTGCTTCTTTCAGGAAAACATCTTGACTCAGTCACCACTCAAACATCCGTTTCCTCCATCCTCTGCCGCCATCGCGACTGGCTCTCCTCATAGGCGGGAATTGTAATCAGGGTTAACAGAGAACCAGGCAGTAGTGGTGGTGGTGGTGGCACTACACGCTCTGCTGTGCAGTGCATGCACTTCCTCTCTGCGCTCTGCCGACGCCCTGGGGGCCAGGCCGAACGATGGACACACGCCACCACTCAATTCTGCTGGCAGTACTCTCCTGTGGTGGGGGTGCCAGTGCTCCAACTGTGGACACTGGTTTGACTTTGTCGCGATGGCGGCAGAGGTGCTGGGGGGTTCGCCAGTTCTTGCATGGCATGCCATGCTTCCCCCAGCTGCAGGGTTGACCTTTTTATCAATGCATATGGTGGTGGCGGTGGCATTGGTGGTGTTGGAGGCCGGACTCTGTAACGGATACTATAAAACGGGATATGATATAAAGATCAATTGGAGACAATGAGAAATATGTTCAGCGTATGCAACCCCCGTACTAGTGTATATCTTTATCCTATCCCGTTTTATATCTGTTACAGAGTCCGGCCTCCAGCACCACCAATGCCGCCACCACCACCATACGGATTGGTGAAAAGATCATCCGTGGAGCAGCGGCATGGCATGCTATGCAAGAGCAGGAGAATCCCCCAGCACCTCTGCCGCCATCGCCGGCTCCCACCTCTGAGGAGAGACAGCGGCGATGGCAGCAGAGGCTTTCTGATGCACACATGGACAAGATGGAGGAAACGGATGTTTGAGTGGTGAGTGAGTGGTCTGTGCTCGAAATTCACATGTCAGAAACAAGTGCTAGATGTATATGATTGCTGGATTTGACGATGATGACAGCCGCAGATACGTTAGTCATAAACCCCTAAACATCCTCTCTCTCTCTCTCTCTCTCTCTCTCTCTCTCTCTCCGTGGCGGCTAATTGGCAATCGATTCCTGTGGACAAATGCTGGTTTGATTTTTTATCGTTGTGCAGCCCTGACTGGAGTGAATGCCCCAGCTGCCATGGCCTCTCGTTTGGCAGTGGTTGCTACTAGACCTTCTAGTATCACACTCGCGACTACAAGATTCGTGGTGCACATGGACATCGCCATCAGTGAGGCCTCCCGCTGTCAATCCTGTTGAGGGGCGGACAGGTCGGTGTGAAACCTGAACGGCAACCGAGCCCGTCGCGTTGGAGGATCTCAGTGGTGAGTCTCGCCTCGCCTGCACACAGGGACATTGCACCATCATAATTATCACTACGTACAACATCCATGTACTTTCCAGTGGCATCATTATTCTCGCTTTGTTGCAATCAGTTGCAAGGTCATTTCTGTGTAAGATTTGCGTCGCCTGTGTGGTGTGTTCCTCCACCAATGAGGTTACATTTTCATCTGCTTTTATCGGTGGTTACCCATCACATACACAGGGGGGGGGGGGGGCAGTTCAATATCAAACTATTGCGGGAGTGCTAGTTTCATATTGTGTCAACATGCCAAAAAGAACGGATTTCACTAATTTCACACAAGCCAGCCAGCCTGGATTTACCTGGCGATGTTGGTGATGCAAATCTGTATAGTTCCATGGCAGACTCCATGTGCAACATTTCCTAAATCGGCCGGCCGAGAAATTCGACGAAAATAGTGGTTTCGAAAAAGTCACCGATCTCTTCGCCGAATATGCCCCTCAACAGCTTGCAAATACAGTTTCTGTAACCATTATACTGCAAATGGTGACTGCCACTTTAGGCATTTCCGAAATCGGTCTGCAGGTTAAGACGCAAAATCAATGTCTGGCAAGAAATCGCCAATAATTGCCCCGAATTTACAAATTTCGCGCTGAATTCGACGGATATCGATGTTTTATGCCTTTGCAGCGTACATGACATGTTAATGTACATGTGCAGTGCGAGCGGTGGCTTCAAGTACTGCTTTGAGTCGAATTCTGCCTTTGGGGCTCATAATATAGCCGAATTTTGGCATTCTCTTAGCCGATCGGAAAGCCGATTAGGCGAAAGAATCGGGCGGAATTGGGAAATGCCTAGTACATTGCATTAGTCTATTACAAGGACATTCTGAAACGTGTTTGAGACTGGTCAGCTTGAACGCTTTACAACACAAACCAGCTGAGCTGTATTATTATGGTTTGCCTCTGTTTGCCCCAGCTGATTCAGCTGCTACCTCCTCAGTCACTGCCATCGTTGAAAGTTTCGTCCACAAAGCACTCATCTATCATTCCTTCCTACGCTCCGTGACATATATAACTCACTTTCAGCATCACTTTCTTTTTACATGCATATCTCCAATAATTGGTATTTGTATTGTGAAACCATACCGACATTATAGTTTTATACAATTCACATCCCAGTAAGCCATGAACGGAGACCCCCTCGACCATGGCCTCGGCCTTTGGGGAATGCATAAAAAAATAAATAACATGGCGTGCGACAGCTAGCCGCTTGCACCTCTTCCCCGTATGCCTGTAATATCTTGCACATAACCCCGCTTGCCGTCGCGTCATTAACTTTCATTTCCCTAAAGTATTCTAAGCGTCTGTAGCCATCACAGCGAGTGGAATATTGCACCTTGCAGTTGCACTTGTTTGTTGGTACATTGCAGGGCAAGTATCTCCCCATCTCTAACTACTAACCACTATTTCTTTTACACCCTTCTCACACTATGTGGTAATACAGTCTCCCTTGGACCTTTGTTGAGAATATAAGATTACCGACTGTAACTGTGGGCAGTGGAAGAACAATTCGGACTTTGTAGCACAATAGTTATTGGTTTGTTCTCTCGATCACTATTCCATGTACATGTACATGTAGATTCACTGATGACCATCTTCTTCAAAGTTCTTTCTCACACTCGTGCAGTGCATGTAGCAGAAGATGCGAGTGAATCAGTCTTTATCAGGTATCCCGGGGCGGACGAGATAGTGACGTGTAGTCCGAAAAACTCTGCGTACATGTGCATTACGCATAGTGCTGAAACGATTATATCGATTACTCGTTACTTACTCGATAAGAAATAGATCGAACGGCTATTTCGATTTTATCGGCTAAACGAGTAGAATGGTACCTACGCTCGTTACGAGATTTCCCCCCTTTTGGGGTCGCACAAAGCGTGCATGCATCGAACGTGTTGCGAATACGTCACGAATATGTACATGACTGTACACTTGCAACATCGATGTTCATGTACATGTACGTGTGAAGACTTTAGGCACCCACGCGATCTGAGAAACATCGATGTGATCACCGTTACCGTTACTTCGCCTTCTTTTGAGCTGACTACTTTTCTTACATACAGCATGCAGGACGGGCGGGCTCAGTATGTATCTACACTAGCTAGCTGCAGGGGCTGGAGTTCCCTCCACGTGCGAGTATTCTTAAGCTAGCCTAAAGACAGTAAAGTGGTCTTCAGTTTCATGTTTTCCGTTCTGTCGACGGTTCCTGAACCAGTTTGCTCGACGACGAGCTAGGCCTGGCGTCCGGGCCTATTTTGAGCGTAGACAGGAAAAACAACTAGTTACTTGTTGGTGCGCCTCAAGTCAGCTCATCTGTCGAAACCCGCCGATTTGCACCCCTGGCCGGCTTCTCTGACCTCATCGTCGGAGTCAGCGAAGTCACACGCGAAGGGCACCATCAGCTCTTGGGTTGCAACCAGTGAGTTGCCTCTGTTTTGTCTGTATTCGTCTGGTCAGTCCGAACAGCTGACAGACTTGTTGCGGGATCATCGGATCTATGCGCCCGCTTTCCGTCGTTGGCGATGTTGGACTGGTAATTTTTTGGACATTCACAGAATGTACATGTACTGATGTAGTTACAATAATACTCGTTTAGCCGATAAGCCGATCATTATGGTATCAGCTAAGCCACTAAGGAAAAAACGTAATCGTTTCAGCACTAAATTTACGCATGATGCGAAGTCATGGGTTTTATCAGCCATGACTGTGCAGGATAAGGATATTACTCTAATAAAAGAATAAAAAAGGTCAATAAGGCAAAAAAAAGAAGCCTTCTATTGTAGGCTTGATATCAACATACAATGGACACACCACTCACATCCATTCAAAAACGTAAGTATCATCCTTATACGGACGTGCATGTATTCCCTGCATACCTCTTGATACATGGTATGACCAGAAATACCATAATGATCACTAAGAAGATGGCTGTTGTCCCTCCAAGAGTGGAAATTATTACAATATTGGAGGACGATTTGGATCCATAATATCCTCGCATCTGTGCTGGTTGCGCATCTGCTGGTCCTAACGCAAACACAGAAACACATACTAGAACTTATCCGCTTATCCACTAAAATTGAAAGATCCAAACAACCAATTTGAACTACACTTGATGGAGCAACAAGTTTACCCCTCATCACAGTGATCATGCTATGCATCCAGGAATGTACAGGGAGTGGACCACCAAAGTCTGCTGTGTCACCTTAAAGGGGAATTATACTCTAAAATCAATTTTTCACCAGTTGTAGCCTTCAGGGTGCTGAGTAGAATGGTCTTGATCCGAGGGAGCTCAGACGCTCCCTTCCTCTTTTATTCCCAATCGAACTTGCCACTTCCACAGAAACTGGTTGACTGTGCCCTACTAGATGGGGATGTGTATGCGAAATGTCATTAAAAGCGCTATTTCTTTCTTATAAAAGAACGGATGAGCACGATTGGCCCATGTGTTCTAGTCTTCAGGACGCGGAATCGACTGGTTTTGAGGCTGTGATGCGGCGTTCGGCCCTTATTTCCAACCGAACATGGTTTAGTAAGAGGTCATGCGTACACCAGTCACCTGATCACCGTGCCTGCAGGCTACAATTTTCACATGGTTCATTTCGAGTGACAGAAAAGGGCACAAACAGACTGTAGGTTGCAGCCTGCAGGAACGGTGACCATGTGGCTGGTGTAGGCATGAACACGGGACCGCTTATTCAGCGGGACCTCATGTCATGATTCGCAGGCAAGTCAGCAAACCAATAAGCCATAAGCGTTGAATTTCAAAATTGTAAAGTTTTGGCCACTGTCAGAACGATTTACAAGGAGGGCAGACATAATACTTACCTGAGCATGCTACAAATTCCTCACTCCATGTTCCATTGTCTTGACATTTGATGACTTGATGCTGTTGTGATAGATTTCCTGATACATACAATCCATCCTTGCATGTCACATTCACTGTTTGTTTATGGGAGACATTTTGGCTCAAGATAAAGATGGTTTCAGGATTGAAAGAACTTGCAACGAATGCAATCCAATAAAAATCCGTTGGAGCAGCGCAGAAGACTTTAGTTTGAGATGGTGGGCTGGAGGATGGACTCTTCTCCACAGAGTCTTTAGCATGGTCTGCAGTGCTAACACGTGTAGTAACACCAGGTCCAGGACCAGCAGAGTTGACAGCAAACACTGTAATCAGAACATCACTGTTGTTCAGTAGTCCAGTGATGTTGTATTGTAACATTGCTGTACTGATATTGACCTTGACTCTCTGCACAGATGACTGAGAATTCACCATACTATACTCCAGTGTATAGTACAGGATATCGCCTGGTGGAAAGAGAGAATATGAAACAATGGTATACTCATTAAAATTCTAGTCAAGAGGGCAATTATTTAAAAGAAGATTTTTTGCTAAGAATTTATCAGTGACGGTTTGTGGTAGATGAGTATAGAGAATGAATAAAAGCAGCCCACAGCAGCAACAGATAAAGCTCAGTGCTGCCAACCTTCCCTATTTTTCCGTATTTGTACGGAAATTCACTCCTTTGTCCGCAGTACGGAAATTGACCAAACTTGTACCGAAAACTGAAAACTTTGCATCAGCTGACTATGGACCAGTTCTTGTTGCATGTACATGTACATGATGAGTGCAGTTTGAATGGATATGGCCTTGATTTACGAACAATGAGTATCCTTGTCCTACCAAAGACAGCTACAGTGCATGCCACACCCACAATCATAATTACTAGGACTACAGTGTACATGGCAACATCAGTCATGCACACAACTCATGTCATGACTATGATAGTCTGTACATAATACATGACTTTGTACATTGCATGCAGAGCACACAAAACTGCAGAAAACCCCTGGTAAATTGGTGCCAATTTGAATTAACTCTTAAGATGTCAAAGGTTCTTGCCACGTGATAAATATTACGTGGATTGTGTTAGAGGAGAGAGGGTAGTCGACTGGCTATCAAGGGTAAGTTTTACCATGACAGCCTAAGACTGCCTGCTACAATCACCGGACTAAAAATGAACAATGTTGGCATATCTTGTGTCAGTGTGTTTATGTATGCGTGTGTGTGTGTGTGTGTGTGTGTGTGTGTGTGTGTGTGTGCGTGTGTGTGTGTGTGTGTGTGTGTGCATGTGTGTGTGTGTGTGTTGCTGACGATGCTGCGCTATACGCCACGTCCAAGGTATCCTTTGATCCGGGTGCGCGGAGACGTTTGTGGCTTGTGCTTCTGGTTGCGGACTGACCGTCAGCTTGACAAAGACCAAAGCTATATCAATTAATACTCCCACCAGTGAGCCCGTTCATCTCGGGAATGGAACCATCGACGCCGTTGACCCATTCACATATATTGGGTCCGTGATTCACCGGGATGGTCTTTGTGCGCATGATGTGCAGTTGCGGATTTCTAAGGCGTCTCGAGTGTTTGGTTGCTTGCGGGCACCTGTCTTCGGGAACCGTTCCTTGTCCCTCCGATTTCGACGTCCTGTCTACGTGGCTCTCGTTCTTACGACCCTGTTGTATGGTGCAGAGACCTGGACGACCAAGGCTCCTGATCTGCGCCGTTTTAACGCATTCCACCATCAGTGCGTGCGGGCTATTGTCGGCATCCCGAGACACCAGCAATGGGATGACCGAGTCACTTCTTCAACACTGGCGAAGATCCTCGGAATTGATTCGGACATCGGCGACATCATCCGCGAGCGTCGGCTAAGATATTGGCCGCATGGACGATGACCGTCTGCCCAAGTGTACCCAGTTTGAGGAGCTCTCTGCAACTCGACCGCAGCACGGTCCACGCAAGCGTTGGTGGGATGTGGTTGTGGACGACTTCAACTGCATTCATCCACTTGTCCCGGAGAAGGAATGGCTCGACACTGCCCAGAACCGCTCGGAGTGGAGGGAGGTCATCGACCGTCGTCCTCAGCCTCGTGATGTCTCCGCCGAGCCAAAGTATCGTTGTGCTTGCGGGAAGACGTGTCGCCGCCCCGGCGATCTGAAGCGCCACGAACCTTTCTGCCGGTTGCAGCCGAATTAGTCCTTTCGCTATCATTGCCTATGGCAATGGGCAAGTTCATCGTTCAAGGTGTGTGTGTGTGTGTGTGTGTGTCTGCGAGTCGTGTGTGTATGTTTGTGTGAGCGTGCATGTATGTGTGTGTGTGTGTGTGTTTGTGGGTGTGTGCATCTGCGCGCATGTATGTATGTGGGTGTGTTTGTGGGTGGGTGCATCTGCGTGCATTTGCGCGTGAAAAGGAGGAGCACTAAAATTACAACAGCGAAAAATGAACTTCCTTGACTACCAATAGATTGGCCATCCACCTAGCAGAGGTGTGGCGGCCAGCAGATAGTCCATGTATTGATTGTGGTTTCATTCAAATGTATATGTACAGTCAAACCTCGTTAGGACGAACTTCAAGGGCCGAACAAGTTTGTTTGTCTTATCCGGATTTCTTCTTATCCAGATCTTACAAAATATTGATATGCATATCATATGAATTGTATTTATGTGAAGATGCATTCTGTGGCAAATGTACTTCGAAGTAAGTCATTCATAATATAACACAGCAACAGGTAAGTACAATGTGCAATGAATTCATGACAACATTTCATCCGCCTTGTAACATGTTTTGCCAGTACAAGAGGCCTCTATTATCGGAAAAAAACTACAGCCAGCGCACCCACGCCCACCGAAAGTTCGTACTACACGCTGATCCTGTTCAAATCACGCTTGAAATTTGTTCGTCTTACAGAGTTTGTTGTTAACGAATATTTTTGACTTGATATAATTCCTGGCCAACCATAGAATTGGGCCAGATCGTACTAAAGGAAAGTTCGCCATATCAGTGTTCGTCCTGACGAGGTTTGAAAGTACATGTATTTGAACATGTTTAAAAGTACACATGCTACATATATAGAGTACCTACCATTAGATATGCGAGGTGCTTCCCACTTTGTCTGCACTGCAGAGCTGGATATTACCATGGCAACCACACGATTTACAGGACCTGGTGCTGTGTACAATAAAAGCAACAGTAGAACAACATTTGTGTTACACTGCCATACAAATAACAAAACGCTACATGCTTACAGAGCGACATACATTACAAACATTCTGTGTTGGCATGCCATGCACAATGAGAGGATGGCAAAACTGTACTCGATATGAGCCACATTTAGGGGTCGCACTTGGTATCATGACCCGTCACTGGCCACCGTAAGAGGAAAAAAAGACGTATTGAAGCTTGATAGCATGAATGTGCTTGCACCGGGACCACGGCACATTTTGTCACATCGTTCTCGCAGAAAATAACTCAGCCAAAGGGAAGGGCGACCAACAACCATATTTCTAATGAGCGAGGTACAACATATCAGTGGAGTGATAAGACCAGTGTACCTTCCAAAAATCCAATACAAATGATAGAAAACCCTGAATAATCAGATTTATAACTCACCGAATTCCTTAGGGGTGAAGTTGATCCAAGCCTTCTGTCCAACACCAGCTCTATTGACAGCTGCAACTGATATTTGGTATGTTGTGAAATACCTCAGTCCAGACAAGGAGATTGAGTTGGTGACCCAACCTGGAATAACAAGATACAAATCATTGATATCATGATACAACAAGTAATGCCAGTTATAACATTGTATTTTCTGTACACTGTGGCGAGTTGTCACCAGAAAGGTCGAGACTGTTTACCTGCCCATGTTAGTGGAGAGAGTCAAGAAGATGCACTGAATGAAACTCACTTTCATGAAAGGAGACAGCTCCACGTAGAGAGCAGTTGTATTGCTGACATGGACAGTCCTGATGTGTAACACATTCAGTGGCATTGAAAGTAATTTGATATCCAGTGAGTACTCCATGGGAAAGTACTGGTGAAATTGGCTGTAGGAAAAACATGCATCAATCAAAATGGTGTAGAGATTATTGGCAGTTGGATACTAAAATATCAAGGTTCATCATGGAGGAGAAGTTATATCCCTTGCCAGCCAGGGGTGTAGGGAGTGCTTGGGAACTGGTAAGACGAAAGGACGGAGCGGGGTGGGAAGGGAGGTCCGGGGTTGTCCCCCAGGAAAAGGTTGTAAAGAAGACACGAGATCCTGTTTTCTAGGTACTTTTGGCACATTTTTTACTAATTCTTGCTCATAGGATTTTATGGTTCAGGTGCAGAAAGCTAAGTTTCCGTGAACCAAGTGTACCTAACAGCCTAATTGAATCGAGTATGAGTCAAACTCTCAAACAAAAAGTCAAAGATCTGACGGGTCCCGAATTTTTTTATCACAGTTCGCACGTTCCAGACGAACAACACTTTTCGAAAAGTCCTACTTCCTCCGCGTGATCGAAATTGTCGCAGTTTGACTTTTGACATAAAACGGGGTATTTACTCACCAGCACTCGTACCAGAGGCAAGGAATCGGAGATAGGCGATAGTCATCAGTACAGGGTGACGGCAAAGTTCTATTTTCTGTTATTGGAAGCTGAAATTTTTGAACTAGACGCAATTTCTTCGCTGATGTCGCTGCGATGGTAATTTTGACTCGCTGAGATCAGTCAGGCGTTGCAGCCTGCACATTTCTCGTGCTTATGGCCATTCACTCAAGCCTCATCACTGTTTTACCTTAGCTGGGGTGAGAATGACTTCGTGGAAAAAGTAGCAGCGCTTGGAGAAACATCGAGGTGTCAGCAAACGAAATGCATGCAACAGCGATAAAATGTGTCGCTCTGGCTGAGACACTCAGTATATGATTGTACCTGCAAGAGCCGTGTAGGCTCTACACGAAGTGCTAGTGATGCACGCGCAGGTGCCGTACCAGTGATGCTAAAAAAGAGGGTGATGCTGGATGATAGTACACTTACCTGCATGAGCTGTGACCACACAGCTAAAATAAATGGGCATGCCACGGCTAAAAAGTGTTCATTTCAAGATCGAAGTGATTCCGCCGACGGTAATCAACCGACCTCGCAACGATCGTGTTTTCTTACAAGGCTTCGTTGGTGGTGAAGTAGAAATCATCCAGAGCTAGCAGACGACAAGCATAGCAGCTCTTGTCCTGTGGAGAAAGTCAAAGCGTCTGAGATGAGGCGCGACCAACTTTCAACCTTCCTTGAAATATTTCGAAACGATATTTTTGCGTCCATCGACATCAGCAACGACGAGGACTTCATCTCTGCATGAAAACTCTCAGTCCAACTGTCCTGGAACGTTACTCTAGTCTTCAGACTATCATACTGTGTAATAAGTTTTGAATGGTTTAGCTTATGGAGTTGTCAGTAATAAGTGGCAAGTCACTAGTCAAACTGGGACAATTTCGATGACGCGGAGGAAGTACGTCCATGCTTTTCGTCAGCCCAACACGTGATTCTTGACCATGTAAGGCAAACAAATATCATCTCTCGTAGTCAATATTCGCACTCATTTCAAGCCGATAACCGAAACGCAACTAAAATGCCTGCTTGATATCGCTTCTAACAAGTAATGACTGAGCGATGGGTATAACCGTTTCAGCACTAGTCTAAAATGCCATAAATCAGCATTACATTTGATGGCACGATACCAGAGTCATGAAAGTACTTGTGTAATGGAGATGTGCTAACATAATGCTCTTGACTGAAAGGATAAGAACATCCTTACATGGATAAATCATTGATTTTCATTCAGTGATAAACCGCACTGTTGTCTTACCTTGAAGAATGTGGTGACATGCCCTGCTGAACTAGACACTGTAGAGAGATTTTCCGGTTTTCCTGGGGCTGCACACACAGCAGTCAAAATTGTTAATCAATCATTTATACAGAAAATCACAATCTCTTATCACTGGATTAGTGACCACAATCTCTATCATGTTGAACATGCACAGAATATGGACACTAAACTGAAAGACAGGACCACTACAGAGTACTTACGGGACTCCGGAGTGGTCAGCTTGAGAATTGGACTTGGACCACTGCGACCAACTGCATTCCATACATGATACCAGCAACTGTACTTGGTGGCTGGTTGAAGACCAGTAACAGTGACACTGGTCACTGAAAACCTCTGTACAGTGTCCTTCACATATGATCTGTACTCCACATCAGGTCTACAAATGACTTCATAACTTGTTATTGGTGAATTGCCAGTTGATGATGGTGGAGTGAGAAGAAGACCAACAGACCTTGCCAGAAGATAGTGTGGCATGATTATAGCAGGTACTGGTTTGAGCCAAAATCTTGGAATATCTATACATGGACACAATAGATAATGCCCACGATTCAGAACAGCGTACGTTCCGTATTGGTTCACTAATTATAATATTTTCCCCAAAATACGTACAGCTGATGATTAGGCCCAGTCACATAAAAAAAAAATTGTTAGTTTCCCTAACATTATCTGTGATAGCTTACTGTGTCTATCCCTGATAATTATGCAGGTTGTCCAATGATTACACTATGTGAAGTGCTTTAGTTTGTCACTCAACAAAGTCAACAATAGCTGAAGTCAGTTAGCATAAACAGCACCAAATTTACACGAATTTATATCCCAAACATTCCTATTTGTACTGGGATACTGAATGTAATTACATAACCAATATACAGAGGCAAGTTAGTCGGCGTTGCTCTAACGGAGTAGTCTGAGCTAATAAGTACAACTCATTGGAGGGAAAGGAAGGTTTCTTCGAGAACAAAATTTTTAGAACTTTCTTATGATGAACTTCAATGGAATCGGATAAGACCTTAGCTAGGCCACACCAGGCTGTGGCAGCATATTCAAACAATGGAAGGAGATAAATTTTATATATAGCGGAACGGCACGGAATAGAGAGATGTTTACAATGACTTTTAATATAGCCAAGAGCACGGCTGACTTTATTACAAATGTAATCTACATGAGCCGACCAGGACATGGATGAATCGAACATTACCCCTAGGTGCTTGTGCTCCTTTACCGTCTGAATTTCTGTGGGTGAATTGGGAAAGGTGAACTTAAACATTGAGGCAGAATCTGTTAGAAACAGTACTTTGGTTTTTGAAATGTTTGCCTGAAGCCTCCAACTGGACATCCAGGTGACAATCATATTTATCGCGTCTTGCAACTCTGACTCAAGCTGTTTGACAGTTTTACAGTGGCGCAAAGCAGCTGTGTCGTCAGCAAACAATGACATTCCAGAAACATGACTTGGTAGATCATTAACATACAAAACAAAAAGCAATGGTCCAAGAATTGAGCCCTGAGGCACCCCCGACAGCACGGGTAGCTTTGGAGAGTCTGCTCCCGACACGGACACAAACTGGCTTCTCCCAGAAAGATAGCTCTCTATCCACTTCAACGGTGTGTCAGAGGTATATTGGTTCATCGAATTCTCTTGGGTTGTGTTCCTGAACATATAAAGCCTTATAACTGGTTTGTTTCGGGCCGCTCAACCAGAAACAAAGTGTCTCTTCCCAAGGCCAAGTCAACGCAATTCACAAGATCGCCATTCTTCCAGGGCTACTGTGCATGGCTACAACTTCCCGAATCAGTGAAGACTTCTGCATCATTGAAAGAATTTAAAGTGAATCTGAGGGCCTGCTGATGACTGAGTGCACCATAATAATAATACTTGCAAGTAAAAACTAATCAATATAGCTTTTCGGCTGTTTCCTTTTCATGGATATAATCTTCTCCTTCTTTTACCATGGTTGGCTATCACCCACATCTTCCCGTTTTGGCTGCCATCGGAAGCCATAAGATGTTGAATAAATAAATAAATAAATTGTAATATAAGAAAAAATTGCGCCCATATGATTGTCTTTTCATATTTTTAAAGTCCATTCTGTGTGCACTTAGCATAAATTATGCTAGATTTAATCAAGAAACTGGAAGATGGGTTTCAAGTTTCTATGGAGGTATAAGTTTGTGGAAAAACACGGCTCGAAACAGGGGGATAACTGGTCTCTCCCCATGCAAAAAGTCAATATGTAACGTTGCACGTATTTTCTATAGTAGATGAAGCCGGTGCTAATGTATCAGTCTCTGATAAACTTACCAAGAACAAGTAGATGAAGTTGTTTCCAATCATGACCATAGCGACTTGAAGCAGAGCAGTTGTATATGCCAGAATCTGCTGCTGTCACTGCACCAGCAAACGAATGTGTCCAACCATCTGCACCCAATGCTGAGCGGAGCGGCACTCCGTCCTTCGTCCAGGAATACTTGAGTTCATCACCTGATGCATTGCAGTGCAAAGCTAGAGATGCAATCTTCCAGGATGTCGACATTACTGTCACTGAGTTGGTGATGAAAGTGATTTTAGGTTTTTCTTCAATCAGAAAAATCAGAATTGGTAAAAAAGGACTTCAATTTTACAAGTGCATACTGGACTCCAGTGGACAAGTGCCACTTTCCCTAACAAATTATGTCACTGACAAATAGGGAACGATTTTTGAGCCTGCGTAACAGTGCCTTGTTGATTGCTTGAAAGGATTTACAGAATACTGGTACCGTATTGATTCTGTCCTCACAAAGACTATGACCGTGAATACCTGCTCAATAATGTATACAAACGATTGGGCAACACTTTAATTATTGTGTACTCTAATGGTGGCTTATGGATTATGAGAAAGTTTTTTTCAGAATACACAGCCAACTTCTACACACTGCCACAGCACACCATCAGCAAAAAAACACATCCGCTTACAATTGTCTTCAGAATACTAGTAACACAGGAACGTAGCTTGTCCCCTTCTGGGGGGGGGGGGGGGGGGGGGGGGGTGGTGCACGGCCGAATACAATGATTATAATGTAGGATGGCTGGTGCATGTCATTCAGGTCATAAGAGAGTGATAAAATTATCACTCTTCTATATTGCCCTCCACTAATTCTTGTGATCCTTGACTGGTCCTATATTACCAAGAGTACATAAACCAGAGTGTGCAACTCGGGATGGTTCCTGTGGGAGCGTAATTCGTGCGTCATTTCTGATGACACGGTAAGCCACAGGTACGGTGAAAAGTTGCGTAACCAGTCACGGTGGTGCAGGTCACTGAGTTTGTCCTGATCTCCGCTTTTGATACGGATAGCCTGGTGAATTTACTTGTCGGTGGATGTACGCAGAGTACACAGTCACAGAAAAACACCTAAATCCTGAAACAGGACGTCTAAAATCAAGCAAACTTGGCTGATTTCCGGGTTATTAAACACGAAAATTTGAGCTATACGCAAGTCGCGGCTTGGCTGACCTCATCAGGGTAACGTAGTGCACGAACTGCGCTGTTTCAGATCTGATATGCACAGTTGCACACTGTGGTTTATGTGCTCTTGATATTACCCATATCGCCGTAATATCGACTGCTGGTATCAACCACTTAGGCATTGTGATCTTTCGACTTTGGAGGGACTTAGAAATTTTCTCTCCACTTCTAAAAGTGGATTTTAAAGAAAGAAGACAAATGACGAGAACAAGCAGGATACGAACCCACAACCGTATGAATCTCAAGCAACCCCTTATACCACCCAGCTACTATGCTGCAGATGCTGAACCCTGTTGTTCTTACAGTCTTATACCCAAAATAGGCAACATCCTATGTATAGTACAAATGCTATACTAAAAGGCAAAAATAGCTCCTAAAGGATCACAATTTGGGGTTATAGCAAAGGAATCGGGATAAATAGGATATTGACCTCGACTTCGGTCTATATGGGAAATATAGACCTCGTCTTGCTCAATATCCTATACGTAACAGTGGTGATCAGTTGCTTAAACTCGTATCCAAGAGTCTCTTCTCTTCTCTAAATTAACTCATTAACTGATTGTCTATGCATAGTGCTCCAGAAAAGCTCTCAAAAACTCACCTCCCACTACTAAGTAGAAGCTAACATAGTACCACCCAGGATCAAGGTCAAAGCGACTGCACTTGTATTCACCAGCTATGTCTTTGGTTAAAATATGTGGCCAAACGATGGTGGGGTAATAGTACACTTCTTCGAAATGCCGATACCAATCAACGTGTTTCGAAACACCGAGATGTGGATGGTTGGCTACTGGAGAATTCTGGAAGAACAAGTACTGTTTTGATGCTGGATAAGGCTGCCGTCTATAGTAGCTGCGACGTATGCAGCATGTGATGGATGGTAAGGATGTTGATAGTGCCCCTTCCACCCCATACAGGACCTCGCCCTTGCTCACATTGTATAACGTAACTGAGTTGTGGCATTCTGTAAGGAGACAAATTGATGGAAGACGAAATTCAATCTTCAATGATAATCGTTAGGATACATAATAGAAGAAGGAAACACAAGGAAAGGAGTTGTGAAGCAACCATGCGCAACTGTAACAAGATAATAATCAGTCAGAAGTGCGTTAACAGGGCACAAAACTGACGGGCTACTAAGACATTCAATGACCTGAGACCTAGCTCTAACACTCTGCAGTGCGCAAACCAACAGCCTTCCAACTTAGAAGGTTCATTGTTGAGTAGGACCGGAGAGGGAAAGGTGAGTGCGGCGAAAATGTGCACAAGCTAAATCCCACGGCAACAGAGAATGCCGACTGTTACAGGCCGATGACGAGACCAGTTAATAATATGACAATGCGGTCTAACTACAATTCGAGGCACAAGTAACACACCACCCAACTTAGGTGGGTGAGCAATATAGTGATGGGGAAGCTTTTCGAAAACGATTATTGCTTTGCTGCCTCGAATTGTCTTCCACCACCAAACTTGGGTGGGTCAGCAATATCAGAGATAAAGTAAGGGGAAAGCTTTGAACACTTGAAAAGGGATCCAAAAAAAGGTGCCGCAACTGGGGTTCGAACTGCACAATGTACTGTTGCAAGTAGAGTGAACAGCCTGGATTTTCCGAATTCCGTGCTTTTGGAGCAAAGCCTGGCCGAAACCCTATCCTTGTTACGGTTCGCGTTTTAGAGAAATAGACTCCAGAAGTATAATTGGAAGAGCATTCAATTGGGGATTGCCAAAATGCTCTCTTTGTTTATGAATGGACTGTAGTTTATCCACTGCTGCCCCTTCTGTTGCCCTGCTAGATCACCCACCACCTGCACTAGGATGTTTACGGCATGCCAAGAGTGCCCCAATTTTTTTTGATGAACCAGAACACAATCAAACTGTGATTTGTTTAATTCATATCAGAATGGCAGTAAAGAGTTGTTCACAGCTGCAGTTAAACAACCATTCCAACTGATCAAATGTACATGTCGTACATCTCCCAACAGCTACTTACGTTCACGTGGAAACTTTTGAGAAAGTCCATGCTTGAACAGTGTCAAAAATATCAGCAGTGTTGGTACAATGATGTGGCGCCCCTGTGACAAAAAGAAGGCAGGTGGCGCCACACTTTATCAATCTGTAGTGTACATCATTTTTAGGTCTGCCAATGAAAGGTCAGGTGACTAGCCAATTCAGTACACATTCGATAAGGCGCCCGCACGGGACGCGAGGAGCGACAGGAACCGACGGGCCGTGCTTGATGCCAATAATTATTGACAGCGCCAAATGTAAATGCAAGAAATTGGGGAAGAAGCCATGCTGATGTAAAAAATAAGAAAGCAATGCATGAGGTAAAACAGGTGAAATGTCCATACCATACCCTGGTAATGCAAGAACACGAGCGGGCAGCATTTAATGTGTGAACTGGCGGCGGAAGACAACTTACCAAATGGCTCACATGGCCGAGTTGAAATTTACCGTATGTCCGCACCTTTACAGCCATGGATGTATATTCGATTATACAGCCAGTCTCAGTTATAATAAATAAAAAGCCATGGGCTTCATAATTATAAGTGAAATCACATTTGGATTCTGTTTTGTAAAATTGAAGTAATAAGTACTATACCAACAAACTTACAGCCCAGCAGGAAGGGTGAACAAGACTTAGTGGACTTAGACTGAAATTTCTGTGTGGAATTTGACTTTCATGGCATGGTGTAGTGGGTGAGTCATTTTGCATCTAAAATAGCTAGGAAAGCAGCGGCGTTTCAAATATAAGGCCATGGCTTTAAAGGCGCTGACATACAGTAACAATCTAGGATTTACTTTTGAAGCCATCTCTCCTCCTCCCTGCACTTTCAGCAGACACATGGCTACCCTCAGTAGCCGTTACACACACCAATTAACAACGAAGCGGTTATGGGTACCTCTAGTATTGTTACAGATAAGGCTTTTTGATGCACACGGCATTGTTTACATACCGTAGCAGCACTGGATCAATGAGTTCAAAATGTGTCATCACTCACTAGAAGTTGCTGCATGTCATGGAATTACTGTATTGTGTTTGGGGACTAAGGTGACTTGTGAGTGTGGCATTGAAGTTTCATGAGTGGAACGTTTCGTGTCAACTACATGTACCAAGAGTCAATAATCAAGAGTATGGAACTGTTATTCTCTTTTCTATGGGCCAGATGCGCGGCGCGCTGCCTTCATTACATCATTCAGCTGCAGTCCGCGCACTGCGGAAAATCAAACACCGCGCTTTCCCTCTGGTTTGAAATGAATTTTCATACGGAACTGGAGTTCACGCGCGAAAATTTAGAGATCGCGTAGGTACTGGAATGAATCGAGCAAAAACGGATGGGCTCGTACGAGAAATTTTGGGTTTGAGTGCATGCTTTCAGAGCGTGATGGAGGCAAGTTACGTAATGAAGGCAACGCGCCGCACAGTGGCCCATAACCACAGTTGCATACTCTTGTTTATGCACTCTTGCATGTACATGTAAAGCAAATCTGCATGCAAGAAATTTTTGCCACAAGTGAAGAGAAGAAAATTACTCTACTCACTGACGTACAAGTAGAAGGGATGACCAAGGAACTACAAGGTACAGTGGTCCCTCTATAATCCGGCACCATTTGTGCCACGAAAATCTGCTGGATTAAGGAGGGTGCCGGATTAACAAATCTGATTTACTGCTGCAATGTGCATGAAGAGGACATTTTGGCTACTGAAAATTGTGCTGGTTTATCGAGGGTGCTGGATTATAAAGTGCCGGATTAGAGAGGGACGACTGTACGCTATAATGTCCACTGTTCCTTAGCTAGAGTCCTCATTTCTTCTTACCTGTAGAAATGAATTCTTGGTTCTCCACCCAAGTTTAACGTATAATTAGCCCCATCCCTCCCAAACACAAGTCAACAAAGAGGCATCTTTCGATTGAGGAGTGCTGGTTTCGAAACAACTGGTTTGAAGCTCAAAGTAGAGCTGGTGTTAGCTCAGAGCAGAGCTGCAGTTAGCTCATAGCAGAGCTGCTGTTAGCTCAGAGCAGAGCTCGTGTTAGCTCAAAGTAGAGCTTCGGTTAGCTCAAAGTAGAGCTTCGGTTAGCTCAAAGTAGAGCTGCTGTTAGCTCAAAGTAGAGCTGCGGTTAGCTCAAAGTAGAGCTGCTGTTAGCTCAAAGTAGAGCTGCGATTGGCTCAAAGTAGAGCTGCTGTTAGCTCAAGGTAGAGCTGCTGTTAGCTCAAAGTAGAGCTGCTGTTAGCTCAAAGTAGAGCTGCGGTTAGCTCAAAGTAGAGCTGCTGTTAGCTCAAAGTAGAGCTGCTGTTAGCTCAACGTAGAGCTGCAATGCTAAATGGATGTAATATAGCACAAGGCAGAGTCGCAGCAAATAGCTAGATAACACCAGTTGTGAGAGTGGACCCATGAAACCAGCACTCCGTTAGCTAAGCACTATTGACGCACAGCAAGGGTCAATCAATGTCAGCACAGGCAAGCATTGCGCAGCTAGAGTTCAGTAGCTCATTACTCACCCGAGTTGGGGATCATGGCATCCATGACACGGCAGCAAGCCGGTACGATAGCTGGCGCTTAGCGCTTGTTGTAGTCCGGATGTAGCATAGACGCGCATTGCTCTTTCCACTGACCTGCCACTCGGAAGAAGGAGTCGGGGGCACCAGCCATAACAGCGGTGGTGGCTGCACCAATGTGGACTGAATGCCCGGAGTAGTTCGACTGGGATGGTACACCGGCCGCAGCGACAAGAGACCGTACTGTTACTGTGAATGACTGCCTGGTCAGCTGCTGTCCGTTCGAGAGTACGAACAAGAGTTGTTTCGGTTCCTCGCGACAAATGGGTAGCTAACCATGGCACGGACCGGGCAGTACGGCGGTAGAGACGGGCCAATGTCACTAGTAACGCCTTTACCGGATGGGTCCGTCTTGGATGAAAGCAGGAAGAGTTGCAAGCGACCATCACCAGGGGAGCTAGTACAGCCCTGTGTGATGCCATTAGTGAATTCGGCACACCAAAGAAATCCAAAGAAGCAGCATGGCGGCTTGGTAGAGCAGCTTGTCATGGCCAATCAGGACACTACTTTTCCGGCGTGCACCCGTCAGGTGTCGTAGGATTGGCATAGTGATAGGAAGGCGAGGGGTGAGTACAGCCGTCCCATGGCATTGCTGGATGCCCTTCAACACCCTCTTCAGAAGCCACGCATCTACTAAGGGGCCGGCAAACCCATTCTCAAGATGGGCTTTACGCACCGCACTCACATACACAGATACAGTTCAGGGCACACTGATCATAGTTCACGCATGGATTATGTGTGTCCAGGAACGATGACTCGGGCAGCAAAAGCGAGCTTCCCCAGGAGGGACTCGAGTTGACGCTGGCCGATGCTGCGCTCGCTGATTGTAGCCATGAGTGGCGCACGGGTCTCGGACAGCTTGTCCTCTTGTAGCCGAGCTTCGTGGCGCTCGCAGCCTAGGACAATACCAAGGAATGTCAATGATGATGATGGCCCTTCGAGCTGGGAAGGAGCAAAGAGGAATGCCGAGATACGTGAATTCCCGGAGGGGGATGGTGAGTTGCTGGTTGGCTGCAGCCAAACCAGTGGAGATATCGAGAAAGTCATCGAGGTAATGAAGCCGGTGATTTATAGCAAACTCCAGTTGACTGCTGTGGCTACTGAGTCCGAGACGGCTGGGCTGGAGCGGAGGCCGAAAGGCAGAAAGCGCTCGTAGTAGTAGTAGGAGCCTTCCTAGCGAAGTCCTGACGGCGGACTGGGATCTGCCAAAATGCACTGCGTACATCGAGCTTGGACAAATACACAGGCTGTCGGCATGACATGATGATGTTGATCGCATTGTCAATGCTCGTGTAGTGCAGAGAGAGCGGCTCGGCAGGGATGCTGCTGTTTGCGCCGGTACCTTCCGGACTAGACAGAGATGGTGGATCATTCGCAGCTTGCCGTTCTTTTCGGGGATGGCACCAATACCAGATCGGCGCATGAACTGAAATGGAGGCGACAGAAATGGGCCTGTGATCTCGATGCGGGCGCAGGAAGCAGCTAATTGCTCGGATATCAATGCAGAGTGAGTGAAAGCCGAGGGCAGATTATTCGAAAAAAACGAAATGTCGTGTTGGCCGGCAGATCCAAGAGCAAAGCCATGGCGCAGGCCATGGAGAACATACGCAACACATGATTGTTCTGAGTGGTACACGTAACAGGCGGGCAAAGTGGTCAGCTAGCAGTGTGGTGTCTGCAGGGTGTATAGGAAAGAAGCTACGTACCGAGTCAAGCGATTCAGTAGCTATAGCCAGTATAGGGCTTGAAAGTGATGACGTCAAAACAGCCAGGGAGTAGTAAGTTGACATCAGATTTCTATTTTTGGATCCACTAAGGTGTGACTTTGCTATTGCCTAAGTATGTGGGTGCATAGCAACCCACTCATGTGGCATGCAGGTGTGACTTTTATTTCGCCACCAGTTGTAACCCCGCCACCAGTAGCCAAATCAGTCAGTTTCACTGGCTACATCACCATTCTGTGGGTAAGACCGCTTGAAATGTGCTTGGATCCATACAAAAACTGGATCCAAGTGGATCCAGTTTTTGAATTTTTGAAATTGTTCCTATGCTGTGACGTAGCACTTTCAAGCCCTATTCTGCTAGGAGCGGCGGGGTGGCCGATTGGCTCCCCGCTGCTGCTGGTTGCACCTGATGCATGGGTGGTCCTTGCCACACTGGCTGCAGGTGTGGGAGAAGCGGCACGACGACGAAGAACAGCGACCTCCATTGAAGTTGCGACAGATTTCTTGGCCGTCGCTGGTATGGTTGCGACCACTGGAGGTAAATGCTGCTGGTTTCGGGAATTGAGATTGGGGACGAAAAGGACACAAACCGCCCCTGGATGGACCATCTTCCATTGAGCGCATTTTGGGTGTACATGGTCTGTGAAAGCTATCTGCCATAGGTTCACGTCGATGGTGTCCAACCTCTTCGTGCCTGGTTTCTGGGCCACGAGCATCCGCAGCTGGCGGTCGTTCTCTAGCCACGCGCTTGGGAAGAACTGGCGGTTAGCAGTCAGGATCAACTGCTGGTACGCAATCAGTTCAGCAGTTCAGCAGTGCTGTGTGGGGCAGTAGCCGTGATAACAGACATGTATGTGGTCCATGCCTCGAGCCGGGTAGCTACATGTACCGTGAACCTTGCGACGCACCTGCTTCGCGTCATCCGACTCAACGATATTTAGCTGGCTATTGTTATTCGGGCTGTGCACCAGCCGGAATGTTGGGCCGGAAGTGTGCAAGAATTTCAGGCAACAAACTTTGAAACGTCTACGAACTCCCCTCAGTCCTCAACATACGTTCTTGCACAGCCTTGGGCACAGCTGGTGCAGGTGGCTGATCGGGTGGGTTACAGGAGCTTGGCCTGGCGTAGTGGCGGCAGCAGCCGCATTGCCTTGGCTTTGGGTGGGGAGCGGCACAATGCTCTCCGATAATAGTATAACGGCGGCCGACAAAGCCGACTACACCTCGTCCCGCACGAGAGCGCAGAGATCCGTTGAGCCCGCGTCACCTGAGCTGGCGAAGGAGGCATTGGTGCCAGCCGGGCTTCTGGGCTCGCGAGCCGCGGGCCGTGTCCGCACTGTCATGTTGCTGGTTCTCCTGGCCGGAGCAGACCTCACTACCAAGGGCTAGCTGTGCCAGCAAACGGTCCTGTAAATTACTGTTTAAGTTTCCTTTCGGATTCAAGCTGCGCTGAGAAAGCTCGCCGCGGAGGGCTTGGCAAGGCATTGCCTTGACAGTGTCGACAGTTAGGTCAGACATACTGAAGAAATACAGTGTCGAGGTGACACTCGGGCTGGCAGCAAAGCTACGAAAGGAAAAGAAACACTGCTGAAGCACGATCCGTTGTCTGGAAGAGGACAATACTCAATAGGGCAAGCAAGATTTGTTTTTCTTTTCAGCAAAACGGGCTGATGCCATTAATTTTGTGATTACGCAGCGAAACAAAGCACATGACGTCAGTCTTGAATGCAGTACAAAGCACTGCAGTGCAGTGTGTGCGCTAGTTCGGATTGCTGCTAACAAGTACAGTAGGTATCGGCAAGAGTCCTTTACCATAAACAAGAGTATGCAACTGTGATCTCTTTTCTATGGGCCAGATGCGTGGCGCGCTGCCTTCATTACATCATTCAGCTGCAGTCCGCGCACTGCGGAAAATCAAACACCGCACTTTCCCTCTGGTTTGAAATGAACTTTCGTACGGTACTGGAGTTCTCGCGCCAGAATTTAGAGATCGCGTAGGTACTGGAACAAATCGAGCAAAAACGAATGGGCTCGTACGAGAAATTGTGAGTTGGAATGCATGCTTTCAGAGCGTGATGAAGGCAAGTTACGTAATGAAGGCAGCGCACCGCGCACTGACCCATCACCACAGTTGCATACTCTTGTTTATGCACTCTTGGCATCGGTTATAGCGTGGGTGTTTGAAAAACGACTTTCAATTCTTATTTCCGATATTTCTTACACACGATCAATCAAGTGTGGCATATCATGTGCATGTGCGCAGCGGCAGGAAGATCATCATAAAATACAAGGTAGTGCTACTGTGCATGCGGCTGGTCACAGTCACATAGGCTTACCATGTGGCTATGCAACATGAGTTACATGACCACAATAGTTGAACTTGCAGCACTACGACCCAACGTGAGTCAGATCAGAACTGCTTTGCACGGATGTTATTACTACAGGCGATATACTTTGTACTGATCTGGCATGTTTCGCTACACAAAGTCCATTCTTAGGACCGATATATTCTACTGTACGATAAAATTGCTTGTAAGAATAAATGTGCACATGAAATCCATGTTATGATTATGAAAACATGAGAGTTCATTCTTGTAAGCAGTATATTCTTTTACATGACCACGCTATAACCGATACGCACTGTACTAGCATAGCTAGTAGTACACCAGAAACAATCCTAGTATTTTTATAGTAAAGAAAAAAGGACCAAGAAATTACAAGTTACGCTATAATGTCCACTAGTCCACTGTGTTAGTGGATATTATAGCGTAACTTATTTTGTAGTTTCTTGGTCCTTTTCTTTACTATAAAATTTTCCTTGGCTCTCCATCCGAGTCCTATTATTTTTATACCGGTATTGATTTTTGAGGGTGTTGAAATGGGACAAATAATCGCATTATTAAAATTTGAAACTCGGATGTTGACCCAATAATAAATGTAGAAAGGAAAAGGACATATGGATATGAGTTAAGAGTAACTCTCCACCACTACAACTACAATGTAGATACTATTATACAGTCAGAAACTTTACAGAAAGTGTAACAAATAAGCACAAAACTGACAGAGTACTGTGACATTCGATTACTTATTTTTCCAAAAAAATACACAAAATGCACTTCTACACTTACTGTCATAGCGAACTAGTTTTCCTTGACCACTGAAGCTAGCAATTTATGGCAGCTACAGAACTGTTGATGTTGCTACAATTAGACTTGCGATACTATTACTACTAGTGAAAAACGACTGAACCCACTACTGAGTAAATCCAGAACCTTGAGTACAAACTCCTGCTTTCCTAGACTACAGCTAGCTGAGTCGGTTGTGTAAAAAAAAGTAAATTGTCGTGTTCGTTCCCGAAGGGAACTCACGACGGCCGCTAACACCCGATAAACCTTAGCGGCAGATGCAGCGCCTAACGGTGGTCGGTTGTGTGCTTCAAACAAAACACGGTGCAAATGAACAATGATTGTAGGAGTACTACACAGTCAGTAGAGTGCTAGTGTAGTAGGTCTAATCGGCGCGCGCAGTTGGGGACAAAACTAACTAAAATTTACTTCAAAAAAGCCAAGTGCAAGGTACGAGGTGATTTGGCTTTTTTTAAAGGGGAAGTTAAGGCAAAAATTAAAATTTCACCAGTTGTAGTCTTCGGGGTGCTGAGTCGAATGGTCTTGGTCCGAGGAAGCTGAGACGCTCCCTTCCTACTTGAATCCCAATCGAACTCGCGCACTTCCACCGAAACTGGGTGACTGCGCCCTACGAGATGGGGATTTGTATGCAAAATGTCACTAAAAGCGCCATTTCGTTCTTATAAAAGCACGGATGACGGCGATTGGCCCATATGTTGTAGTCTTTGGGACGCTGAGTCGACTGGTTTTGGTCCGAAAAGGCTGCGATGCAGCGTTCCTCCTTTATTCCCAATCGAACATGGTTGAACAAGCGGTCACGTGGTCCTGGGTGCCCAAATCACCTGGTCACCACGCCAGCAGGTGACAACTTTCACACCAAGGTTCAACTCGGGTTCAACTCGAGTGACAGGACTGCACCCAAAAAAGGTCAAACAGGCTAGTAAGTTGTACCCTGCAGGCACGGTGACCAGGTGACTGGTGTACGCAGGAGCACGTGACCGCTTCTTCAACCATGTTCGATTGGGAATAAAGGAGGAACGCCGCATCGCAGCCTTTTCGGACCAAAACCAATCGACTCAGCGTCCCAAAGACTACAACATATGGGCCAATCGCGGTCATCCGTGCTTTTATAAGAACGAAATGGCGCTTGCATACAAATCCCCATCTAGTAGGGCGCAGTCACCCAGTTTCGGTGGAAGTGCGCGAGTTCGATTGGGATTCAAGTAGGAAGGGAGCGTCTCAGCTTCCTCGGACCAAGACCATTCGACTCAGCACCCCGAAGACTACAACTGGTGAAATTTTAATTTTTGCCTTAACTTCCCCTTTAAACATTTGGCATTTTTTAACAAATGTGTAAAATTTGCTTTTCTTCTGGCTGTTTCTCTGCTCCGGATGGCTGTATCGAAACATGGGTGGTGGCAAATGGGAGCCAGTTTATCGTAGATCAACATTGACCAGAAAATTTGGTGCATATAATTTAATTCTCCCTGCCACGTTGGTATAACTAGTGGTGGGTGCTTTGCCATTTTGTGTAAAATGTGTAAAATGTGTGATTGGAAATTTTTATTTCCATTGCTATCAGGTTCGGCCTCATTTCCTCTGTGCTGCGCTGACGAGTCCACAAAGGACGAAACAGTTCTGTCCGCAGATTGAGTATTTCGCTCCTGCTCTAAGCAGTTGAGCACTCTTGCGTGGGGTAGTGCCTTTGCTCTTTGCTTTATGCAGAGCTCACTGACTTGTCAGTTTGAGCACTCTGGCAAGGTACGTTCGGGCCTGATTGGAAATTTTTATTTCCATTGCTATCAGGTTCGGCCTCATTTCCTCTGTGCTGCGCTGACGAGTCCACAAAGGACGAAACAGTTCTGTCCGCAGATTGAGTATTTCGCTCCTGCTCTAAGCAGTTGAGCACTCTTGCGTGGGGTAGTGCCTTTGCTCTTTGCTTTATGCAGAGCTCACTGACTTGTCAGTTTGAGCACTCTGGCAAGGTACGTTCGGGCCTGATTGGAAATTTTTATTTCCATTGCTATCAGGTTCGGCCTCATTTCCTCTGTGCTGCGCTGACGAGTCCACAAAGGACGAAACAGTTCTGTCCGCAGATTGAGTATTTCGCTCCTGCTCTAAGCAGTTGAGCACCCTTGCGTGGGGTAGTGCCTTTGCTCTTTGCTTTATGCAGAGCCCACTGACTTGTCAGTTTGAGCACTCTGGCAAGGTACGTTCGGGCCTGATTGGAAATTTTTATTTCCATTGCTATCAGGTTCGGCCTCATTTCCTCTGTGCTGCGCTGACGAGTCCACAAAGGACGAAACAGTTCTGTCCGCAGATTGAGTGTAAAATGTGTAAAAATGAGCCCCTGAATGGACGAGCAGGGCAGTGAATTGCTTCCGCAGGGCCTTTGGACGACGGCAGGCCGTCTTGCCATCACTAAAGACAGTACTGAAGAACAGTAGGTCACGGAATGCACTCTGTGAGAACGAAAACATCGCTGCGATGCTGCGGCTATCTATCCAATTCCACCGTATAACACAGCCACTAGTTACAAATACAAAAACACGGCTTTCGCAGCTTACAATGCAGTTCACTCCTCTGTTCACAGATTAATTTTCATCCACTAGCAATCCTTGAAGTGATATCTATCAACTTCAGAACATTGATGACCGAATATCCCAGTTTGTGATGTATTACGCTCTGCCTTTGTGGTGTTGAGCACTGTCAAGCACTCTGGGTACATCCTTCGGTGATGCCATTTTACAAATTTGTTAAAAAATGACACACCAATTATTTGAATCCTGAGAATACTGTGGAAGTAGGACATGATTCAAGACACTTTCCAAAGTGGGATCATTCCCATTTTTGGACACAACGGGCATGAAGGATAGCACTTCCACTTGCAACAATTCATTTGGACGTAGCTTGTCTAGAAGTGACTGAAAAAACGTCATTTTACAACCATGTTAAAAAAAGCCAAACCACCTCGTACCGGTATACCGGTAACGCGTAGGTAGCGCAACCTGCATAGTAAAAAAAGAACCGCTATAAAAATGAAATCCGATCGCGAGTCGCAAGTAAAATGTAAAGATTGCATATCAGAACTTCGAGCTTCGATATAACAGGGTACCAAAGGCAAGGACACTGATATCTCCGCTCTCCGCACGCTCCTCATACAATCCCAGTGCTGCCAAACCGTCCGATTTTTCGGACAGGGCCGATTTTTGAAGGCTCTTCCGAAAACTGGTCCGAAAAGGGAAACGTCCGAAAAGCAGCCAAAATGTCGGAGATCAATACTTTCCTATGCAGAAGTCCTGTACTTTCACTTTTCAGCGCAACTGAAGGCACAAATCACTGTACATTTGCTTCTAAAAAAGGCTAGCGCTTGGCTGTGGAAGTGCAAAGACTTTAGTAACATGCCTGATCAGGCTGGATGGCATGTACGCTGACAGTCTGTACCGAGTCAGTCACAGTGTGCGACCACACTCATCATTACAAAATTCATGACAACTCCGGGGTTACCATGGCAACGAAGCGAATTTTCATGGTGTTTTAGGCGATATTTTGAATTATCTTTAAAAAAAATTGCCGAGGAGAAAAATTCGCACCATGCGGCCAGCCTCGGCGGTGAATAGAAGCTACGCACTCAGCGGACAAGGGCGAAAGGAGGGACGTGATAGCAGGGTGACGGCCGAGTTGAGTTCAATGGACCCGGTCAGGCGGGATGGACGAGACAGAGAGAGTACAGAGGAAGCGGAGGATGGAACGGACGGCGGAGGGAGCAGTGAGTCGGAGAGCAGTGATGGGAGTGATGGTGAGAATGCCGGTGAGAGTGTTAGTGTTGTGCGTAGGTTTCGTGGTAGCAAGTCTTCAGTGTACAATCATTTGCTAGCTAGTCCTGATTGTTGCAATTCGTATTCCGACTCTTCGTTCACTGTATTGTGCCGTGGTCGTCATGGTTATGGACTACAGTTAAAAGTGTTGGAAGCTATCTATCAGCGTCTGTACAAGCCTAATTTGTGTGTACAGAAAGATAGTATAATTGGGTTGAAATTGTTCAAGTAACGTGTCGTGTTTAGTGCGGCCAAGATTGGCCGTTAATGTTCTAGGTGTAATGTACTGCTGTTATGTGTTATCACGTTGTCTTTCCTTCCTTTCTCCTTTGTTCATTTCTCGCTTTGATTGTTAAAATTCACACTTGTAAATTTCACTGTTGTTGCTCTTAGTGTTATTTCTCTAACTTAGATTTTCTATAATAGTTCAATTTTTGTTTCAGTGTCCTTTAGCACAACGACGATTCCTGATGAGTGTTGTACGAAAACTTGTTTGAATCCATATTTTTTCCCTACACCATTTCTTCATAGTTTCATCGTTTTATTGCACATCGTCTCCACCGTTTTTACATTGCATGAATAAAGTACACAAATGTCGGTTCAGCTAGTTTTATTGATTGCGGTTATCAAATCCAATTTATGCGATTCGTATGCAATTAGCCTCGAATTATGCGATTATTCGATTTTGGTAGGAATTATGCAAAAATATTATGCTAGCATAATCCGTCAAGGCCTAATTTCGGTTGTGGCTTAGGCCTTGACAGATTATGCTAGCATAATTTTTCGCATAATTCCTACCATAATCGAATAATCGCATAGTTCGAGGCAAATTGCATACGAATCACATAAAATTGGACTAATCCGCCTGTTCGCATCAAAATCCATACAGTTGTACAATGTCATGTTCTACAAGTACAAGTAGACGCACCAGGAAGGAGTAGGTTCACGATTCCCTTGGCCTTGATAACATGTCCAGTCCACTACAATCAGTGTGACAGTGACCAGGGTGACGGACCTGACGGTCGTCGCTAGGTCGGACGGTGCGTTGACCCCGTTGAACTTTTGCTACTACAGTACTACGCCCTCTACAAAAAATCACCTGTTGTTTTGCACAGAACCATCATAATTATACATTAGCAGCATATGTGAGCATAAGTATATAATAAATGTAGAGCCGAAGGATTTATTGCAATTACATACCAGTATAAAAACCGAGGTCCCCCGAGGTTTTTATAACTGGTATGTAATTGCAATAAATCCTTCGGCCACTACATTATTTTATTATACATAATGTTGACCTTCGCTTTCCCTAAAAAGGAGTATTTTATGAACATTATTTATTGGTCTTATAAAATACCACTAAGGCCAATAAATACTGTTTATAAAATACTCTTTATGTGCTATCCGTAATTCAATCTGATCTAGAATTTGCATTTCAATCGTTCTTACCCTGCTTATCTGCAAAAGACCGTGGGCGCCTATTTGCTGTTCACCGTCGTGCGATCCGAGCTGCCTGTGGTGCCCATTACTGTGCTGACGTGGACCCCCTTTACCACTCTCTTAAGCTATGTCCTCTGGACCACCGTTTCTTACAGTTGTTCATTAAATTTATCTTTCAGTGTAAAGTAGCTCACCCAGTTGCCAGTTTAGATTCTCTATTTTGTAGGCACAGTACACCTGCTTACACCACTCGCGGCTCTTCTGCAAATAATCGTTCGTTATGCCGATATAAGACTGCATGCGGGTATCGCTCATTGTCTAGTAGGATTGCTTTACTTTGGAATGCTCTGCCCTTCGAAATGAAGTCTTGCAATACGTCTTATGCATTTAACGCTCATCTTGCCTGCCTTCTTAATGACGGGCCACAATGTACCCGGTTAAAACAGCTCCTTTTTGAAAATGTTTTCGATGAGTGATGTGTCGCTTTGTTTTGCTCTAATTGGTGCTTTTCTCCAGTGTCATGCAGTCGTATTTATTCAGCTTTTATTTCTTGTGTACTTGCATTCTGGTATTAGTTTAGTCCCACAATCTGCGATAAAATGATCCGCTGTAGCACCTACTCCACTTTTATGTTTATGTATCTATGTCATTCGGATCTTCCCAAGTTGTACAATGTACTGTTGAGATACCGAATTCAAATAAGTCAATACCATACCATACTCCTTTTTAGAGAAAAGTGCAGTGTTGCATATGGAAAAGTACAGTGGTATTTATTGAGTCAAGCAAGTTTATTTGAATTTGATACTGTTGATGGTGTGGCCACTAGTGAGTGTGGGTATTTATCAAAGGTCAATATATTGCCGCATAATATGATAACTTTTAGCATAAAAATAGCATAATTCTGCAATTTGTTCAGCAATGCGAAAAGCATAATTTCACGAAAATATTGGCATTATCTGTCAAGGCCTATTGTGGCTGCCTTCTCCTCTGGCTGGCATGTACAAATGTACATGTAGTAGCGGTGTAATGGAATGTAGGCATGGGCGGGTAATGCTAGCATTATGGCTGGCATTATAGTCCCTTTTTTCCAAGTGGCATAATAATAATAATATAATAATGACTCGGCGTGGAGAAAGCAATTTTATGTTAAGCAGTTGAAGGCTCTGGAAGCTGTATGTATTCGTGTGCATAATCCTGTTCTTTGTAAACAAAAGAAGCATGTAGTCGCGCTAAAGTTGTTCTCGTAGCTGGTTATCAGATGTAAATGTCGTGTCATGTTGCACTGTATCACCTCATGCTTTGTGCCTGCAATCAGTTATATATGTTAGCACTATGTTTGACACCTATTATGTAATGCTTTAGCACTTCCTTTTTTGTTCACACTTTTAATTATGCTGTTATAAAATGTTCTTTTTTGTACACAGTGTCCTCAGTTCCGATACTATTCACTGATGAGCGGAACACGAAAATCGATTTAGAATAAAATAATATTTATTGAAGGCATTAAGGTGGCAGACTACCCAAAAATTCGCTGAAAAATCGAATTTGTAAATTCATATTGAGTGCTACGTCAGTTGAAAGAGCATGAATAGCTGCAAATTCTCTGAAAATTGTGTCCCGATCTGACCAGCCGTTCAAGAGTTATGGCCGAAAATGTGCCCTTGCAAGGAAAGATTTTTTTGTTGCACGCTGTCATTTGTTGGCAGCACTGTATTTGAATGTGAGCAGACCGTGCGCAACTTGTCGTATCATGGAAACACGCGAAAGTGTGCAGAATTTTGCTCAAAGTCCAAAAAAGTCCAAAAAATCACGTTAAAAACCCACGTATTGGGGTGCACGGCGCCCGCCGCCGTGCAGCAGGACTTTTGCCAGCACCCTCGTGACGTTGCAGATATGTGGCTTGATTATTGTAGTTGACGTTGATTTAGTGACTTTGGCAAGTTTGAGTCGTGTCAAGAAGTCAGGTAGGATTCAGTACTAGGCAGTAGTGAAACGTGAGTGGTAGTCTTTGCCGGTTTCTGAGGGCATCCTGGATTTGGTGTGCAGCGCTGTGGAAATGGCTTGCTGTGGAGGTCCCAGCACTGGAGGAGATGTCACCGGTGTGCGTGGACGCCCGAAATCGAACCTGGCCACGGCAGTCAAGGCAAGCACAGCTGCCAGAGACATGCCACTAAAGACCATGACTGATCTGAGTGGGCTCAGAATGCGCGCTTTGGACAAGCAATCATGGAGGGAACTCTCAGCCTGAGCTGGTTTTGCTCGCGGCTGCAACGCAAGGGGTAGTGAACCCAGGACAGAAGCGGACCAGGCATCATGACTTTGCACATCTATCGTTGTGCTGCTTTATTACGCAACCTGTTTTATTATTATTATTATTATTATTAGCTGCGTGCACCTGCCAAATGCTAGTGGGGGGGGGGGGGGGGGGGAGCGAAGTTGCTGCAGCGGAGCGGCTGTGCACTGCCGGCCTATTCATCGAGGGGTAGCCCACGGTTGCGGTTTATCGCAGTGTTGGGCGAAGGTGTATGCTATTGGTGATAGTTACAGGTCTACTGGTCTGTCGAATGGTTACTAGTATCTACGGACTCGAAAAGGTATGACAAGTGATCTGCTTATGTTCGATCTGTGGTCTGGCTGCGTGCACGGAGGTCCACTCTCTGGAGTCCCGTGAGGCAATTATACCTGGGTCAAGTATATACGTGACTTACCCATCGGCAAATCACAAGAAACACCACAGCGTCATTACTTCCAGCAGCTGCAAGTGGCAAGCAATTCTACGCAGGCGCCATCCAGGGTGCAGGGTGGGAAGAAGCGTAGGATGTCTCCCAGAGGTCATTGCGGAATAAACGTGCAGAATTCAGCTATAAATTCTACGTTTATCTGTAGCCATGATTCACGTTATGATCCATATCAAGAGTCCATAACCACCCAGAGTGTGCAACTCGTGATCCTTCTCAGCACAAATCAGTGCCGCAACGAAATCCAAACTTCATACGTCATGTAGTGAGTAGCTATGACGAAATGGGAAGTTTGGCCCGGACCTACTTCGCCCGTTTGCCCAATTTGGGGTCTTTCTTTACGAATCCCCGGCCAGGTATTGTACGTAACACGCCTGGAAAGGCTCAAGTACACAAAGAATTATGTTAGAGTTGTCGAACAGTTTTCTCTTTTGAGTGTCTATCCGATAAGAGAAGAACAATGGCCACTGTTGAACCTAAAGCAAAGCGCTCCCCATTGTCGCCGGAGCTCCGGAGTGCAGTGTCTCTGTGGACGATATTCGTCAGTTTTTGCTCGATCTGGGCTCCTCATTTTCTTCTCTCGATTGTCGAGTGTTGGAAATTGTTAATTCTTCCAGCACCTGGATAGAGATTTATTGCTCGAAGTCTGTAAATCTATATCCATGCCTATCCATGCCTATTCTTGCTATCCCGGAGTCACGAACTCTCCCAATACAAGCTTTTCAGACAACGAGCAGAGAAACTCTCTTCAAATAAAAAAATTCTGTGACTGTGAAATCAAAGCCGTTCTGCTGACATTGCATAGCCCGTGGAGCAAACGTTTTACGTGACACTTCCGTGGCTTGCTTCAAAGCAACCTTCAACTTGGAACCCCCGCCGGATGTACCAGATATGCACATGGCCCCATCCGCCCATGCTTGCCCGGGGACCGGATGACGCAATGTTTGGATTTCGTTGCGCCAGACCCCAACCTGGAGTTGCACACTCTGGGGGGTTATGGACTCTTGTCCATATTTGTAATAACTGGCCTCTCATAATGGAGACCTCTCCTACTTGACAGCTGAGTGCGTTTTTCGTTTGTTTGTATTCTTTATTTGGAGTGGGAAGTCCAAAACAGACCCTAGCCTAATAACAATGGTCCCACTAGTGAGGGAATGCTGTATATCTGTGCATAAGGATCAGTGAGTGTAACAGCAACTAGTAGGGAAAGAAAAAGAGAGAAGAAAAACAACTCAAAACAGGAGTTGCTACTTGCATAGGAAGAAAATAACGGAAAGAGCAGTGCATACAGCATTTGTAAAAAGGCTTATTTATCTGGTAAGCAAAAAGGCAAGAGCCATTGACTTGAAGCGATTGCGTTTTCTTTCTTGCCTGACCGCAGCGGGGAGCTGGTTCCATAAGATGGTCCCAGCATAGGTTTCATATGAGGTTTGATATGAGTTGCGCCCAACATTCAGCCTGGGAATATAACATTAGTATGGTTCCCAACTGACATGCAGATCTTTCTCTATAGATCTCGGCGTACACTGCTCATAGTACACTTACTTTCCGTGTAGACTCAACACAGTGGTAACATTGACGAGGCTGAGAAGTACCTGTCCGCTCTCCTACATCGTATGCATTAGTAATGGAACTGTTGTTGTGTTCCTGTGGTTTGGGCACGAGAAAGCCAGGTCTGGAGATGGATGAAAATGAGCGCTGGCTACCAATGAACCAAGACATGTATCGCCCGTGCACAACTGTCCTAGATCGGTGTGCTAAAGAATCAAGATTATAAATGATCGTTATCCTCCTGGAGCGAATTCATTTTAGTAAAATCCTGAAGCGGAATGTTATGAGCCAGAAATTGGAGTGGATCATGCAAACTATAATTATTGTAAGTATCGTAACTACAAATCTAAATTGTTATCTGTAGATGCTTCGAGCTTTCATTCAAGACCCATAGTACTCAATTCTTTCATGCAGATCCTATTTGGCCTAGTGGCCATTGGTTCTCTGGAAGTAGCTGGAGAGAGTCAGCCGAGAGGTGAGTTATTGAAAATGTTCTTGTCACAAATAACTCGTAGGCCTTGATGCGCTTTGTTGAGTTGAACGTAATCCGATCAGTATAGCCATGCTGGTACTAAGTTAAAATCATCAATGTTACATGTGTCACGAAATAACGTGTTATACATGTAAGTAAGTGTGAGGAAGTTGAACAATAATTCATCATTCGATGTCATGTTCTTGTCCTTGTGTTCTTTGCTGCAGCCACTTTTAAAGGGAAAACCATTGGTGTTAACGATATCTTGACGGACGTCCATGTCATGGAAAACATAACCTGTTATGCACCGGACAACTCAGATTTCTCATGGCGTAGCCCTGGAAACTGCAACGAGAAGCTACCCACTGACTACAACGTTAAAGTAACGAAAGAAAAGAAGAACAAGACTACTATAGAGACACTATCATTTACTGCATTCGTTGAAAATGGCATTTTCACGTGCGGTGGATGCGACCACAGTATAGCATTTACGATATATAACCCTGGTGAGTTGAAAGAATCATAATATGAACAAGTACTACAGTAATGCTGTTCGTATTGTTCTGTTGTGTCTGGCAATATGACTCCTTTTTAGTTACTCGATAGTAATAACGTTAGGATGTGCATTGTGACGTTGAGGTGCGTCGAGATTTTTTTTCACAAGCGAATCATAACAATCTTTATTCATATGAGGAAGGTGGTTCCTCCACTGGAGCTCGCTATTTTCCGCCGACTGACTTGGCACTTGACTGACTCACAACTGCCATCCAGATCTTTCCATGTGTATTGCATTGCGCAATACACATGGAATAATTATTTTGTTCTTGTCACTTTGCTTTTTTGCCAGAGCTTCACATTAGACATAATGATAGTAAAAACCGTAAAAATATTGCTGTTGAAGAACCTACAGTCTGTCCTCCGCATGCGGGTTGTGAAGGCTTTTTTTATCTCCGAAGAACTGATTAGATAACTCGGATGGTCAGCCAATTAAATTATTGTGAAAAGAAGAAGAACAAAATGTTACGAGTTCTGACCAACTGTCCACCAGCGTAACCAGATCTTATACAGTCAGCGAGTGCGACAAAATGCGCTTTCCTTCCCCTCTTGGACCTTTCCGAACCTGAGCCTTCCAAGTTGGTAGGTTGTTGGTTTGCGCCTTGGAGAAGTGTTGGAGCTAGGTGTCAGGTCGCCGAATGTCTCAGTACTCCTTGTCAGTTTTGTGCCATTTTGTCGCACTCGCTGACTGTATAAGATCTGGTTGGTGGACAGTTAGTCATAACTCGTAACATGTTGTCCTTCTTCTTTTCACAACTGATTAGATAAATTGTTTTCCCAACATATGCATTTTTGTCTTACCTTTCCTATGTGAGGTTGCTATCGTTTGTGCCTTTTTTGATTTTACAGATAACACCACCAGAGACGCCTTGGTGGCTTCCATCAGCGTTCTGGCTGCACTGTTCGTTTTTTTGTTATTAGTTGCCCTGTACGCGATACGGGGCAAACTGCGATCAGAAGATGCCCTAGAATTGCAGTGAGTCTGAAATTGGTTATCTTCGTATGCCTCGTGCATTGGTGAAGTTATCTTTGGGAAATGCCACGATATCGGTTAGACCTTGGTCTGATATTGTGCTGCGCAGAACCAGTTCAAGAGCAGGGACAGGGTGAAACAAGAATCCTTGATTAGTCCAGTAGCTATTCTGGTGCGCTCAAAATCAATCATCCTTTTTTGGCTGTGGTGTAGCGTGAGTGGCGATGGTGGTGTAGGTGGCGTTATTGCTGCTGCTGCTGGTGCTCTTGTTGCTGCTGCTGCTGCTGCTGCTGCTGTTGTTGTTGTTGTTGTTGTTGTTGTTGTTGTTGTTGTTGTTGTTGTTGTTGTTGTTGTTATTGTTGTTGTTGTTGTTGTTGTTTTTGTTTTTGTTACTAACTTAATGCTGTTCTTGTCGTTGTCATTACTGTTCCAGATACTGATTCTTCTTTTGTTGATGGTTATTTGTATGTCATGCAAGCTTCTTGCGATATGGCCTAACCTCCTGCTATACATCTACGTACCTTGATTGAAGTCCTGAAGCCGTGAATTACATGTACATGATAGCGTATGTATCATACAATTCCATAGCAACATTTCATGTATACCCTGTTTTTGGTTTGGTCCTGTAGACAACGGGAAAGTCAAGCCCGGCGAGACACCGCCATCGAAGATACACCTTATGCCCGCAGGGCGGATGATGGCCCTCCGCTGTACTCTCCGGACCTACCACAGACAGACAGGAGGTAAGTGAAGGGGAAACCATGGTAACACTTTTGAAATTTAGCCACAGTTCTGATGACAGTATGCTTCTGGGAAGGGGATGGAGGACTTCAAAACAGGCAATGACACTTCAATGCGCACAGGGATAAAGAAGATGGAAAATCCAACCGTGAATGCCTGTCCATATACATTGAGACAGCTGATTGAAGGAGAAGACGGAAGAAAAACTGAAACAAGCCTTTTCCAAGCCCTTGGGCCATGCATCGAGCCACATATCAACGTCCTCTATATTCCTGAATAACCAGCTGGCCTGCTGGACCCTTCGTCTGTGGAACATTTTAATCAGGAATACTCTTGTCGGGTTGACAATATTAACGGTTATCCATGATCACTGAATTGGCTTGCAATGGGCTAGTCGTGGGCCGACTTTGCCACAGTGCAGTGGTGGAACCTGCTTTATTTCCTGAAGTTGGCATAGCCGTTGAGGTGGCAGTGGCCAACTTATCCGCAACAATCACGAGCGCCATGTTCAACATTACAGCCCGTGCTCATATTAAGTGCCCGCGCTCATACATTGGGATAGGGGTTAGGCATTGGCAAAGGGGTTAATCTCTCCAGAGCTAGTTTTGCACAACAGACAAACATAATCTCCACTGTCTCTTATAGTGGTGTCTTACAATCTTCATATCTAAATAGCCGACATGGAGACAATAATCACTACAGTCATAGCGATGAGCAATAAAGTTGCTTGCCCTTTCCCTTTTAAGTTAAAGTCACGATACTTTCCCTGATGATTGTGATATGAAATCGTCCTGCACACCACATGTCTTTCGTTGCAATGCGTGTGACAGGAGTGTACATCTTATTTACCCTTCAAAATGCACATAAGGTGTTTTGTTTTATAATCTCTGTTACAGAGTACTGCCAGCCGAAACTATGATGCAAGCTGGTGTGTGGCCATCGTTCCGCCTGGCCCCCAGGTCGGCGGAGCGCAGAGAGGAAGTGCACGCTCTACACAGCAGAGCGTGTAGTGCCTCTCTGCGCTCCCAGTCACCGCAAGCAGCACCGTCGCCCGTGGGCCAGGCTCCAGCAATGCCACCACCACCCCCTGATTCGCCTCCTCCTCAATACAAGGAGGACGACGACTCAGAGACGTCCGTCTAAATGGTGAGTGATCTGTGCTCAAAATAATATTGACCTCACCCACATGCATACACGTATACAACGCCTGGGAGCACATACCCAGGCACACACACACACACACACACACACACACATACACATGCGTGCGCAAACATAAACAAATACAGACATGTGTACACCAAACAAACAGAATACCAGGGAGTGGGGCTTGTCATACTCCCTGGCCCAGGGGGTGGGTTTTGCCTCAATCCTTTTTTCCTTATTCAATTCTGTCTTACAAATTTTGATGAGACAGTGCATTCTGAACCAAGAATTGTGCAATAAACGGGAACAAGCGAATGCATGTGGCCCTTAATGGTTGGGGCTCCCAAAGATTTCACGACTTGACATAGCCAAGGTTTGAAAATTTTCAAAAAAGACGGTTTTCTTACGTGGTGCACTGACAACCAGCCCCGCACTCAAGGGATTAACACTTGTACTTGTAACTATCTGAATTAAATTATTTGTCGCACCCTGTGTAACTCTAAACCATGAGTCATCATACACGGTACGGCACTTAGGATCCGATTAGTTAGCAAAATTAATGTCTGTGCATTGCCGACTTCTTCTTTTCAATATCCAGCTCCTCCTTGTCATCATCATCCCCCATCACCATCATCACCATGCCTCTCTTCATTCCCATTCAGCATTATTTATCTCATAACTTGATCTCTTCCGTAATTTTCAATACAATCATGTACATACTTTATCTGGTCATCACGACCATTTCATCCATATAATTATAATTATGTGTAATTTGTAAAATTAATAGTTGTTAAAGTTACATGTAACTTGCTAAAGTACTTTTATTGTTACGAAGTATATTCATATTAGTACTTTTATTGTTATATTCATATTCATTGAGTTATGCTTACATTGTTAAAGTAATCCAAATGTCACTTCAGCTCGTCCTACTTATTGCCATATAAAAATTGTTGTCTCCTCGTCGAATATTTATGCATATCATACATTTACATGTCTGCATCTATTGTTCCTCTCGTTTGCTAACAGTAAATTTACTTCAGATATAATCACTACTTGGATGCAGTGATTTACTTAATGCAGTGAATGTGATTTTCTGTCTTTGATCATTTTGTGGAGGGTAGGGTCCGGCCGATTCTGCCGGCAGAAAAATTGGCAGAATTCGGTACTTTTTCTGGTAAGTTTCATGCATGTTTGGTATGTGGATAAAGAAATGGAGCAGAATTCGAGGAATTGCCCGCCGTAAGGTTTGTATGGTTCTGCCAATTTCACTGCTTTTCGAACAGAATCTGCCAACTTTTCGAGCAGAATACGCGGGTCCCCAGTGGTGGGTCTGATCTACTCACCTCCCACCGCTTAGGAGCTGCATCTGCGCCTTGATCCAAGAGGGTGGTGGCATTCCTGCGGATTAGGCACCAGCGGATTATGCCGCACTAAGTATTGGCTTAATTCGGTGGTGGTTGAAAATTTGGATCATAATTTATTTGCCATCCTTTCGGAGGCAGGAGCATAACTACATGATTGTACCACAGTTCTAGAAATGTAGGCTACACAATTGTGTGCAATCCACCTGATAAGTGCTGGTAGTCTGCATGGCAAAGGGTACGGAGATCATGCAGATAGTGTTTTCAATGAAAAGCAGGGTAGAAATCACGGCAATACAATAGTGTATGCTCCAATTCGTCTTCTTCAAAGTTCTTTCTCACACTGATCTAGTACATGCAGCATGCGAGTGAATCCGCCTTTATCAGGTATCCTGGAACTGACGAGATAGTGACGGGTAGCCCGCAAAACGCCATGACTGTGCAGGCTATAGATATTGCTCAAATAATTAAAAATATGAGGTATAGTTGATGGTCGGTCATGATGGAAGGAGAGGTGGAGCTACGGGATAGATGAGCTGATTATTCGCCGCATAATTCCATGATTTGGCGAGCATAATCCGCCGGAGCCTACTGCGAATGCGAAGAGTGATATCTGTCATACGAACTCGGCATGGGCATACATACTTAGTACTTCGAGTACTAGAATTGGCCGGCGCTGTCTGGACATGGGAAATCCTACATCATCAGCAAAGCAAGTTGTCGCTTTGCTGCAAATTCTGTAATCATCTCAAGCAGTTCAAACATTCGAAGATAAGCATTACCACAAGCTGTCTAAATGGAGAGTGATCATACTAGAGCCTAGAGGACATCGACAGCTGTTCGTCCTATGTACGTCAAGTGTTACAAACGTGTTGCTCAGTGAGCGAATTTGACAGGTTTATTGTTCCTATCCTGTCCAAAAACAGACAAGTAGAGTCCAACTACAGCCATTGAGTATCATTCAACTGCATCCAGCATCCAGCATCCAGCATCCAGTCTACAAGTCCAAACTAACTTTGCAATACTGTAGCATAGGGTAGCTTACAAGAACATTGTAGACCTCCCCAGATTTCAACCATAATAATGTTGCTGCCATGTATTGACAGCTAGCGGCTGAAGTGCGCACACAACTAGATGGCTAATGATAATCCGTCGCACACCTACACTAGGCTACAGTGTACATCACATGACAGCAGCCATGACGCTACCAGACACAATCATAGTAGTTATATTTTTTAGCAAACGTACAATTATTTTCATTAATTTTCAATTCCGGAGGGAACTCACGAAGGCCGCTAGCCCTCGACATCGCTTTCTGATAATCAAACCCACGGGAGATGTAGCAGATGCTAGTAATGGTACTGTTGTGTCTTGGCCGTTGGGGCATGGCAGTATAGGAAGCTACCAGAAAAGTAAAGTGAAGTATTGTCTCTCTTCCCGAGGGAACCCAGGGCAGCTGTTAAAATACGGGAGATGCAATCGACTCGCCATGACGCTCCTCTCCGTAACAACCCCAGCAGTTATACGCAACTATAGTTTCTCTCTCACATTCACTGGGGTTTAACATTGCTTTCTTATGATATTGTTGGCGCTAACATGTTTTCACTGGTTGAGGGAATGGTAAAGGGAAAAGTCCCCCCCCCCCCCCCCTGACAATTGTTGATGCTTTTGGAGCGAGCTTCTTCTGGCCGTGATGCGGCGACCTGAGATCGGCGGAGCCATCAATGCCCTACTGATGCGTTTCGGTGTAGCCCCTCATGTTCAGTACTAGTTGTCTCCGTAGTCCTAGTCTCAGTATCATTCGTCCTTTCTTATTTTTCGAGCTGGGTACGTGAATAAACAATAAGTAATCAACTAATATTAACTGGTTTTGAGGGAAAGAGAGAGAGTAATCAACTAATCATAATAGTTTTTCTTTAAATTTGATTGTTCCAACTAGGAGCACACGCTTCTTGCCCAACTAATACTTGGCACTTGACTGACTCACGACTGCCATCCGGAGCACACGAGGAGCACGTCGCACCTTCCACTCGGCAAACCTGCAAGAAAGCACCGCTCCCTGTTCAATACACAGTGTTTCGGGGAATTCACCCCTCATCAGTTGAGCTTGAGTAGGCTGAGGAAGATTGTGCCTGAAACGCACCACTTATATACTGCTCTCCAGGCCAAACCGTCACCAGGGATACAAACTTACAGAGACGCTTTGTAAGGCCCAGGTAGCAGCGTGAGTCAGAGTCGCTCATGGAGTTGTGCTAAACAGACGTTGAGAGCCAGTATAGCTATTCACAACGCTGTAACCTCCAACAACTAGTCGCACGTCCGCGTGTTCTAAGTTCGTATTTCTTCTTTTGCATAAATAATCCTTGGCTCTCCATCCGAGTTAAGAAAAATAAAGAAAAATAAAATGTGGTAGACGCTTGTACTGGTAAGGTTGGGGACATGCGGTTGGGATATGACAGTACAGGAAGTTACCAGAGAAGTAAATGTAAAGTATCATCTCAGCCAGCATAGCTTGCTGGTTAGTAAACATACGTCAGCAGACACTAGTAATGGTACTGTTGTGTCTTGGAAAATGTGGAGTGCACAAGCGCCGGGAGGCGCATAGGCGAAGAAGCGTTGATCCCGAGTCAGCGAAAGAGTCATCGCCAAACAATCCGGCCTTGAGTATAAACCGCCCATCCAGGTTGCAAGTAAATTCATTTGCAAGGAGGCTGTAGACGAAGCGCCTGAAGTATAATTGGTCGCCTCCCAGGCGCGCTAGGCACTTACCCGCTCTGCGATTCCGTCTCGTGATTCTAGTTTACAGTTAGTAAACCATGGTGAAGAATGTCTGGCTGGATTGTGGCCGTAAGTACACGTGTATCCTGATCGTATGAAGGATAGCAAATTGTGGCAAGAATGCTGCAGTAAAGAGGTTGTTTTTGGACGGGTTTTCAGTGTGTAGCAACGCTAGAACGTTACTACACACTTCATTACTGGTTTGCTTCATAATTGTTATGAATCTTTACTCATTTGGGGCATGAAGAATAAATCACTTATATCTTTCTTAGGATGACCCAAAGGCTGGTCGCCTATCAAGGGGTTCACTGTGTGGAAGGATGTACCAAGTACACGTACATGTACATGTGTGAGCGCGTGAGCTAAAAAATACAAGTGGTGAAAGTAGTGCAGCGAGAATTCGCTGGGGAGCACATAGAGGAGTCCTGAACTGCACAATGTTATATGCCTGCCTGCATTGTTTAGGAATTGTGAAGGAAATAGTAAATATAGGGGTGTCTAATAATTGAAGAATTACAAAATTCGTCATCATGCATTTGTTCTCGGTAATAATATGGATGACCCCTAAGAAAAGTAATAATTGTACTGCTGATGTGTGCTGAAAAGAATGGACTGCATGTTCCATAAAGAATTACCTACCGTGTTGGAATGCTGGTTTTATTGCTTACCAGTTGCAGATGACAGCCAGGGCTAGTGAACCCAGTAAGATGCCACCTATAATGGTTGCTGCCAATCCAGTGACAGCTTCCTGATACCCAGAGCTGTTCCATTACTTTAATGGTGTAGTCCCTTCTGATCGTCTGGTTTACGATATTTCTAGCTGGCCCTATTTCAATATTGGAGGCGCTGACGAGCTTATTTTGAAAGTTTCCTCCTCTGCTCCACACACCGGGAGATGTATACATTCACGTTCGTCAGGATGGCTCCTGTCCATCTCTGGTAGCTCGAGAGAGTACTGCGGAGGGTAATCCGCACTGCGTGCATAGGGCGTATCTTCGCTGGCGGTTGCTGCACGGGCTTGGTTTTGCCGTTCTTGAAGCCCACTCCAGCTGGGCTGGCAGCCTGCTGCTGCAGAGTTTGGTTTTCCCGTTGTCTACAGGACCAGAACAAAAAGGGTATAATGTTGCTATGGAATTGTATGACACAATGTGTCATACAATACATTCTAATTCAGGGTGCAGCACAATATAATCCATTTCAGACCGTGGCAAAACCGGTATCGTGGCATTTCTCAAAGATTATTTCACCAGTGCACGGGAAACACGAGTCGATGATAAAATTAATAATTTCAGACTGAATACTCTTGAAGGGCATCTTCTGTGTCGAGTTTTGCTCGTATCGCGTACAGTGCAAGGGACAAACAGAAAGAAGAACCGCGAGTATGTCCACAACGCTATTTGCTGCGAGAAGAACGTTTCTTGTGGTGTTATCTGTAAAATTGACTCACTGCTCTTCAAGGGCATCCTCTGTGCGGAGTTTTGCTCGAAATGTGTACACAGCTAGTCCTAAGGACGACTGGAAGCAAATGGATAGAACGCTGGTTGCTCCCAGCAGAATGTACGGAATTGTATGACACATACTATGCAGTGCGTGTAGTGCGTCTCTACTTTCCGCAGATGATGTTCACGGTAAAGACTACGGAGGTTATGACTCTCCTCATAACTGGGAGCCAGTGACGGCAACAGTGGTTTTGAGAGTGGTTTTGAGAGTGGTTTTGAGGGTGGTTTTGAGAGTGGCTTTGAGAGTGGTTTTGAGAGTGGTTTTGAGAGTGGTTTTGAGAGTGGTTTTGAGAGTGGTTTTGAGAGTGGTTTTGAGAGTGGTTTTGAGAGTGGTTTTGAGAGTGGCTTTGAGAGTGGTTTGAGAGTGGTTTTGAGAGTGGTTTTGAGAGTGGTTTTGAGAGTGGTTTTGAGAGTGGCTTTGAGAGTGGCTTTGAGAGTGGTTTTGAGAGTGGTTTTGAGAGTGGTTTTGAGAGTGGTTTTGAGAGTGGTTTTGAGAGTGGTTTTGAGAGTGGTTTTGAGAGTGGTTTTGAGAGTGGTTTTGAGAGTGGTTTTGAGAGTGGTTTTGAGAGTGGTTTTGAGAGTGGTTTTGAGAGTGGTTTTGAGAGTGGTTTTGAGAGTGGTTTTGAGAGTGGTTTTGAGAGTGGCTTCTGGCACACTCTACTGTACAGTGCATGGAGTGCTGCTGTACGCTTTGCCCACCACCTTCGTTTTATGCCAAACGTTGGAGGCGCTCCCAGCAGGGGTGTTGAACTTGTAGGCGGAAATCTGCGTGCAGCGCTGCTCTACGCTCCGCTGAGGATCTTCTCGGTAGCAAAATCCCAAAGAGTTGGCGGTGCCAGTGCTCCAACGGTGGAGACTGCTTTGACTTCATTGCCTTGCGGAAACAGCGTCACTTACAGAGCATCCGGTTTGTACATGGGGTAGTGGTATTAAATACAACATGGGGTAGTGGTATTAGGTACAACATGGGGTAGTGGTATTAGGTACAACATGGGGTAGTGGTATTAGGTACAACATGGGGTAGTGGTATTAGGTACAACATGGGGTAGTGGTCTATAGGAAATGTACTCACAGTATACCGCACAACCACACTCGCAGCCACATGCTAGCAAAAAAAGGCCAGAAAATGATCAAGACAATGTCGGCCAGCAAGAGAGATGCCAGTGAAAAACGCAAGCAGAGCAATAGCACGGTGTTGGTGACTGGGCAGCAGGGAACGCCTGAAACATGACTCCCTATGTACCGTACTGGCAATATAATGGTCGCAGTGAGGCCATGAAGCGTTACATTGGCACATGTTTACCGCACGCAGGGCGTTACATGCAAAGTCGCACAGGAGCCGTTACACAGGTTTCTATATTGCCGCAGTCCTTTTTTGCTATTGCAGGACTTCCTGCTGCGTCCAGTTTTGAACTTTTCACCACGCGTTACACGTGCTTTCACAGTTTTCAGCCTTTTTTGCAATGAAAAGATCGCCGCACCCCGCCGGACGCGCGTTACGAACGCAACGAAAATTTGTCGCACTAGCCTGGTCGCGCGTTACGCCGCACCCCCCTGCGTTACGCGTTACGCGGCAATATTATATTGCCAGTACGGTATACAGCCACGACCGCTCAACCAGGCTGGAAGCCCCTGAAAAACTCACCTTGTGGCCAAACCACCCTTATACTGATATGGGACATACCCACTGCCAGTCACACCCAAAACCTGAATAGAGGCAAGTGGAAAAGGCAACATGAAACAACACCTCTGCAATGGGTCCAATCTGCGACACATACGACTCACCGAGTTTGAACATTGTGTCTGCGATGTAGTTACTATTGTCGTCGCACATGTAAACATTATGAGATAACTTGATGGAAAAACATCATAATTATTGTGGACAGCATGTTAGTTGCCATAGAGATAGTTGCCCGTTTGGTCGGCGATGGAAAATTCATAAAACTTCAAGCGAACAAACATGTTGATTCAGGTACTATAAGAATAAGAATAAGAAAACTGGTAGTCAAACAATTAAATGTAGAGAAAGGCTAGGTGAAGACTACAGTAGGTGCATCACTCGTGTACTAGAGTACTTGTATAAGAATAAATACAATGAATTCAGAACAGAACAACAAAAGGACAATCAAGGCTTGTTTGCTGCTACTTCAAGTTTCATGCTTACGCAATCATCAGGCAATATCATTGCGCAGGATGTTGCCTGATGATTGTGTGAGCATGAAACTTGAAGTAGCAGCAAACAAGCCTTGATTGTCCTTGTTGTTCTGTTCTGTATTACGCTCTGCCTCCGCGGTGTTGAGCACTGTCAGCACGCTGAGTACATCCTCCGGCACTGTGAATACACAAAATTTCAGCAGCTATTCGGCTACATTTGGTACCGACCCAAAACACTGAAATAAAAACGCTGATGAAGGTTTTGGCTTTGGGGATGTACATAATTATGACAAATATTAACCCCGTGCCGAAAATAATTACGTATCTAATATTGACTGAGTACGAGGTTAATATAGGAAATAAAAGCCGAGTAAAAGACCCAGGCGAAGCCGAGGTCTTTTACGAGGTTTTTATTCCTATCCTGACCAAGTACGAAGTCGATATTAGGTTTATCATGACTAGCCAAAACCTGTGTTCAATCGCTAAAAAGGAGTCAAATATAAGCAGTCAATATAGTCCTAAGGAGTGAAATATGCAGGAATATTTGACTGCTTAGGTATAGCGAAAATCTATGGGAGTCAATACTAAGGGAGTGATAATTCGAAGTATATCGCTGCCGGAATGTCGAAAATCGTGAAATCAGCAGCTGAAATTTTGCAGCACCGAAATTCTATTTCTTTACAGTATACAGCTCACCGTACTCGTATTGCACCTTCTTTTTGCTCTGTGAGTTTCAGACCTTATTGAAGGCAGGTCACCGCGGCGTATGAACAATACTCGTGCTGCCTACAGTATGGAGGCTTTCCGTTATCTCCGGATGTCTACATGTACGTGAGCGGCGACGATAGTAACGGCATCGCGATCGCAATCTTCAAACCGGCCGGGTGGGTAGTATATGTTTTCTGTTCAGTTGTCTGAAGATTGCCATCTGGCATGAAGCTATAAGTTGCAACAAACCAGACGCGTGGTACTCTGTGACTCGTGTGTTTCAACTGAAGTAGTATGTATATTTAGGATATTATTTGAGTGATTTCCCAAAGGCCGAAGCCTAAATTAATTAGGGGGTCTCCGAGAAACACATCGGTGTGATATACATGTACATGTACAATATTTTGAAAATATCCAATGGTGAGCCAATAGTAGTAGTTATGTAAAGAGAAAAGGACCTATAAGATGCGAGTTATGACTAACAGTCCACCAAGGTAACGAGATCTTATACAGTCAGATAGTGCGACAATAAAGCACAAAACTGACAGGGATACTGAGACATTCAACGACCTGACACCTAGCTCCAACACATCCACGAAGCGCAAACCAACAACATTCCTACTTGGAAGGCTTAGGTGCGGAAAATTCCAAAGAGGGGAATCGATTCGCCACGAAGATGTGCACCAGCTACTAGCCCTTTCCCAAAGGTGCTCTTTTAATTCGCACTTAGCGCTTTTCGCGTCCCTCAAAATATGCTGACAAAGTGCTCTTTTTTTCAGCGAAGCATAGCCATGATACATGTTCAGATATGAACCCAAGCTGAGAAATGAGTCCACGAAAGGCAAAACAGGAGGTAAAGTTCAAAAAACCACTTTTTACAGCATTGTGTACACCGGGTACAAGCTTCACCAACTTGTTGCCCCCCCCCCCCAAAAAGCGGCGTGCCAAGGCCCATCGAGCACTCGGAAACTGTGATCGCATGCATGAGCAAACAGATTTTAGCACTTTTTCAGCTAAAAAAGCTAAAAAAAGGGCGATATTCACAAACAAACGCAATAAAGGGCGAAAGAAACGGGCTTTTCCAAAAAGGGCGAAAAAAAGGCGAGCACCTTTGGGAAAGGGCTACCAGCTACATGTATGTCCCTGGGCAAAAAATATTAGTCATAACTTGCATCTTATACTAAGTTATAGGTCCTTTTCTCTTCACAGAAAGAAAAGATAAAAAAGATTAATTAAAAAAAATGTTAGTCCTAACTTGCATCTTATACTAAGTTATAGGTCCTTTTCTCTTTACAGAAATAAGAGATAAAAAAGATAAATTGATGAGAAAAAAGACGTCTGCAAAGAGGCACGCGAAATGAGTACTTGAAAAGAAGGCAGTAATCAGGAAGTGAGAAAATCTCGAGGATGGAATTAATATCTGTGGAAATGGGACTTAACTTGCCGGGTAAATACACCATGGGTTTCAGATAGGGTCCGGCAGAATTCAGTACTTTTTCTGGTAAGTTTCATGCATGTTTGGTATTGTGGATAAAGAACTACAGCAGAATTCGAGGAATTGCCCGCCATAAGGTTTGTATAGTTCTGCCAATTTCAATGCTTTTCGAGCAGAATCTGCCACCTTTTCGAGCAGAATCCGCCGGTCCCTAGTTTCAGATATCCTAGTCTCGGCAGGCAGGGATAAATATGTTACTGCTGTGTAATCAAGTGATGTGCTTCACTGTCCGAAGAGTGCTCAATATCCATGTAGGGCAGATCCTTGTACACAAGAGAGAGATTGGAAGCTGTGTTGCAACTCTGAGTTTCACGTATTTCTAAGATCATCAGGCAACTGATGGCTCCAAAACGGGTACCCTGAACGTAAGGGGGGGGGGGCAAGATGGGACATTCCGAGGGGTATCATAGCCCAAGAATGAGGTGAACTACTGCTGTGTAGAGTATTTCATGTACACTCATACCTCGCTTATCCAGCAGGCTCGGACCGGGCAGGGTTCGTCAAACTTTGAAATGTCCGTGACTCCTAATCACATACATTTTGATGGGGAAAAATCATAGATATGGCATGGAACGTCACTATTTCCACAGAAGGTGACAAAAGAATACAGTAAAACCTGGTGTAAGCGACCTCTGGGTTCAGCGACCACCTGCTCTTAACGACCGTTTTTCCATGCACCGACAGTTCCACACAAACACTGTGGGACCTGGTTATAAAGACCACCTGGCTATAACGGCCGCTTTTGCTTGCATCGTAGGGTGGTAGCTTAAACCAGGTTTTACTGTAGAAGTTAGTATTTAAACTTGAACTCGTCCAAAGGGCGCCTGGTAGATCAAAGTGCCGGTAACTTGGAGCTGCGGATAACCGAGGTATGAGTGTAATGGGCTGCTACATCCAGTTCAACTTGCTGCGACAAAAATATCAGCGAATGACATTTCTTTGTTCACTGCTTCATGTTTGGGCCACATGTCAATCTCCCCCTGCCACCCTAAAATAAGTCATGCAACAATCTCTCCAAATTCGCTCAGAATGTCCATGTCACTGAGGTCCACCCACTCCACCATCTCCCTTGGAGTTCGTAGCTGCGTGTTGGGTGCTGAAAGACCATCATGGTGTACTACTAAACTAAATGCTTTTATTGGAAAGAACCTTTATTGGAAAGGTGAGAAATGAAACCAAAACAAGGGATAATGTAAAAGGTTTCAACACCTTTGCATTTTTTTTTAAGCGTGACACATTATATCACTAGCACAAGAATGGAGAAATTGCACTCTGGTACAACCTACAACAAAAGTAGCATGAACTATTGGCCCTCTCTGACCAAGACACTACCGAACTACTTGAACAACTTCAACGTACTAACGCCAGGCTATCCTTTTGCACACACAAAATAGGCTTCCATTTAGACTTGTGTGTGTTGTAAATCATGGAGTCACAACCACTCCTGCAATATACTAGTTGGTGCTGTACACGCAGGACACCACGAGAGAAAAGCCACTTCCTGTATACGTCACACTACCCAGGACCACGCTGGTCCTGGATATGGAAACTTCGTTCTGCATTACATTTGTACCTTGACTTATCACTGAGTCGACACAATTAACAAACGATGGCAGATCACCTTGCCCCTTATCTGGATAGATCCATTCACAATGACTAAATGCGTGAAGGTCTGCATACACAATGACTAAATGTGTGAAGGTTTAGTTGCAGATGCCTTCACCATCCCAGTACAAATAGCAACTACTTGAAGTATTTGTGGTTGCCGTATTGACAATGCATGCAATAACGTCGTCCTTGTCCAGCTTCAAATTTTGTCCCGTCAGTTATTCTTCCACTGCCCACAGTATACGTAGCTTGACGCCGGCGATGGCAGGAATCTCAGGCGGTGTTGGCGGGTCCAGTGCTCCAACTCAGGAGACTGGTTTGACTTTGTCGCCTTGGGGACACAATGGCGTGAAGTGGCTCTGCACTGTCTGCGCTCAGCCTTCCATAGCCTGGCACACTCTGCCTGGCACACTCTGCTATGCAGTGGGTGTAATGCTGCTCTGCGTTCCACATATAGTGTTCGCAGTGAAGAGTACGGAGGTTTTGACTCTCCTCATACCTGGGAGCCGATGATGGCAGCAGTGGTGTTGGCAGTGACTTAGGGTACACTCTGCTGTGCATGGCACGTGCTACTCTACTCTCTGGTCTGTGCAAGATCTTCTCAGGAACGAGTATGGTGGTGGTATGAGCGTTGGCGGCGTTGGCGGCCGGAAATGTAACCGTTTCCGCGCACATAAAATCACAGGTCACTCACCACTCAAACTGAGGTATCACACATGGAATTCATGCCACTACTCCCACCGTGCCTGGACCTAGAAATCTAGCAGCGAAAGTGATTGCTGCTCCTCCCCTTTGTAATCAGGGTTAACAGAGAACCAGGCAGTAGTGGTGGTGGTGGTGGCACTACACGCTCTGCTGTGCAGTGCATGCACTTCCTCTCTGCGCTCTGCCAACGCCCTGGGGGCCAGGCGGAACGATGGCCATACACCAGCTTGCATTTCTGCTGGCAGTACTCTCCTGTGGTGGGGTGCCAGTGCTCCAACTGTGGACACTGGTTTGACTTTGTTGCCTTGGGGAAACAATGGCTGCTTCTTTCAGGAAAACATCTTGACTCAGTCACCACTCAAACATCCGTTTCCTCCATCCTCTGCCACCATCGCGACTGGCTCTCCTCATAGGTGGGAATTGTAATCAGGGTTAACAGAGAACCAGGCAGCAGTGGTGGTGGTGGTGGCACTACACGCTCTGCTGTGCAGTGCATGCACTTCCTCTCTGCGCTCTGCCGACGCCCTGGGGGCCAGGCCGAACGATGGACACACGCCACCACTCAATTCTGCTGGCAGTACTCTCCTGTGGTGGGGGTGCCAGTGCTCCAACTGTGGACACTGGTTTGACTTTGTTGTCTTGGGGAAACAATGGCTGCTTCTTTCAGGAAAACATCTTGACTCAGTCACCACTCAAACATCCGTTTCCTCCATCCTCTGCCGCCATCGCGACTGGCTCTCCTCATAGGTAGGAACCGGCGATGGCGGCAAAGGGGCTGGGGGGTTCTCCAGCTCTTGCATGACATGACATGCTCCCCCCCCCAGCTGCAGGGCTGATCTTTTCACCAATCCGTATGGTGGTGGTGGCGGCATTGGTGGTGTTGGAGGCCGGACTCTGTAACAGATACTATAAAATGGGATATGATATAAAGATCAATTGGAGACAATGAGAAATATGTTCAGCGTATGCAACCCCCGTACTAGTGTATATCTTTATCCTATCCCGTTTTATAATATCTGTTACAGAGTCCGGCCTCCAGCACCACCAATGCCGCCACCACCACCATACGGATTGGTGAAAAGATCATCCGTGGAGCAGCGGCATGGCATGCTATGCAAGAGCAGGAGAATCCCCCAGCACCTCTGCCGCCATCGCCAGCTCCCAGACAGCGGAGACAGCGGAGAGACAGCGGCGATGGCAGCAGAGGCTTTCTGATGCACACATGGACAACATGGAGGAAACGGATGTTTGAGTGGTCAGTGAGTGGTCTGTGCTCGAAATTCACATGTCAGAAACAAGTGCTAGATGTATATGATTGCTGGATTTGACGATGATGACAGCCGCAGATACATTAGTCATAAACCCCTAAACATCCTCTCTCTCTCTCTCTCTCTCTCTCTCTCTCTCTCTCTCTCTCTCTCTCTCTCTCTCTCTCTTCGTGGCGGCTCATTGGTAATCGATTCCTGTGGACAAATGCTGGTTTGATTTTTCTATCGTTGTGCAGCCCTGACTGGAGTGAATACCCCAGCTGCCATGGCCTCTCGTTTGTCAGTGGTTGCTACTAGACCTTCTAGTATCACACTCGCGACTACAAGATTCGTGGTGCACATGGACATCGCCATCAGTGAGGCCTCCCGCTGTCAATCCTGTTGAGGGGCGGACAGGTCGGTGTGAATCCTGAACGGCAACCGAGCCCGTCGCGTTGGAGGATCTCAGCGGTGAGTCTCGCCTCGCCTGCACACAGGGACATTGCACCATCATAATTATCACTACGAACAACATCCATGTACTTTCCAGTGGCATCATTATTCTCGCTTTGTTGCAATCAGTTGCAGGGTCATTTCTGCGTAAGATTTGCGTCACCTGTGTGTTGTGTTCCTCCACCAATAAGGTTACATTTTCATCTGCTTTTATCGGTGGTTACCCATCACATACACAGGGGGGGGGGGGGGGGCAGTTCAATGTCAAACTATTGCGGGAGTGCTAGTTTCATATTGTGTCAACATGCCAAAAGGAACGGATTTCACTAATTTGACACAAGCCAGCCAGCCTGGATTTACCTGGCGATGTTGGTGATGCAAATCTGTATAGTTCCATGGCAGACTCCATGTGCAACATTTCCTAAATCGGCCGGCCGAGAAATTCGCCGAAAATAGTGGTTTCGAAAAAGTCACCGATCTCTTCGCCGACTATGCCCCTCAACAGCTTGCAAATACAGTTTCTGTAACCATTATACTGCAAATGGTGACTGCCACTTTAGGCATTTCCGAAATCGGTCAGCAGGAAAAGACGCAAAATCAATGTCTGGCAAGAAATCGCCAATAATAGCCCCGAATTTACAAATTTCGCACTGAATTCGACGGAAATCGATGTTTTATGCCTTTGCAGCGTACATGACATGTTAATGTACATGTGTACTGCGAGCGGTGGTTTCAAGTACTGCTTTGAGTCTAATTCTGCCTTTGGGGCTCATAATATGGCCGAATTTTGGCATCCTCTTAGGCGATCGGAAAGCCAATTAGGCGAAAGTATCGGGCGGAATTGGGATATGCCTAGTACATTGTGTTAATCTATTGTAAGGACATTTTGAAACGTGTTTGAGGCTGGTCAGCTTGAACAACACAAACCAGCTGAGCTGTATTATTATGGTTTACCTCTGTTTGCCCCAGCTGCTTCAGCTGCTACCTCCTCAGTCACTGCCATCGTTGAAAGTTTCGTCCACAAAGCACTCATCTATCATTCCTTCCTACGCTCCGTGACATATATAACTCACTTTCAGCCTCACTTTCTTTTTACATGCATATCTCCAGTAATTGGGATTTGTATTGTGAAACCATACTGACATGATAGTTTTATACAATTCACATCCCAGTAAGCCATGAACGGAGACCCCCTCGACTTAGGCCTCGGCCTTTGGGGAATGCATAAAAAAATAAATAACATGGCGTGCGACAGCTAGCCGCTTGCACCTCTTTCCCTTATGCATGTAATATCTTGCACATAACCCCGCTTGCCGTCGCGTCATTAATTTTCATTTCCCTCACGTATTCTAAGCGCCTGTAGCCATCACAGCGCGTGGAATATTGCACCTTGCAGTTGCACCGGTTTGTTGGTACATTGCAGGGCAAGTATCTCCCCATCTTCTAACTACTTACTATTATTTCTTTTAAACCTTTCTCACATTATGCGGTAATACAGTCACCCTTGCGCCTTTAATGAGATTATAAGTTTTGTAACTTTCAATTCGGACTTTGTAGCCCAATAGTTATTGGTGTGTTCTCTAGATCACTATTCGATGTATATGTAGATTCACTGATGACCATCAAGGAAAAACGTTTTATGGATTATTCTTTTCATCAGAAGACATAGCACCAAACTTCACTAGGCACCGGCGGATTATGCCGGCATAATTGCTAAGTATTGGTATAATTTGGTGGTTGACAATTAGGAGAATAATTTGGCATCTTTTCGGAGGTAGGAGCACAACTACATGATTGTGCCACAGTTCTAGTATGTAGGCTACACAATTTGTACAATGGACCTGATCAGCTGGTGGTCTGGTGGTCTGCATGGTAAAGGGTTCGGAGGTCATGCAGAAAATGTTTTCAATGAAGAGCAGGGTAGACTTGAACCATGGCAATACATAACTGTATGCTCGAACTCGTCTTCTTCAAAAGTTCTTTCTCACACTGATCCAGTACATGTAGCAGAAGATGCGAGCGAATCAGTCTTTGTCAGGTATCCCGGGGCGGACGAGATAGTGACGGGTAGTCAGCAGAACTCTGGGTACATTAATTTTGCATTATGCATGATGCGAAGTCATGACCTCAGGATGTTAGCAGCCATGACTGTGCAGGCTATGGATATTGCTCTTATAATTAAAAAAAGTGGTCACTTAAAGGCAAAAAAGAAGCCTTCTACTGTAGGCTTGATATCAACCTACAATGTACACACCACTCACATCCATTCAAAAACAACATTAGTATCATCCTTGGACAGACGTGCAGGTGTTCCCTGCATGCCTCTTGATACCTGGTATGACCAGAAACAGCAGAATGATCACTAGGAGGATGACTGTTGTACCTCCAAGAATGGATAATGGTACAATATTGGAGGACGATTTGGATCCGTAAAATCCTCGCATCTGTGCCCTTTGCACATCTGCTGGTCCTAATGCAAACACAGAAACACATACTAGAATTTGTCAGCTGATCCACTAACATTGAAATACCCAAACAACCAACTTGAACTTCACTTAATGCAGCAACAAGTTTACCCCTCATCACAGTGATCATGCAATGCATCCAGGAATGTACAGGGAGTGGACCACCAAAGTCTGCTGTGTCAGCTTAAAGGAGAAGTATACTCTAAAATCAATGTTTCACCAGTTGTAGTCTTCAGGGTGCTGAGTAGAATGGTCTTTATCCGAGGGAGCTCAGACGCTCCCTTTCTCTTTTATTCCCAATCAAACTTGCCACTTCCACAGAAACTGGTTGACTGTGCCCTACTAGATGGGGATGTGTAAGAAAAATGTCACTAAAAGCGCCATTTCTTTCTTATAAAAGAACGGATGAGCACGATTGGCCCATGTGTTTTAGTCTTCTGGACGCGGAGTCGACTGGTATTGAGGCTGCGCTGCAGCATTCGGCCCTTATTTCCAACCGAACATGGTTTAATAAGCGGTCATGTGTACACCAGTCACCTGATCACCGTGCCTGCAGGCTATAATTTTCACCGGCATGGTTCAACTCGAGTGACAGGAACGGGCACACACAGACTGTTGGTTGCAGCCTACAGGTACGGTGACCATGTGGCTGGTGCAGGCATGAACACGTGACCGCTTATTCAACGGGACCTCATGTCATGATTCGCAGGCAAGCCTGCAAACCAATACGTCATTTGCGTTAAATTTCGAAATTGTGAAGTTTTTGGCCACTACCAGAACGACTTGCAAAGACGGCAGACATAATACTTACCTGAGCATGCTACAATCTCATCACTCCATGTTCCATTGTCTTGACATTTGATGACTTGATGCTGTTGTGATAGATTTCCTGATACATACAATCCATCCTTGCATGTCACATTCACTGTTTGTTTATGGGAGACATTTTGGCTCAAGATAAAGATGGTTTCGGGATTGAAAGAACTTGCAACGAATGCAATCCAAAGGAAATCGGTTGGAGCAGTGCAGTAGACTTTAGTTTGAGATTCATGACTTGAAGATGGACTCTTCTCTATGGAGTTTTCAGCATGGTCTGTTGTGCTAACACGTCTGGTAACACCAGGTCCAGGACCAGCAGAGTTGACAGCAAACACTGTAATCAGAACATCACTGTTGTTCAGTAGTCCAGTGATGTTGTATTGTAACATTGCTGTACTGATATTGACCTTGACTCTCTGCACAGATGACTGAGAATTCACCATACTATACTCCAGTGTATAGTACAGGATATTGCCTGGTCAAAAGAGAGAAAACAAGACAATGGTAGCACATTTTCAAAATTCTAGTCGGAAAGAAGAAGTGATCAGTGACCATTTGTGGTAGATGAGTATAGAGAATGAATGAAGCAGCCCACAATAGCAAAAGATAAAGCTACTACTGGTTTCAGACCAGCAACAAGGTGTGAGCCGGCGAAATGTTTTGAAGAACAGCACGAGATATAACGGGAAAAAGCAGCACAATATATTCAGACAGTACCAAGAGGAGCACGGTCTGCCCTGATCAAACACGGCAGTGCAATGTTCTGCTTCATCCTACAGCGGTTAGGCTGCTGTGTGAGAATATACACAGATTCCTGCATTTTCAAATGATGATCAGAATGACCGCGTGACAAAATATCAACACAATCATCAAGATAGAAATAAAAACTTTCGGAAACAAAAGAAAAGCAATTTTCATAATTGATATTTTTATTATAGAAAACCCCTGGTAAATTGGTACCAATATGAAGTAACTCTAAGATGCCAGAAGTTCTTCCTACGTGCTAAATATTACCTGTGACTATGCTAGAGGAGAGAGGGTAGTGGACTGGCTATCAAGGGTAAGTTTTATCATAACAGCCTAAGACTGCCTGCTACAATCACCGGACTAAAAATGAACAATGCTGGCATGTCTTGACAGCTGGTAACATCCACAAGTAACTTAGTTTTGTGCCAACACTTACATTTTAACGTAAGTGTTGGCAGGAATGGGACAGAACAGAAGCTGCGATCAGCACTTTGTGTGTGTGTGTTTATGTTTGTGTATGTGTGTGTGTGTGTGTGTGTGTGTGTGTGTGTGTGTGTGTGTGTGTGTGTGTGTGTGTGTGTGTGTGTGTGTTGTGCCAGCTAGTTCGGTTGGTGGGTACACTTATGCCTGATTGTGTTGGGTCGGTTGCCAACGGGCTCGGCTACTTGAAGGTGTAATGTTGTACCTGCCACCTTTGTTGGTTCCAGGGTTCATATACTGTCCATTTGAAGTATAAATACCTGTTAACCATGGACTGCTTCTGGCTAGATAAACTCTTGTGTAATCAATGGTGCTAGTGAAGCTTATATCAAATCCACTCTGATCTAGCCACCCACACAAGTAGCAAGTATTACCTTCACTGGGGCAGGGATAACTGCAGTTGGATCCCTGGACGGATACCCTGATGCCGTCAATCCTTTTTCTGCACCTTGTCCTCACCCACTTACTGAAGTGTGGTGAGCCCATAAGTGGGTTCATTTTCAAGTCCACCCAGAGTGTTGGGTATTTCAGGGGGTGTCGGCCGTTGGGTGGTTCAATAGCCAATTGAGTCATCTTTCCAAGATTCCTTTTGACTCTCTCTCCCCTCTCCCGGGAGACCCACGTGACCAGTTTTGGCCGTGATCAACAAGTGTTTGTTTGTGTGTGTGTGTGTGTGTGTTTGTGTGTGTGTGTGTATGTGCGTGTTTGTGGGTGCATACATCTGTGTGTGAAAAGGAGGAGCACCAAAAATTCCAACGGCGAAAAACAAACTACCTTGACTACCGATAGATTATTCATCCCCCTTGCAGAGGTGTCGGGGTCAGCAGACGGTCCATGCAGCGATTGTGGTTTCATGTCAATGTATATGTACATGTATTTTCACATGTTTAAAAGTACACATACTACATGTATAGAGTACCTACCATTAGATATGCGAGGTGCTTCCCACTTTGTCTGCACTGCAGAGCTGGATATTACCATGGCAACCACACGATTTACAGGACCTGGTGCTGTGTACAATAAAAGCAGCAACAATAACAAAATTTGTGTTACACTTCCATACAAAAAAAACAATGCGCTACATTTTTACAGAGAGACATACATTACAAAAATTCCTCTCTGTGTTGACATGCCATGCACAATTAGAGGATGGCAAAACTGTACTCCACTGACCAAAAGCCTCGGAAAATACAATGTTGCAGAATCTACACCTATGTCAGCCACATTGCAAGTGTGTTTTGCCTAAAACTAGGATTTTTAAGGGCGAAACAAAATAACAACAGAAAGAACATAAAACAGCACCAGCACAATGACAAATCCAAGCACAGCTGCCACACAGCTGTTCGCCCGACTCATTCCCCCCCCCCCCCCAGACCCGCCACTTGACACCATAAGAGTAAAAACGACGTACTGAAGCTTGATAGCATGATTGTGCTTGCACCGGGACCACGGCACATTTTGTTACATCATTCTTGGAAAAAAGAACTCAGCCAACGAGAAGGGCAAGCAACAACCATATTTCTAATGAGCGAGGAACAACATATGATAAGGCAACTGTACCTTTCAAAAATTCAATACAAATGATAAAAACCCTGATTAATCCGATTTCCGACTCACCGAATTCCTTAGGGGTGAAGTTGATCCAAGCCTTCTGTCCAACACCAGCTCTATTGATTGCTGCAACTGCTATTTGGTATGTTGTGAAGTATCTCAGACCAGACAAGGAGATTGAATTGCTGACCCAACCTGGAATAACAAGAAACAAATCATTGATATCATGATAGAACAAGTAATGCCAGTCAGAACATTGTATTTTCTGCACGCTGTGGTGAGTTGGTACGTCACCAGAAAGGTCCAGACTGTCAAGCTGCCCATGTTAGTGGAGAGAGTCAAGAAGATGCACTGATAGAAACTTACTTTCATGGAATAATGCAGATCCATGTAGAGAGCAGTTGTATTGCTGACATGGACAGTCCTGATGTGTAATACATTCAGTGGCATTGAAAGTAATTTGATATCCAGTGAGTACTCCATGGGTAAGTGCTGGTGACATTGGCTGTAGGAAAAACATGCATGAATCAAAATGCAAGAGAGATTATTGGCAGTTGGATACTAAATATCAGATGTATCATGCCGGAGAAGTGGTGTCCCTTGACAGCTGTGTACCGCCAGTACAGGTTGAAGGATTGTAGGAGCATTTTCTACCCAAAAGTGTACTCCGAATTTTACATGATCTTCTACTGCATACCACACTAGAAACTGGCAATGCCGCTGTTTTCCTATACCTTTGTTCAAGCTGTGAAGAGATGGATCAGTTTTACATTTGATGGTGCTATGTATATCAGAAACACAATACAATGCTGGAAACGTGCTAACATTATGCTCTTGACTAAGAAGATAAGAATGTCCTTCTATGGATGAATCATTGGTTTTCATTCAGTGATAAACTGTACTGTTGTCTTACTTTGAAGAATGTGGTGACATGCCCTGCTGAACTAGACACTGTAGAGAGATTTTCCGGTTTTCCTGGGGCTGCACATACAGCAGTCAGAATCGTTAATCAATTTATGCATTTATGCAGAGAATCACAATCTCTTATGACTGGAATAGTGAACACAATCTCTGTCATATTGAACATGCACAGATGAACGCTAAACTGAAAGACAGGGCCCCAACAGAGTACTTACGCGACTCAGGAGTGTTCAGCTTAAGAATTGGGCTTGGAAAGCTGATACCAACTGCATTCTCTGCACGATACCAGCAACTGTACTTGGTGGCTGGTTGAAGACCAGTAACAGTGACACTGGTCACTGAAAACCTCTGTACAGTGTCCTTCACATATGATCTGTACTCCACATCAGGTCTGCAAGTGACTTCATAACTTGTTATTGGTGAATTGCCAGTCGATGATGGTGGGACTAGATGAAGACCAACAGACCTTGCCAGAAGAGAGTATGGCATGATTATAGCAGGTACTGGTTTGAGCCAAAATCTGGGTATATCTACATGAAGACAGCCATACCCAACACAGAACATCAAACTTCGAAACCTGGGCAGGATTTCCTTCATGAAACTGTGTCCTCTTGCAAAGTTGGTAGATAGTGGAAAACGTATTGTACCAAGCTAGCCCGAACGTACCCAACCGGTTGTTGCTTCGGAAGTTTGCGGGCTTTTCCGGTATGTCCACAATTTTGAAGATGGTGCATATGCATTAGTCGCATTTAGTGACCAGCATAATATCCATGCCATGATAAAGTGCACAAGATAGTGGGGAAATGGCTAATTGGAGAGGACTCTACTTTGAGTGAAGACAATTTCATGGCATTTGTCCCGCAACGTTCCGCAAACGCGCAGACCCCCGGCTGGAAAAGAATGGACGTGATATATTCAAGTAAAAATCCCTAAAAATAGTTTCAAGGAACTACTCTGCTAGGTGAGGTTTGATCACAAAGATGGTCACCAGACACAGCAGCGAACGGAAACTACTTGCTTGCTATGAGTGGTGACACCACTTTCTCCTTTCGCTCGTAGATGTATTTATCACAGCAGTCAATGAATGACCAACCTTTCCCTAGCAAATCCAGCAAGTTGGCGAACCAGCAGCAACAATGGGGTGATAGACTGAAATGTAGAGTTTGTAGGATGAGCATGGTAAGCAAATGCTCTTTTAGCTTGCCGTAAACCGACGAGAGGTCGCCCTTTCGTTTCACAGTTTGCCAGCTGCTAGTCTCCAAGATTGAGCACCTGAAATTGGTTCTTCCTTTTAAAAGGTACCCTTTTAACCCAAGGACGTCCGTTTCCATACATATTACCCAAAAGAACACCAGACGGGTATGTTAAAGTCCGGTGGAGTCTAATGATGCCTCCGTTAATTCTAGGGTTGTTGACATTTTGGTAGTTCTAGGGTTGAGTAAGATTTATACAAAAGAAAAATCGACCAAGGAACTACAAGGTATGCTATAATGTCCACTAGCATCACCAGTTACTAAACAATCAGCTCATGCGATAACATTGCACGACACTGACCGACGGTACTTTTTTTTTTTTTAAATGTTTATTTGAATTCGGATAGCTCAACAGTACAGAAGTACAACTACAAAGAGTACCGAATAGAAGGCCCCGAGAACGGGAAACCAAAAAACCAAAAACAAAAACAGCAACATCAATTTTCTGATTATGCACATTGCTTGAAAGCAAATCACAACAATGATTAAGAGTTAAGCTGTCTTTTAGCCAAATAGCCAATTTGACGCGGAAATCTGCGATAGTAGTGCAGGACTTCAGGTCGTCTGGTAAATAATTCCAAACAAGAGCCGATTTACTTGAAAAGGACAGAAAGCCAGACATAGATCTATAGCGATTGATACTCATGTTATGAGTTGTTGAGCCGCGAGTAGTTCGGGTAGACGTACAGATGGGAAAGAGGGACTGCAAGCAAACAGCCGGCTTAATACAGTAACAGTGGAAAATGAATACAAGGAACAAAAATACTGATCGATATTGGAAAGAGGAAACATTGAGGTGGTGAAGAAGTGGCGTGATACTGACGTTCTACAACAAACTGGCTCACAACTGGCTTATGTTATTTCTATAACTTAGAACCTTCTAAGTTGGAAGGCTGTTGGAGTGCGCATCCAAGATGTGCTAGAGCTGTTAGCCAGTTACATGTAGTTGTAGAACGTCAGTACTGTCGGTCAGTGACGTGCAATGTTATCGCATGAGCTGATCTTTTAGTAACTAGTGGTGTTAGTGGACGTTATAGCGTAACACCTAGGGGTAATGTTCGATTCATCCATGTCCTGGTCGGCTCATGAAGATTACATTTGTAATAAAGTCAGCCGTGCTCTTGGCTAAAGTCATTGTAAACATCTCTCTATTCCGTGCCGTTCAGCTATATATAAAATTTATCTCCTTCCATTGTTTGAATATGCTGCCACAGCCTTGGTGTGGCCTAGCTAAGGTCTTATCCGATTCCATTGAAGTTCATCATAAGAAAGTTCTAAAAATTTGTTCTCGAAGAAACCTTCCTTTCCCCCACCCCCAGTAAGTTGTACTTACTAGCTCAGACTACTCCGTTAGAGCAACGCCGACTAACTTGCCTCTGTATATTGGTTCATCGAATGCTCTTGGGTTGTGTTCCTGAACACATAAAACCTTATAACTGGGGTTGTTTCGGGCCGCTCAACCAGAAACAAAGTGTCTCTGCCCAAGGCCAAGTCAACGCAATTCACAAGATCGCCATTCTTCCAGGGCTACTGTGCGTGGCTGCAACTTCCCGACTCAGTGAAGACTTCTTCATCAGTGAAAGAATATAAAAGTGAATCTGAGGGCCTGCTGATGACTGCGTGCACAATAATATTAATAAAACTAATCAACCAAAGGATGTACCCAGAGTGCTTGACAGTGCTCAACACCACAAAGGCAGAGCGTAATACACAACAGAACAACAAGGACAATCAAGGCTTGTTTGCTGCTACTTTAAGTTTCATGCTTACGCAATCATCAGGCAACATGTTGCCTGATGATTGCGTGAGCATGAAACTTAAAGTAGCAGCAAACAAGCCTTGATTGTCCTTGTTGTTTGTTCTGTTGTGTAAAACTAATCAATATAGCTTTTCGGCTGTTTCCTTTTCATGTATATAATCTTCTCCTTCTTTTACCATGGTTGGCTATCACCCACATCTTCCCGTTTTGGCTACCATCGGAAGCCATAAGATGTTGAATAAATAAATATAAATAAATAAACTTGTAGTTCCTTGGTCCATTTTCTTTTGTATAAATTAATCCTTGGCTCTCCATCCGAGTTCAGTAAGATCATCTTTTTTTCTGAATGGACTATGAAATGTGCTGAATTTGTTCTGAACCATGACTCGGTACACGGGATGACTGGTCTCTCCATTTCCCCTACGAAAACGGTGATACATGTATCTATATGTGATATATGCATTTTCAGTTCTATGTGTCCTCGTAAGAGAGGGAGGCTTTTGAAATACCCAGCCCCCCCCCCCCTGTTGACAAAATTATGAATGATAAACTTACCAAGAACACGTAGATGAAGTTGTTTCCAATCATCACCATAGCGACTAGAAGCAGAGCAATTGTATATGCCAGAATCTGCCGCTGTTACTGCACCACCAAATGAATGTGTCCAACCATTTACACCCAGCGCTCCATAAATCGGCACGCCATTCCTCGTCCAGGAATACTTCAGTTCATCGCCAGCCACTTTGCAGTGCAAAGCTAGAGACTCAAGCTTCCACGATGATGCAACGACTGTCATTGACTTGGTAATGAATGTGATTTTGGTTTTTGCTAGAAATGGAACATAACATGAACATTTCAAGAACAAAATTTGGGTTCTATGCCCGTTTGAACTTGCGAATCAAAATAAATACAAACAAACAAAACAAATTCCACCCTGGTATTGATCAAAGTGCCTGGTGTCTGGCACTAGCCAGGGTCCACAGCGCTTCATTTAGATGTGCATGTCGTAGGGCCATCATCACATATCGTGCAATGCCCTGGCGCACCTTCCCGTACATGTCCCGCACCGTACCGCAAAAGAATGTGGACCACATAAGGTAGCGATGAACAGAGAATTGCAGGCACCAAATACACTTCTGACGGTGTTTCAAGCCATCATTTCCAAATCAAGCAACGCTCAAACGTAATGGTTTTCTCGAGCACTTCAGAGTTTTCAACAAGTTAGCAGCGACTTTGTAGGTGTAGCTTGTGTGACATACCCTGTTCGACTTGCAACTTCATTTAACCGATCAAGTCGTTGAATGACGCTTCGTCAGAACAATCACCGTTCGGTTCTGAAAGCTCAACATCGTGGCACTGCGTAAATTTCATGATTTGAAAAGCAGATGGATTCTACGCATTTTCGCATGGAGAGCGAACTACCAAAAAGACGAATCATTTATCGAATGAAAGGAAATCTCGACAGAAGTTCTTCTTTGCAGCAAGATAATGACAATCGCTTTTGCAGAGCTTCCTGGTAAGACATAGGCAGTTTGTAGGCATTACAGTCGTTCTCGTACGCATTCAAACTTCATGCCAGTTTTCTACAACTACAGTCCATTTCAAAACTATAGACGCGTACCTAGGCAAAAACCGTTATGCCAGCATCTATACCACATAAAATCTGTGATCACTTTGTGCATAATTTTTTCCAAATTGGGCGTCTGTTATCCAATCCTTTAGAAACTATATGAGAGTAATTGTGGAGCGATCCTGAGCAATATTCCGAAAACGTTTCTCAAAAAGTTCCAGCCAAATTTGAAATATTTCAAAAACCCTACGCGTCTATAGTTTTGAAATGCACTGTATATTGACCTAAAAAGACGAAAATAGTATGGACCCGCTGGGGTGGGCGTTCGCTGAGAGGTGGGCGTTTGCAGCGGACTTTATGGTAGTAGTCCTCAGTTGTGCTGAGTTACCAGAAGAAAATATTCATACCACACCAATTCTCCCTGCACACGAACCACAAAACTACCCAAAATAAGGGTACACAAGCATAAATGCTGCATAATGCAAGTGGGATAATGCATGTAACATCGTTCTAAAATAGCTAGTGCATGGCAAGGAGGGCCTTATGGCTTGTTTGTGCCCTTCAGGTCAGCCCTCGGGCCTACAGCCCTCAGACTAACCTGTGGGGCACTAACAAGCCATAAGGCCCTCCCTGCCATGCACTAACCTATACTTATACTTGCACGTGGCATGCAGAGTGCAGCCAGGTGTATCAGGTTGCATCTTGGATGACACAACCAAGATGAGCAGACATGTACATCAATGCATACGGTGTACATGTACATGTATGTATATGCCCAGAGGCAAAAGGACATGGCTAGGTACAACGAGCATACAAGGAAAGCGAGAATTAACCCCACAACACATGTATAACATACAATATAATTACACGTTTGTACATTATACAATTTATATACACAATCCAAAACTCCTCTGAATCATACTTACCGCCCACTACTAGGTGGAAGTTCCTGGAATAACGCAAACCTACATCCTGTAGGCTGCACTTGTATTCACCAGCTATGTCCTTGGATATTGTACGTGGCCAAACAATACTGCGGTAAACCGATATATAAATGACGTACGATACAATTACGTGATTGAGAACACGGAGACGCTGATGATTGGCTACCGGAGAATTCTGTAAGAACCAGAAGTGTGTAGACGGTGGGTAGGGCTGGTGATCTTTAGTGTTTTGAAGAATGCAGCAGGTCACTGCTGGCAATGACGTTGATAGTTCATTTTCCAACCTATAGAGAACTTCACCCCTGGTTACATTGGATATGGGCAAATAGAAACTGCAACCTGCCAGAAGAAAACCAGATAAATGCATATCATTGGAACAATAGTCAAACTTAAGAAGAAAGTAAGCAGCAGCACTCTTCACTTGAAAATTCTGCGTCCATTTCACCACCACCACATTTGCGCTCTGCGGCCGAACATGTTCATTCCCCACAACAGCAACAAGAGGTTCAGAGTACTGAAAATATTTTAATTCCTTCTGACAGCTGTTTCGGTCATCAGAGACCTCATCAGAGAAGGTAGAATGTTGAATGACTCGAAAAAAGAGATAAATCACCTACATGTATTCTATACTGACTCTTGCAACAAGATGGCACATCAATAAGCACGCGCTTGATACTCAAAGTGTGAAAAATAAGGTGTAAAACTCAAGGACTAGTTGTTATTGTAAAAATCAAAGGAACGTCGGGATAGAGCGGATAGTTATGCCGGATACTGCAGCACAGCACAGATACGGTAGTCATGCGAGTGGCCCATCTGGCATCTACTCGATTCACTCCCTCACCATACTGCACCGTCGGCTCACTCCATGCGCGTCCCGTTGAGTTCACGTACATACTAGTACGCACAGTCATTATTGAAGACTTGTTGGCTGTTGTGTTGAAAAATACCTATCACCTCTATCCTGATGTTCCTTTGATATTAACAATAGGGCTTGAAAGTGCTACGTCACAGCATAGCAACAATTTCAAAAATTCAAAAACTGGATCCACTTGGATCCAGTTTTTGTATGGATTCAAGCACATTTCAAGCAGTCTTACTCACAGCAAGTTGATGTAGCCAGTGAAACTGACTGATTTGGCCAATGGGGGCAGGTGACAACTGGTGGCGAAGTAAAAGTCACACCTGCATACTTCATGAGTGGGTTGCTATGCACCCACATACTGAGGAAATAGCAAAGTCACACCTTAGTGGATCCAAAATAGAAATCTCATGTCTACTTACTACTCCCTGGCCGTTTTTGACGTCATCACTTTCAAGCCCTATAATACCTAGTCCTTGAGTTTTACACCTTTTTACACACTTTGAGCATCAAGCGCACTTATTGACGCGCCATCTTGTTGCAAGAGTTAGTTTAATATAGGTGATTTCTTTCTTTTTTAGAGTCATTCGACATTCCGAGTACCTTCTCTGATGAGGTCTCTGATGACCGAAACAGCTGTCAGAAGGAATTAAAATATTTTCAGTTCTCCGAACCTCTTGTCGCTGTTGTGGGGAATGAACGTGGCTGGCCGCAGAGCGCAATTGTGGTGGTGGTGAAATGGACGCAGAATAGTCAAACTTTATAAAGAAAACAGTTATGTCATTACACCCAGTTATGTCAATATACCCTCCCTATCGTCCGCAAGTCCAAATTTATGTCTGCGGGTAAATCACCATGGGGGGGGGGGGGGCACCTAGGCTGCACAATCACCGATTACAGCACCTGCCGTTCGTGCATCAGTTGGGTTACTACAGTTTTACCAGTTGCTCTTGGGTGAAGGGAAAACGTGTTTGAGCATCTAGGATTTGGTAAGTTCAAAGCTGATCTTCCATGCCTTGCCTATGCTAACCACAGCCTCCGCAGCATTCTGGAGTTGATAGCAAGGACTTTCCCCAGTGTCATTGACAATAATACAGTGTTGACGTGTTCAATCATCGCCATTAACATAATCAGTTCTGAAACTAAGGACAAGTCTTGTAAAACATATCAAAGCATACTTACTTGGATATCTTTCAGAAAATCCAAATCCATGTGTAATTGGCGGAAACCAAAAGAGCATTGCCATTAAACAAGTGTACTGTCCCTGCAAAAATAGGGCAAGCAAATACGAACGCTCAGGTAATCTATAAATCTTTGGAGCGAGGTTAGTACCGTCGTCTAGGACTCGACAAAGGGAAACGTTGATAATTTTTCTTTCTATTCAATGCCTAGTATTACATGTTAGGAAGTAGCAGATTGAACTTGAATTGAGATCCAATGATAAAAATCACGAAGAAAGGATCAAAAGTTGATATGAAGTTGAAACTACGGACAACATTTCAAAAACCTTTCATCTTTCTTCTTGATTTTAACAAACGAAGGAATTGGTTAGTCTCTACTTGTGCATGTATTTCATTTTCATTTATTTCAATTTTGCGGTGAAGAGTTGCGGATATGGCCATAATTACCGTGATGTGGCAATATTAGGGGACATACGCAGAGCCTGTTCTCTATTTCGCTGCTCCTTGTCCTTTGGTGTATATTGAATGTCTCCAGGAAATTTCAACGAATTTCAATGAGAATTGGCTGAGATGTGGGTATTATTTGGTTTACGGGTCACAAAGGTGCAGTATAGATTGCCACCTTACACGCAGAATGTCAACAAAAATGCGAATTTCGGGCCCAAAAAGGCGGTGCGGCTTAGACATATATGGCCATGCGCAGTATGCGGCTAACACAATGGCAATATGGTACTTGACGGAGTCGCTTTACGGTGAATTTTCAACGGTCAAATTCTGCAGGTTATCTTCTTCAATAATAATTATCCGGAAGTAGCTTGTAATGAGGGAATTCTTTATCACCAAGAATTGCTTTGTTGTGATTTCATTCCTGTCGGACTTCCAAGAGGTCTATTTCAAACTCACATGGCGGTTTCAGACAATGGACAGTGGCGTGTTGGCAAAACACTTACTTTAGTTAGGGTCCAACGGATAATGCGTTTGTATAATGCTTTTAAAACATAATGCTCCAAAAACTACCATATAGTGCTGATTTAATGCTTCAGTAAGGGCTATAATGCTCTTGGTTTAAGACAAAAAGGGAGAATGGCTGCAAATTGTCAAACTTCAAGGAAGGAATGCACATAGTCAATCTGCCTCTGAAGCTGCCGCAATATCTCTCACCAGCTCCTGTTAATACTATAAGTCATGATCGCTTCCCCAGTGGCTGCTGTCCATTGCAACTTGATGCAGAGCTGTGGCAGAATAGTGGGTGTATCAAATCTTCCCCCCTCATTATCCAGGTAGTGCGAGGTGAAGACCATTATTGCTGGTGATCATTTGGATGCTGGAAACTTATCATGGCAAGTGGTAATCCTTCCTGAAGACAAGCTGTCACTGCTTCCACTCCGGGGTGTGAAATATGCTTTACCGTAGTGACGCACATACATGTAAAGGCCCATACGCTTATGAGTGAGTTTTTGCGTTATTTGATATTTTTGCGGGTCGTTTTGTCTCACACATAGGCTCATGCGCTTGAGTTGCTAGTGTACTGGTACCATGCACAATTATGCACATAGTGCAATACCGCAATGCACATTGAACTATGTGAATATGGGGTTTTTGTGGTGTCTGTTTGTCGCGGGATGGACTCCATTTAGGTTCACTTATAAGCCCATGCGCTTATTTGTGAGGGTGCACTTATGCCCGGGTATAGGCGCATGCTCTTATATGCGCGTCACTACGGTATTCGAAACAGCAGACATTAGGCCAGTTGGTGAGAGGCGATCACAGATCGAAAGCCTGGAAACACATGGCCCGAAGCTATTTTGCCACTCTACAACCTTTGCTTGTGCTGTCTTCTGCTCCTCACGGTGTTCTGTAGATAAATGCATGGCCACAATACTCCTCTTTTTTACAGCACTTGACTGCATGCTTGGCATTGCAACCGTCAACAACTAACTGTACGTGTTTCACCAGGAAAATCGGACAAGCGCTGCTGAGAGCTCACATGGACTTGGTACTGAGCCCATGAGTAATTTAATCTTTTTTTCGAGCATGCTGGCCTGGGCTGGACTCAGCAAAGGCAGTTCTTTGGAACGCACTCCGCTTTCTGTCCATAGCAGCTCTTCATCCTGGTCCCACTTTTCCAACGGAACAGTATCTACTTCAGTATCGCTACATCTTGTGGAGACACTATTGTCAGAGCCTGAGGCACAGCGAGTAAACTCCTCTTCGTCTGTCTCCTTCATGATCCACGGCTCCATGATTTCTAAAAAAGAGCATCTACTTCATGTAAATAAATCATCTGGAAACGAGTTAAGAGTAACTCTCCACCACTGTAACTAGATACTATATACAGTCAGAAAGTGCAACAACTAGGCACAAAACTGACAGAGTACTGAGACATTCGACGTCCTGACACCTAGCTTCAACACATTCCCGTAGCGCTAACCGACAGCCTTCCAACTTGGAAGGTTCAAGGTTATGGAAAGACCAAAGAGGGGAAGGCAAGCGCAACGAAAACGAGCACAAGCTACAGTCCCAATGGAACAAAGAATGTCGATTGTCACTGGACGATGACGAGACCAGTAGGCGATTTGACAAAGCGGTCTAACTACAATTCGAGTTTCTGACTGTATATAGTATCTAGTTACAGTGGTGGAGAGTTAATCATCATTTCGGATTTGTGGAACAGCTTTGGTTGGGCATCATATAATATGATCTATAGCCGTGGCCAAAGAAAACTGGCCCACGAGTCAAAACTCAGAAAAAAGTAGTGCTACGTTTCCATTTCAAGGCCAAAATGAATTCCCATACATCTTGCACCGTCCAATAATCCATCCGAGTGCCGCATTGGTGCTGCTTTTGGTTTGGGTGGGATTTACCTTTACCGGTACTTACTTGACTGGTACAATGTTGATACAGCGGACAAAGTGCTAAAAGAGTCAATGCGTTCCAGCTGCATGCATTTCAGACGCGATGAAGGTTGGATCTCATGACTGCTTGTAGCCGATTGTTGCAAAGAAAAAAACAGGGATTTCCCGATATTATCCACTATGCAACTCGCAACGGCGCTCAAACCTCACCATCATAATGCTCGTTTTGTTCCAATCTCATACTCCATAAGGCTATGAATTGTATGATGCTCAGATAGTCTCATAATGCCGGATATAATGCCGGCATTTTCCGCTGGACCCCAACCGTAGTCCTCCTCAGCAATGGTTCTGCCCTGCGTGATCATTTAGCACACGATGTTAGGAGCAACTGGGTTTACCCACGTACATTTAGTTCGAATTAATATCCAAAAAAAACTCAACACTTACGGCCATAGCGATAGCGAACCAAAGGACGTTATCTCAAACAGCAGTTGGACACGGACAAGTAGGGAACTGTCACTAGTGAATTGACACTAGTCTTTACTAAAAGAGTTGGTGGACAAGCCGTTGATTATTCACTCTCATTGTAATATCAAAAAGTATTCTTTCTAGACCAAAGAGTGGTATATTTGATAACATTTAATAACGATAGAATTTTTTTTTTTTTTTTTTAATGATACTTCTCCAGACGTTTCGTTGTTCTGAACAACATCGTCAGTGGATAAAGAATGGAGGGCTTTGGGTGGTGGCACGGGTTAATAGGGAGTGATGGTGGTGAGATGAGGTGAGGTGAGAAGGTGAAGGTGGGAAATACATGTATCTAAGTTAATGGTGAAGGTTAGGTGCGGGTCGATACAGGTGGGAAGGGGTACACCCTTCGGGTAGAAGTGTAGGTTGGTAGAAGGTGTTGGTGTGCGTAGAAGGTGGAGTGGCGTAATGGAAGTGTCGGGTTGATAAATGTGGGAGAGAGTCTAGGTAGGGTGTGGATCAGCAATAGGTGTTGGTGTATGTGGTGGGTAGAGGTGTGTGTGTGTGTGTGTGTGCGTGCGAAAAAGAGTAAGGTAGTGAGTATTGGTATGCGTGGAAGGAAGATGTGACAGAAGATGTGCGCTATAGGCAAGGGGTGCAGGAATATTCTGAGGTGGTGGGTGGGACTAAAACAGGAGGTTGTGATTCATCTAGTGATATATATAATATTAGCAATAGCAGCAGTATATACAAAGAGGCGTGTGTGTGTGTGTATGCGTGTGCGTTTGCAAGCTTTTTGGTAGTGTAGTGTGTTGGGGGGGGGGGGGAGACAGCACCGGGTGCGGGTGTTCTTCTTCTATTGCGATCATTTTTGGATGGGTTGGCAGATAGTGGATGGTGGTAGGCAAGTTATGCCAAGAATCCAGTTCCCATATCTTCTTTTCTTCTGTTGATAGTTGGTTTCTTGTCGCGAATGGCATATGCCTCACGGATCCGGAGCCTCAGCTCATCCCTCTCCGTGAGCTGAGCAATCTCGTACATAATCTCTGGGGTGGCGTTCGGGTGTTCCCTAGCGTAGTGCACACCGAATGCAGACTTCTTGTCATGAGATTTTGCAGCATTTGTGTGCTCTTGGGCCCGGGTGTGCACTTGCCTCCCAGTCGAGCCGACGTATCTCTCGTGACAAAGGTGGCATGTAGCTTCGTATACGGCAAATCTGCAGGTGCACTTCTTCCTGAACATAGGGCATTCGCGCATTCTGCATTTTTCTGGTTCTCCTTTTTTCTTCGTGAGTTCTTGGATGGTTGGGGGTCGAGGGTTAACGAGGCGTGCCGTTATGCCGTTTTTCTTAAGTGCCTGTCGTACTTGGCCGTTAACCTTGTCGGAGATGTACGGTATTCTAAATACCAGTTGTTTCCCTTTTGTTTGTTTACTTGTGTTTCTTCTTCGGGCTCGCGCTTTGATGATGTGTTCTGCAGAATAGCCGTTCCCTGCAAGTTTATCTGAGATGAGGCGTCTGGCTTCCTCCGCAAACTCAGGCGTGCTGTTGTCTTGTGCTCGTTTGTATTCATTGTTAATGACCGCCATCTTAACCGCCGTTGGATGGTGGGAATCTGCGTGTAGTGTTATCCCTTTGTTTGCTTCTTTTACGTAGAGCTTGTGTGTGACTTTGCCGTCAGGAAGAATCTTTAGTCTGATATCCAGGATTGGTAGGAAACCATCTTTGTCCGGCAACTCCAGTTCAAACTTGATTGTCGGGTGTTTTCCGTTGAGTTTGGTCAGTAGAGATTGTGCTTCCGCAGGAGTGTCAACTGCGGTTCCCGAGTCGTCTACATAGCGAACGAACACTGGCAATGGCGGCGAGATGTTTCTGTAAATGTGGCGCTGTTCAAAGCGGTCCATGACGATGATAGCTATTGTGCCGCTGAGTCTGCTGCCCATCGCCAATCCCCTTGTCTGTTTGAATGTTCCAAGGGTTGGGTGTTGGAACACGTTGTTATATAGAATCAGCCCGAGTAGCTCTTTTAGGTCGACCGGTGTGAGGGAGTAGGTATTGATTTTGAAGCGGTTCGCGTATTCGAGGACGGTGCTGATTCCTTCTTCAATGCCAATGTTTGTGTATAGCGAGATCACGTCGAATGAGATGGGGATTTTCTTCTTCAGTTTGTTTTCGTTGCTCGTAAATTGGGCTATTAGGTCCCGCGTGCTGCTGATGTGGGCGCTCACGTTAAGCAGCACGCGGGACCTAATAGCCCAATTTACGAGCAACGAAAACAAACTGAAGAAGAAAATCCCCATCTCATTCGACGTGATCTCGCTATACACAAACATTGGCATTGAAGAAGGAATCAGCACCGTCCTCGAATACGCGAACCGCTTCAAAATCAATACCTACTCCCTCACACCGGTCGACCTAAAAGAGCTACTCGGGCTGATTCTATATAACAACGTGTTCCAACACCCAACCCTTGGAACATTCAAACAGACAAGGGGATTGGCGATGGGCAGCAGACTCAGCGGCACAATAGCTATCATCGTCATGGACCGCTTTGAACAGCGCCACATTTACAGAAACATCTCGCCGCCATTGCCAGTGTTCGTTCGCTATGTAGACGACTCGGGAACCGCAGTTGACACTCCTGCGGAAGCACAATCTCTACTGACCAAACTCAACGGAAAACACCCGACAATCAAGTTTGAACTGGAGTTGCCGGACAAAGATGGTTTCCTACCAATCCTGGATATCAGACTAAAGATTCTTCCTGACGGCAAAGTCACACACAAGCTCTACGTAAAAGAAGCAAACAAAGGGATAACACTACACGCAGATTCCCACCATCCAACGGCGGTTAAGATGGCGGTCATTAACAATGAATACAAACGAGCACAAGACAACAGCACGCCTGAGTTTGCGGAGGAAGCCAGACGCCTCATCTCAGATAAACTTGCAGGGAACGGCTATTCTGCAGAACACATCATCAAAGCGCGAGCCCGAAGAAGAAACACAAGTAAACAAACAAAAGGGAAACAACTGGTATTTAGAATACCGTACATCTCCGACAAGGTTAACGGCCAAGTACGACAGGCACTTAAGAAAAACGGCATAACGGCACGCCTCGTTAACCCTCGACCCCCAACCATCCAAGAACTCACGAAGAAAAAAGGAGAACCAGAAAAATGCAGAATGCGCGAATGCCCTATGTTCAGGAAGAAGTGCACCTGCAGATTTGCCGTATACGAAGCTACATGCCACCTTTGTCACGAGAGATACGTCGGCTCGACTGGGAGGCAAGTGCACACCCGGGCCCAAGAGCACACAAATGCTGCAAAATCTCATGACAAGAAGTCTGCATTCGGTGTGCACTACGCTAGGGAACACCCGAACGCCACCCCAGAGATTATGTACGAGATTGCTCAGCTCACGGAGAGGGATGAGCTGAGGCTCCGGATCCGTGAGGCATATGCCATTCGCGACAAGAAACCAACTATCAACAGAAGAAAAGAAGATATGGGAACTGGATTCTTGGCATAACTTGCCTACCACCATCCACTATCTGCCAACCCATCCAAAAATGATCGCAATAGAAGAAGAACACCCGCACCCGGTGCTGTCTCCCCCCCCCCCCCCCCCCAACACACTACACTACCAAAAAGCTTGCAAACGCACACGCATACACACACACACACGCCTCTTTGTATATACTGCTGCTATTGCTAATATTATATATATCACTAGATGAATCACAACCTCCTGTTTTAGTCCCACCCACCACCTCAGAATATTCCTGCACCCCTTGCCTATAGCGCACATCTTCTGTCACATCTTCCTTCCACGCATACCAATACTCACTACCTTACTCTTTTTCGCACGCACACACACACACACACACACCTCTACCCACCACATACACCAACACCTATTGCTGATCCACACCCTACCTAGACTCTCTCCCACATTTATCAACCCGACACTTCCATTACGCCACTCCACCTTCTACGCACACCAACACCTTCTACCAACCTACACTTCTACCCGAAGGGTGTACCCCTTCCCACCTGTATCGACCCGCACCTAACCTTCACCATTAACTTAGATACATGTATTTCCCACCTTCACCTTCTCACCTCACCTCATCTCACCACCATCACTCCCTATTAACCCGTGCCACCACCCAAAGCCCTCCATTCTTTATCCACTGACGATGTTGTTCAGAACAACGAAACGTCTGGAGAAGTATCATTAAAAAAAAAAAAAAATTCTATCGTTATTAAATGTTATCAAATATACCACTCTTTGGTCTAGAAAGAATACTTTTTGATACTAGTCTTTACTTCTACTTGTGTGGTAACCGTTTTACTTCCCAACGGGTGTATTCACAACTAGTGGTAACAGAGATGAACGGCCTGCTGAATAATAATATATTTGTAGCACCAAACCTGGTGGAAAAGCATTTCCACAAGTAGGAATGTGTCAGTGAATGATTATGTGTATCATCAGCGCACATGATCATTCTCATCATGTCAAGGCACACCAAAGAAATAAAGGAGTAGGTCTACATGATTGTACTACACTCTACACTACAGTGCTAAAAACCGTGACTGGGAACAATGTCTCACTCCCATGGCCCAAGGCCCACTACAGTCAGTGGCCTGCCGCGGCTGTGGGCCGAAACTGGCGAAAGTGCCACAATGCGAAATCTCTTCGAAGTACAAGTGCCTGGACCATGTGGACCGGTGCGGTGGTGCTTATCAGGGAGTCGTATTATAATAAGACTCGGGAGGCGACACGCGGATCACTTGTGCACAACCATGATCGACTCAACGATTCAAAAAAATAATTATTACGACCTGCTCGGGAGACGCGGTGTGGGACAAGTCCGTACATAGTCATAGACATAGGTCATAGCGTGCGGGAAATCCGTACATACTTCATAGCGACCAATCGTCGTCTTCGTCCTTTCGAGTGGTCAGACTCGCGATCTCCATTGCCGAAATACAGCTATCTGTTGCTATCTCTGAGGAGTTCACTTGTTCACTGGCTTACTCACTGGCTTTGCACTGCCACTCGAACTCTGAGGCATTTTGACCACCTAAGATGAGGTAATCCTTTCTTTAGGCCGCGCTCACACTGCGACCATGAGCACGCGTCCATGCGTCAGCAAAACGCAGAAACGTGGGAGTCGTGCTCACACTAGGCCTCGTACACGCGTAGACGTGAAGTTGTCACACAAACTTTACGAATTGCAGTTCGTATCCAAAAGAGTTCGTGCGTTTCCTAATAAAGTTGTGGCCCGTTTTGGATGTAATTTTTCGCATGTTGCATGTTGGAGGAAGTGCCTCGTGGCTCCTGGCTCGTATTCTTGAAGTCGACGAAAATAATTCATACAATCAGGTAGGTTTGGACTCTTGAGGGACTGCCGCTGACATCCAAGCGCTTTCGCTTTCCTGACCTCGTGGTCAGAGCAAGTGCCAGTGCAGTGGAAATTCCGGTAGTGGTTTCTTTCGTCTGTTGCCGAGATGAGAACTGTATTTTCCGGTGATATGTACATGTAACTGAATTGTCTTGAGGTATGGCATTCCATCATCGCAGAAAAGTAGAGAAAGATGATTTCCGAAACCGAAAAGCCAGACCAAGCTGCCATCGTATTGAACGAGTACACTGTAGAAATTGGTCACTGACCCGATCACAACGAAGCAACTACAAAAACAAAAACAAAATCGACATCGTCCAAAAAGGGCAAAAAATGCATATATGGCGGTGCGTGCAGGACCACAACCACAAAATTTTAAAAATGTGCAAATGTCGAGGTGACATCGACAACCGCGCCGATTTTCATGAATCAACACACCGGAATTTGAGAAATTGAACATACTTCAGGCCAGGTTGTACACAAATACGCTGCACGTCTACGATCATGTTGCCACCAAGTCGTGGCACCCCCCTCCGGAGGTCGCGGTCACGATTTGAAACGTGGCCGCGACGTTTTGGTCAAGTTCATGCCGTTGCCATGCAACTTGGCCGCATGGCCGCATGGACGCTGGTTTTGGTCGCAGTGCAGTGTGAGCGCGCCCTAACAAATTGCCTCAATATTTTCTCACGTTTAGGGCAATAAAGTAATTTTTTTCCTTATGCCGAACTTTGACTAACTAAGTTGCCCTGTCCCAGTGATCTACAATACTTATATTACACATTTGTGAAATATTGGACCAATCCAGATAAACGAAATGACTTACATTCGAAATTACATTTTCCAAAGTTTTCCTTCGCAAATAGTCCCAATTTGTCCAAATAAATACGACTCCCTGATGAAAACCGTAGATCTACTATGTACAGTGTACATACGACTCCCTGGTATCTGCAGATCGTGCAGAACTACCAAATTTATATTTTATAGAAGAGATGCGGAGTTGCACACAACGAGGCTCTTGTTTACATGTATCTACTCTGCCTCTGGATTGTATTAGGGAGCGTTCGAATTGTCTTCATCGACTGTTCGAACAAATTTCTAGGGATTTATTGAAGTGTCCCAATAATAATAATAATTTAATACTCGCGGGATCCGCGCTAATAGACACCCTTAGCAAAAAACGTTATGTTGTAACGGTATTATCGTAAGGGGGAAAATACCGTGATTTGGGTTCGACCTTTAGCAAGATGCACGCTATTTTTAGTACGCTGTTGCCACGAGAGTAGCTTCGATTTCGCGCGGTACAACAATTTTTGTCACCATATACGCGATGCAAGGTGAAATGCGTACGGACTATGCAATATTTGGCGAAAACACGTACCGTTGGTCACAACGATAAATCAGCCCCCATAACGTTTATACGCTGCAGCTTCAACGCTATTTGGGTGATCAAGGTACGAGTACCGTAAAAAATAGCGTTACCGTTGTTTGCTAAGGGTGTCTAGTGTCCCAATAGAACGGTCATTGTCATTTCAGTGGAATTGCCATGGCGATAATGACGTCAGACCAGATCGGCCATCTCGACCAAGCTATTCCAAACTCTTCCGAACGAATCCACCTCTCCCTCCGGATGAGGTTGTGGAGTTTCGAGGAGTTTCGTTTTTCTGAAGAGGCCAATAAGACCACCTCTTCAGAAAAACGAAACTCCTTGAAAAGTCAAAGAGTGACAATTCGAACGCACCTAGATCCACGGTTTTCATCGAAGTACATGTGTGTAGATCCACAACCGGTCCATGCAATTCTAATATTCGAAGAGATATCGCCTTGTGGCACTTTCGGACCACGGCCGCGGCCGGCCACTTACTACTTACAAGTGCCTAGGCTAGTCTTTGTTGGAAAATCCCTGTGTTTTTTAGCGCGGCAGCCCTCATTTTATTGCTTTCGTGTGGCTAAAATAATTATTATGGTGGGAATGTGCGCTGATGTTCAGTGATGATACACACTCACTGACAAAAATGTCATTCGCACTTGTGGAAATGCTGTTCAGCCAGGTTTGGTATTACGATTGTATTATTATTCAGCAGCCCGTTAATGTCTGGCACCACTAGTTGTGAATAAACCGGTTGGGAGGTACAAGTAATTAGTTACCATACCGTTGAAGTAGAAGTAAAGACGTGCCAATCCACTAGTGACAGTTCCCTACTTGTCCGTGTCCAGCTGCTGTTTGAGATAACGTCATTTGGTTCGCTATCGCTATGGCCGTAAGTGTTGAGCTTTTTTGGATAGTAATTCGAACTAAATGTACGTAAGTAGACCCAGGTGCTATTTATCCTAACATTGTGTGCTAAATACTCACGCAGGGTAGAATCTTTGCTGAGGAGGACTACGGTAAAGGTTTTGCCAACACGCCAATATCCATGGTCTGAAGCCACCATGGGAGTTCGAAATAGACCTCTTGGAAGTCCAACAGGAATGAAATCACAACAAAGTAATCCTTGATGATATAGAATCCCCTCAGTACAAACTATTATATCGAAGAAGATAACCAGCAGAATTTGACTGTTGAAAATTCATATTACTATGTGTTAGCCGAACACTGCACATGTGTCTAAGGCCTTTCGGGCCCAAAATCCGTATTTTTGTTGACATTCTCTGTGTAAGGTGGCGATATAAACTGTACCTTCGCGACCCGTAAACCAAATAATACAAACATCTCAGCCAATTCTTATTGGAATTCGTTCAAATTTTCTGGAGACATTCAATATACAGTCAAACCTAGTTAGGATGAACACTGATCAGGCGAACTTTCCATTGGTACAAACTAAGGCCAATCCTATGGTTGGCCAGTCATCATACAATGTCAAAACTATTCATACACGACGAACCCTGTAAGGCGAACTTTCGTGAAGGCGAACTAATTCAAGTGTGATTTGAACAAAATCAACACGTAGTACGAACTTTCGGTCCGCATGCGTGCACTGGCTGTAGTGTTTTTTTCCGATGGTTGAGGCCTCTTGTACCGGCAAAACGACAGCATGGAACAAAAGGCGGAGGACATGCTGTCATGAATTCATTGCATAATACTTACCTGTTGCTGGCTTATGCTATGAAAAAATGCTTTATATGTACAAGTACATGTACCAGAGCATGCACCTTCACATCAATACAGTACATATTATATGCATATTGATTTTTTGTCAGATCTGGGTTAGAAGAACTCCGGATAAGACAAACAGACTTGTTCAGTACCTTGAAGTTCGTCCTAACGAGTTTTGACTCTACACCAAAGGACAAGGAACAGCGAAATAGAGAACAGGCTCTGCGTATGTCCACTATTATTGCCACAACACAGTAATTATTAGGGCTGAAACGAATATACCGAATAATCGAGTACTCGTTTGATAACTCTAACGATCGAGCAATCGTTTAGATTATCGATTACGATTATTATATTTTAGCGTTTTTTAAATTTTAAATTTCTTATACGCGCAGTGCATGCAGCGCAAAGTATATAGTACACAGTACTACACACTGCACGCGCGACTCGCCTTGCATTCATGCTGTCAAAATCGATAAACAGTCCTAGTGTAGTACAACGAAGCTGGAGCATGAAGCTCGAAGGTCAAGGTCGCGTCCGGTCTACATACAGAACACCTTTTTGTGCAAAATTTTGTACATATTTCCGCTTTTGGCCATTCCACGTACATATTCCAGGTGCGGCTTCTTAAAGATTATAATCGAATAATCGATCGTTGTGATAAAGAGCAATCGATTGGGCTAAATGGATGATCGTTTCAGCCCTAGTAATTTTGACCTTACCCGCACATCTTAACCTCAAAATTGAAATATACATGCACAAGTAGACAAGAACCAATTTCTTCTGTGTTAAAATCAAGAAGAAAGACCAAAGTTGAAATGTTGTCCGAAATTTCAACTTCATTTCTACTTTTCATCCTTTCTTCTCGATTTTAATCATTGGCTCTCCATTCAAGTTCAATCTGCTACAGGTTTCGTAACATGTAATTCCAGGCATTGAATAGAAAGAAACAATACCTTTGTAGATCTCAATGGCCTTTCATGCCGTGCCAGCTAATGCGACATCTTTACACTGTCACCGCTGTCATTTTGCTCTTCCACATAGTCCTTTGTTAATGATCTCAGCATTCTATTTATACAGCAAATGAATACAAAAAGAACCATGGTTATGGGTAAGCAGATTATGCTTGGAAAAATGACCAGATTATGCTCTAGCGGATGGTCGCAGGATGCTCGAGAAAACAGCCAATAATGCTTTTATAAGCTCCACCAAAAAGACCAAAAGAACAGGTAATCGTCATCAAAAGACGACCCAGACCATTGTCATGATGTGGACTGGGAGCTTTGTGGAAGTACAAGACAATAATATGCAAGAGTAATACCAAATTCACAAGCAAACGCTGAACTGGTAGATGTCCTATAGTTGGTGATAGCCCTTTGATGAAAACCGTAGATCTACTACATGTACAGTGTACATACGACTCCCTGGTATGCTGCTAAAATATTATTCCAAATAAACAAGAAGCGCTATGTAGAATAAACCCGTGTTTGTAGCGCTATGTATGGTGATTGAATAGCAGGTGTGCATACAACAGCCTCACTGGGCATCTTCCCTTGTTTTTCGGATGCCATTTCATGCTCCTTCTAAAAAAAGGACCTAATTATGCCAAATATAATGCCTTCAATTATGCCTTGGATAGAAGGTGTGTATAACAGCCTCATTGGGCATCTGCCTTTGTTTTCCGGATGCCATGTTATGCTCCTTCCCAAAAAGGACCTGATTATGCCAAAAAATATGCCGGCTTAATCCGCTTACCCCTTAAAATGGTCCATGAACCACGCCCATTGAAGTACTGCAATATAACCAAGCAGAGATCCGAAATAGAGTGGTGTGGACCCAGGCTAGTGCCAGACACTACTGCAGTAACGTCTTCTCCATAGCTTCGGGAATTAAAGTTAGGGTACCTGTACACCGAACATTTTCTGCCGGCTTTGCGATATGCACTGTATAACGCGTACAATACACTTGTATGCATCAGTTAAGAGTAGATTCAACGGGCTTTAAACGAATCCAAAGTCTTGAACGCATCATCAGGTAGTTATAAAATTATGGTCGAGCGGTCTTTACATTCTGATTAGTCCCTTGCCGAGAATATTGCTGATTGGTCGTCTCCTAGATGACGGGAATAACCTCGTTCCAAAGATTTATAGATTATCTGAGCGCTTGTATTTGCTTGCCCTATTTTTGCAGGGACAGTACACTTGTTTAATGGCAATGCTCTTTTGGTTTCCGCTATTTACGCATGGATTTGGATTTTCTAAAAGATATCCAAGTAAGTATGCTTTGATATGTTTTACAAGACTTGTCCTTAGTTTCAGAACTGACCTGTTTATGGTGATGATGCAACACATAACCACTGTATTATTGCCAATGGTATTGAGGAAAGTTCTTGCTATCAACTCCTGAATGCTGCGGAGGCTTTGATTAGCTTAGGGAAGGCATGGACGATCAGTTTTGAACTTACCAAATGCTAGGTGCTCAAGCACGCTCTCCCGTCACCCAAGAGCAACTGGTAAAACTGTAGTAACCCAACTGATGCACGGACAGCAGGTGCTTTTATCGGTGATTGTGCAGCCTAGGTGCCTCCCATGGTGATTTATCGCAGACATACATTTGGCCTTGCGGGCGGTAGGGTGGGTTGGGTGGGTAGGGTGGGTTGCTACGCTTTGAGATGGGTGAACAGTTCATCTAATTTGTCGGACTGAAGGTGGATTTCGAGGCAGTCCTTGTTCTGCACAACACCTAGGAATGTTCCAATCTATACTAGGGCCTTCCACCTTTCGTTTCACCTGGAACCCACTTGATGGCGGGATATTCACCACAGCTTGATGCACACTGCAGCGTGAAGAGAAGGAGGCGTGGAGGGTTATTTTACATCTTTGATGGCTGTGGAAATCCATGTCACCATAACCAGCAATCATGCGGTGGTGTTTTCTTGTCCAGCCAGCTATGTGTGCAGCAATTGTTTAAAACCCACCCCCTGCCGAGGCTCCACTGAATCCATACAAGTTTCTGTCTACCACGTTGTCGACTTGTAACTGCCGCGTAGGACTTCCCTGCTCACTTTGCACAGAGCTCTGTTTGTGTCGAATAGCAATAACGAAATGTTTACACAGCTTCAGGTGGCCTAATCGTGTTTGTAATGACATAACTGTTTTCCTTGAATTGTTTGCAGGCAACCTGCCTACACTCAAGAGAGCACTGCATTTCACACAAATCCATTGGTATCGTTACAACGTTTCGGTCTTTATGACCATCATCAGGAATGAAGTGGACATGGAAAGAACAGCAGTATAAAAGAAGGAGGCAAGCAAGCAAAGCGCGGTACATAGTGACAGCGCGCGTAGAGAAGTGCAAAGCACGTCATGGCGGGTGTGCATTACTACATATACATGACAACACAAGCACAAACGGCGAGGAAAGTAGATACTGCGCTACAGCAGTGATAACAGCCCAGTTCCAGTCTCACACCACCAGTGAGGTGTGTAGAGCCCCGCGCCACTCACAGTAAGGTGGTGTTATAGCAGATCCCAGCCACTGTTGTTGTTAATTTCCGGGGATCGCTCCCTGATGTTGATGGCCTCCCGGATCCTCCTCCTGGGGCGGTCACGCTCAGAACCGAGAACCCGGATACCCGAGAAAGCCGTTGCTCCCAATGGCAATGGGTCAGATGCATGCTTGGCCGCGAAATGCTCACCCAGCGCGGTGCCGCTCACTGTGTTGCGTGCGTCGTCGTTGTGTTCTTTTGTCCTGGTGGCGAGGCTGCGGTACGTCTCTCCGACATATTTATCACCACATTTGCACTCGAGGTGGTATACGACGTTTCGCTCTGTGCATGCTTCTGAACCGGACATGCAGGCGACACAAGCAGCTTTGGGCCGCCCCCGTTTACGGGGCTTGGACGGGTCTACATACCTGCGGCATGGTGGTTTGCGGAGGGCAGACGTGCAAATCATAGAACTTAGACGGCGGTTCCTGTAAATCAGCTGGGCATTTATCTTGTACTTCCGGAGTAATTTATGAATTTTGTTGTGGATATACTCGGTGTGAAACGGTAGGTTGAGGGTGACACGGTATTCATTCTGCACTCTGCCACGTCGGGGGCGCATAGCTCGTTCACGTGCCGAAACTATAACTGACTCTGGGAAGTTGTTGAACTTTAGGATGTTGGTTACTTTTTCTTCACTTGGAGCTATGCGCCCCCGACGTGGCAGAGTGCAGAATGAATACCGTGTCACCCTCAACCTACCGTTTCACACCGAGTATATCCACAACAAAATTCATAAATTACTCCGGAAGTACAAGATAAATGCCCAGCTGATTTACAGGAACCGCCGTCTAAGTTCTATGATTTGCACGTCTGCCCTCCGCAAACCACCATGCCGCAGGTATGTAGACCCGTCCAAGCCCCGTAAACGGGGGCGGCCCAAAGCTGCTTGTGTCGCCTGCATGTCCGGTTCAGAAGCATGCACAGAGCGAAACGTCGTATACCACCTCGAGTGCAAATGTGGTGATAAATATGTCGGAGAGACGTACCGCAGCCTCGCCACCAGGACAAAAGAACACAACGACGACGCACGCAACACAGTGAGCGGCACCGCGCTGGGTGAGCATTTCGCGGCCAAGCATGCATCTGACCCATTGCCATTGGGAGCAACGGCTTTCTCGGGTATCCGGGTTCTCGGTTCTGAGCGTGACCGCCCCAGGAGGAGGATCCGGGAGGCCATCAACATCAGGGAGCGATCCCCGGAAATTAACAACAACAGTGGCTGGGATCTGCTATAACACCACCTTACTGTGAGTGGCGCGGGGCTCTACACACCTCACTGGTGGTGTGAGACTGGAACTGGGCTGTTATCACTGCTGTAGCGCAGTATCTACTTTCCTCGCCGTTTGTGCTTGTGTTGTCATGTATATGTAGTAATGCACACCCGCCATGACGTGCTTTGCACTTCTCTACGCGCGCTGTCACTATGTACCGCGCTTTGCTTGCTTGCCTCCTTCTTTTATACTGCTGTTCTTTCCATGTCCACTTCATTCCTGATGATGGTCATAAAGACCGAAACGTTGTAACGATACCAATGGATTTGTGTGAAATGCAGTGCTCTCTTGAGTGTAGGCAGGTTGCCTGCAAACAATTCAAGTATAATGAAGCTGCGTGAAGCGTCCTTCAAAATTTTATAACTGTTTTCATATAATTAATAATTGCTCGAATAATATGTTTTTATCTGGTTTTCTTCTGGCAGAATGCAGTTTCAATTTGCCCATATTCAACGTAACCAGAGGTGAAGTTCTCTATAGGTTGGAAAATGAACTATCAACGTCATTGCCAGCAGTGACCTGCTGCATACTTCAAAACACTGAAGGTCGCCACCAGCCCTACCCACCATCAGCACACTTCTGGTTCTTACAGAATTCTCCGGTAGCCAACCATCAGCGTCTCCGTGTTCTCAATCACGTAATCATGATGTACAGCATTTATATATGGGTTTACCGCAGCATTGTTTGGCCACGTAGTATAACCAAAGACATAGCTGGTGAATACAAGTGCAGTTACCAGGATGTGGGTGGGTTTTCGTCCAGGAGCTTCCACCTAGTAGTGGGCGGTAAGTCTGTTTCAGAGGTATTTTGGAGTGAGTGTGTTTATATTGTATGTGACCAATGCTGTAGCCAGCAAGCTCTTTTGGCCATCTAGGCCTCATCAGTGGGACTACTCTTATTAGGGCCCTTAAAAGATAATATCACGGTTCACGTGAGCCGGAACCTGGCCATATAGATGCAGCTCATAAAGCGGCGGCAGGACATTAGATCTGACCCAACACAATAAAGGTCGAAGAACCAAAATCCCATGGGAACGAGTTATGAAGCAACTATCCACGACTGTAACGAGATAATAAGCACTCACAACATGCGATAACAGTGCACACAACTGACAGGCTACTGAGACATTCAACAACCTAAGACCTAGCTCTAACACATCTCCAGTGCGCAAACCAACATAGCCTTCCAACTTGTTGTGCACTGTTATCGCACGTTCTGACTGCTTATTATCTTGTTACAGTCGTGGGTAGATACTTCATATCTTGTTTCCATGCATTTTAAACTGAAATGGAGATTAACCCTTTCAGTACTCATTATTTTCGCAATTGAGTCAATCCAGAGTCTACAAAATACAAATTTTGTCAAATCTCTGCTCTCCTTTGGCCATTTCTCACAAACAACCACTCTCTGGAAAGCTATTGATGGCAGCTATGCACTCGTGGAAACTACAACACCAAGCGCCATTCATGTGTGCAGCGCCGTGATGAAGAATACGTTTTCAATCTCAAACAAATATGCGCAGTGCGATCTGTCACGAGCGGCTCACCGATTTGTAAAATCGTGGCTCATAGAAACCAGACGAAGTTCTGGTGAAAGTGCCTAAAATCCGAAGGATGTCCAGCCCCAAAACGCATAGGTAAGCGAGAAGATATCAGAGTTATTCTCAGCGTGACGGCAACTCAAAATGTTTGAATGCGCATTTTTGATCGCGTACTAGCTTCGAGCTTCGTCGTGCGTGAATTATGCACCAAGGAGTAAAAGCGATAGTTGCAGTCGATAGCCAAGGTTTTCCCGAAGATGTAGCGCCCTCATTTGTAATGATCCGACAATATTTGAGCGTGTGACGAAATATTTAGTGATCGCCTATTGCATCGATCCACTTGGATCGATATTTGAATGGCTGGTAGTGAGAGGGTTAAGAGGTGTGGAGACAATAACTTTAATTCCCGTAGCTATGCAGAAGACGTTACTTATTATTATTATTATTATTATTTATTCATATTTTACTAGGGCAGTCCCCACAGACCTATGGTCTTCTTACAGGGTGCCCTAGCCACGTGAAGATAGCGGAGCGAAATGCAGCAGGTAGGGATATGGTGCGAATCGCAGCAGGGAGGGCGTTCCATCGGTCAGCTCCAAAATAAGATACAGAGTGATAGCCAAAATACAATCTGGCATGGGGCAGTACCAGGCCGAGCAATTCCTGAAAAAGGGTAATTCTAGCAGTGCGTAATGATGAGACAGCACGAGGAGTGAAAAGTCGGCAAAGTAGGGGACTAGCACGAGCATTTATGCATCTATGTAGAAACACATAGAGGTTGGCAGCATAGCGAATATTTAACGGTGTTAGGTGCTGTCTAGCTAAGATGGGTTGGATGGAGGCAGAGGGAGGGAAGCCAAAGACAGTGCGGATCGCCCGATTCGCGATGCTATTAAGAGCGTTATAGGTGGTCTATCGCAGGCAGTGCACGTACGCATTGCTCGCGTACTCCAGGGTAGATTGGACAAATGCAAGATAGAAAGTTCGCTTGGCTCTAGCACTGAGAAGGTGGCGGCAGCGGCGAAATGCATTGACCTTGGCATTAACTTTACTTCTAATGTTACTTACTTGCTGTTGAAACGATAGATGCTCATCTATGATGATGCCCAGGTACTTGGCTTGCTGCGATTGCTCTATACGGCTGTTGCAAAACTGTAGGGCACAGTCTGCATGTACATTGGGTTTCCGTAGCAGCAGGAAATGTGTCTTAGATGGGTTCAGCTGTAGTCCACGGGCCTCCAGAAAGCTGCTCACACGGGTCAGATCATGTTCCAAGGTCTGTGTGGCAGTGGAAGGGGACGGGTCGGCAGCGTAGATGTTGGTGTCATCTGCATACAGGAGGCAGAGGGATGACTGTAGGCAGGCTGGTAGGCGCCTGGTGTAGACCGTGAACAGTGCCGGTCCCAGGACAGCGCCCTGAGGGACACCGCGATTGGCCGTGTACGGGGTTCCAAGTGGTTGTCGGAGGCATTTCACTTGCTGTGGTCGGCTGGACAGATAGCTGGAGAACCATTGCAGAACAGTGCCTCCTACTCCACAGCGCTGCAGCTCCAGAAGGAGCTCACCATGCAGGACACAGTCAAAGGCTTTGCTGAGGTCGAGGAATGCTACAGCAACCACGTTGCCAGAGTCCAGGGACCGCTGCCAACTGTCAATGCATAGTGCCAGTGCGTCACCGCATGAATGACTTCAGTAACGTCTGGCGCTAGCCAGGGTCCACACAGCTATAATTTGGTATTTGTTTGTTTGTTTGTGTCACGCCTGGCGCTATCCCGTATCTGTCCCGTACCGTACCATCAAAGACAGCTGGCCACAAACAGCTGGCCACAATATTCAAATAGGGCTTTCCAATGCAAGATCATAACGTGAAGCAACTTGGAAGAGTGAGTATGAATGCGAAGTGTATCGGGGATTGCATGCAGGGTGATAGTGCGGGTTCGAATCCCAGGTCATGCCTTAAAAAAAAATAGGAGAATTGAAAATGTTATAACATCTATGCTTTTTTTTGCCTAGGTTATCAAGGCGGTAGACGGTGTCGTATTACCCTCGACCGTACCTGTACCATCAGAGACGGCTGGCCACAAACAGCTGCCACAATCAAATAGGGCTTTCAAATGCAAGATCATAACGTGAAGCAACTGATCTGATCTCTGATCTGATCTCTGATCTGATCTCTGATCTCATCTCTGATCTCATCTCTGATCTCATCTCTGATCTCATCTCTGATCTGATCTCTGATCTGATCTCTGATCTGATCTCTAATCTGATCTCTGATCTCTGATCTGATCTCTGAACTGATCTCTGATCTGATCTCTGATCTGATCTCTGAACTGATCTCTGATCTGATCTCTGATCTGATCTCTGAACTGATCTCTGAACTGATCTCTGATCTGATCTCTAATCTGATCTCTGATCTGATCTCTGATCTCATCTCTGATCTCATCTCTGATCTCATCTCTGATCTCATCTCTGATCTCATCTCTGATCTCATCTCTGATCTCATCTCTGATCTGATCTCTGATCTGATCTCTGATCTGATCTCTAATCTGATCTCTGATCTCTGATCTGATCTCTGAACTGATCTCTGATCTGATCTCTGAACTGATCTCTGATCTGATCTCTGATCTGATCTCTGAACTGATCTCTGAACTGATCTCTGATCTGATCTCTAATCTGATCTCTGATCTGATCTCTGATCTGATCTCTGATCTGATCTCTGAACTGATCTCTGATCTCATCTCTGATCTCATCTCTGATCTCATCTCTGATCTCATCTCTGAACTGATCTCTGATCTGATCTCTGATCTGATCTCTGATCTGATCTCTGATCTGATCTCTGATTTGATCTCTGATCTGATCTCTGATCTGATCTCTGAACTGATCTCTGATCTGATCTCTGATCTGATCTCTGATCTCTGATCTGATCTCTGATCTGATCTCTGATCTGATCTCTAAACTGATCTCTGATCTGATCTCTAAACTGATCTCTGAACTGATCTCTGATCTGATCTCTAAACTGATCTCTAAACTGATCTCTGATCTGATCTCTGAGTTTGAACCAACAGCCATTTGCCTTCCCATAGCCAGAAACACAATTCCTTCATATCGCCTCAAAGCTAGATCAAGTAGTGATTACAATTATTATGATACTTGCTCCTGCTAACTGTGTGGGGACAACAGGGTTCTAGCCAGCTCGAAATTACTAGTAGGGAGCAGGCAGGGAAAATAGTTACTAGTACCCCTAATCCATTTTTTTCCTTTTTCCACATTTATTTTCCCATGCAAATGCAACTTAAGGGTGTGAACCCTGACTTCAACCCGGGCAAGGGTGCCTTTATGAACCGTTTGTTACTATCGATTGAATTTTTCGTTGAATTGCCTGAAAAGAGACCCAAAAGCCAACAAAAGTAATGAGTATAGGGGACACTACATTTTCACGGGGGGGGGGGGGGGGCACTGCCCATCCCCTCCCCCACCCTCCTTAAGAACGCTGGGAGTATTTTTGAACTGCAGCATCTGAGACCCGTAGTCGCTCCCTGGTGGTTTTACCTGTAGTTTTCCCTGAGCAGTGTTTCTGCTAAGTACTATTTTCCCTTCTCCCTTTTCACTTCTCTTTCGTCTCATCCACCCTTCCAGGAAACTCCCCCGATTCCATTTACTTTTGGAGAATCCTTCAAATAAAGTCTAAATGAAAAGAAAAAAGTCGTGATGGTGACATACATGGAAGGAGATGGTATGGTGTCTTAAAAGAAAATTTATACTCACGCCACCCTGTACCCCAAAGTTGAGACCTGTATCAACGACATTGTTCACTGGATGAGCACTTGGTACCTTAAGCCAAATGTGACCAAAACCGAGCTCCTCCTTTTTCCCCCTCCCACAGATCCAGTGCCCATTTTCCACTTTCCCGATGATCCCGGTCACCCTATCTCTGTAGCGCCCCACCATAAACACCTTGGCATTGTCATAGATTCCGCCCTCTCCTGGTCTCACCATGCTGATCATGTGTCGTCCAAAGTATGCCGATCTGTCGGCATAATGTCAAGTCACTTGTCCCATTTGCCCCAAAATTGCCGGATTAATTTTTATAAATCATACATCCTTCCCCTCTTCACGTACGGCTTCCCTGCCTGGTCCACCATTAACAAAACCCACATAGGTAAATTAGAAGTTCTCCATCGCCGTATACTGCGCATCATATTTCGTACTGATCGTTATATCACAAATCTAGACTTGTATGCTGCTGCATCCACTACCACTCTGCAACATTACCTTGATGCTTCCAAGTGCACCCTGGCACATTCAATTTGTCTTGACCAGCACCCTGCTCATTTACAGTCCCTTAATTGGTTCAATTCAGGTGGCACCACCCGAAGCTGCATTCGTCTCCCCTAGCTAGGTCTACCCTATTCGTAAATTCCCCTTTCTTTTCCTCCTACTCCACGTGGCTCCAACTGCCTCCCAGTGTTAGACAAGCCCCAGATATGCCCAAATTCCGTACCCTCGTCAGACAGCACTTCAGTATCTCCCAGTAAACAAAGTCACAGTCACCACTTCCGCTGCATAGCTCGCTGAGCATCCCATTGCTTTTTAAGTTGCTAATCCCTTCCCACTTTGTGTACGTGCTCTTCATTTTCTTTTTTTCTCTTCTTCCGTGGTTGGTCTCACCCTCTCCTCAATTCAATTGGCTGTCTTGACATGCCACGAGGTGCAGAAATAAATAAATAAATAAAGTGCAGCCGGGCTCTGTGATCAATACCAGGATGGCACTTAGTTATTGAAATGTTCATGTGATTTTCCTTTTCCAGCAAAAACCAAGATCACGTTCATTACCAAGTCAATGACAGTCGTTGCATCATCGTGGAAGCTTGAGTCTCTAGCTTTGCACTGCAAAATAACTGGTGATGAACTGAAGTATTCCTGGACGAGAGATGGAGTGCCGATTCATGGAGAGTTGGGTGTAAATGGTTGGACACATTCATTTGATGGCGCAGTGACAGCCAGAGATTCGGGAACATACAACTGCTCTGCTTCCAGTCGCTATGGTGTTGATTGGAAACAACTTCATCTACGTGTTCTTGGTGAGTTTATCATTCATAATTTTGTCAAAAGGGGGGGGGGCTGGGTATTTCAAAATCCTCTCTCACTTACGAGGACACCTACAACTGAAAATGCATGTGTCACATAAAGATACATGTGTCACCGTTTTCCCAGGGGAAATGGAGATAGCAGTCCGTTTTCAGACCTGACAGGACCACACGACGTCTGAAAACACCAGCACAACCAGTCCACCAGCAACACTCCAAACACTAAGGAGTACAGTCAACTTCGCTAATAACGACTGCGGATATAACGACAATTCGCAAATAACGACATAATTTTCATGCCCGGAGCAAAGTCCCATCCAACTGTGACACATATAATGAGACTTCGGGTATAAGGACACTTCGCGAATAAGGACACTTTTCTGATGCCCCGCCGAGTGTCGTTATAAGCGAAGTTGACTGTAACTACAGTCAACTTCGCCAATAACGACATTCAGCGGGGCATCAGAAAAGTGTCCTTATTCGCGAAGTGTCCTTATAACCGAAGTCCCATTTGAATGTATGTGAACCCATATTTTGTATAGTATGACATGCATATCAAAATCAAGCTCTTTTCTTGCTCTATGTCAATGTGTACTTTATTTTCATATTGCAGTTGAAAGGAACTAAAAACTCAATATGCAAGGGAAATGAATTGAAAAATATGCCTTTTTGAGCCATCTACAGGGCCAGAGACATGTACATGTACATGTATGATGATTACTGTACAATCATGTACAACTACATGTACATTGTATACATATAGGTGTGCTGGTAAATCCAACAATTTTGAAGCCAACATAAAAAAGGAAGAAACCCCCCCCCCCCCCCCCCCCCCATTGGCTGCATTTTCTTGCATGTGTGCCTTTATAATAATAACCATCACCATAGGTTCTGGTACTTCTGCATGACAGGTACATGTACATCTACTTGACTGACAGGTACTTGAAATAGCTGTCAAAAGCCCAGAAAGTCGTTATTCAAGCAGTGAATATGACCTCGGGGCACTAAAAGCATGTCGCTATACGCGAATTGTCGTTATTCAGATAGTCGTTATATCCGAAGTTAAATATATACAGTTAGATGGGACTTTGCTCTGGGCATGGAAATTCGGTCGTCATTCGCGAATTGTCGTTATATCCGCAGTCGTTATTACCGAAGTTGACTGTACTTGCTTGCATGGAGTGTTGCTGGTGGTCTGTTTGTGCTGGTGTATGCAGCCTGCACGCGTCGTGTGGTCCCAGCAGGTTGAACACCTAGTTCAATTTTATGGATGCAACGTAGAAGTCTGTAACCTATTTTCCAAATTTTCTTCATATTTAGCAAGCCAATGTAATAGGTAGCCGAGTGGTTATCAGGAGGCACGTCAAACAACACACAAATAAGGCAAGGATTAACTGTATTTGAACTTTGTCCGGTACACACCTGGACTTAAAAAGGCACTGAATGAAAGGAAAGAAGTGAGCTTACTCCGGTACACACTGGGAGGTCAGAACTGCTCTGTCCTATTCAGTTCTGTTAGGCTCACAGCAGATTTTATCGGGCGTGGAAAGGAAAGAGATCCGGCATGAGTGAGGGAAAGGTTGGAAGTCTGTTGGGTCCTTCCAAACAAAATGTGTGAAGGCATAGCTACAGTATCCAAATGCATAATGATAAAATAACCAAACGGACCTTTGGAGGAGGATGGAGGGCATCGTTAAATGAAATATCTTTGGTGAAAACCGGATCTAGCAAGTATTGTGGAAAGAAGGGAAGAGATACACCGTATTTTCCTGAGTATAAGCAGCACTGGAGTATAAGCCGAACCCAGATTTTTCAGATTTTCAGATTTTTGGTCACGAAATACAGACACCTATCCCATCTACCACCGCTATTTCGACCATTGTAGAATACTTGAAGTAAGCCACACTGACTTTTTGGGCATGAATTACTGGTCTTTTAAAAATTAAGGCTTATAATCTGGAAAATACGGTAGCAAGAGTACATAACCCCCCAGAGTGTGTAACACCTGGTCCAGCTCTGCATAGGGTCTTGGTCGAGCGTAATCGGATCTTTGCGTCATAATACCGTACACATCTGAGGGGAACCCGGTGAGTCGCGGGTACTCTCAGATCAAAAACAATGGTACCCTGCCTCGAGACCGGCCTTGCGCTGGTGTGGAGTGTACGCATGACATCAGAAGATCCGATTCCGCTCGACCAAGACCCTATGCAGAGCTGGATCAGGCGTTGCACACTCTGGGCCATGGGGGGTTATGTACTCTTGATAACCCTATGCAGAGCTGGATCAGGCGTTGCACACTCTGGGCCATGGTGGGGTTATGTACTCTTGATGGTAGTCGTAACCCATAATTCCATGTTTTCTCTATTTTTGAATTGTGGATATTGTCTACTTTCTTCATGTAGATATACCAAGATTTTGGCTCAAGCCACTACCTGCTATAATCATGCCATACTCTCTTCTGGCAAGGTCAGTTGGTCTTCGTCTAGTCCCACCATCATCAACTGGCAATTCACCAATAACAAGTTATGAAGTCACTTGTAGACCTGATGTGGAGTACAGACCATATGTGAAGGACAGTGTACAGAGGTTTTCAGTGACCAGTGCCACTGTTACTGGTCTTCAACCAGCCACCAAGTACAGTTGCTGGTATCATGTATGGAATGCAGTTGGTCGCAGTGGTCCAAGTCCAATTCTGAAGCTGATCACTCCGGAGTCCCGTAAGTACTCTGTTGTGGCCCTGTCTTTCAGTTTAGTGTCCATCTTTGCATGTTCAACATGATAGAGATTGTGTTTACTAATCCAGTGATAAGAGACTGTGATTTTCTGTGTAAATGATTGATTAATAATTTTGTCTGCTGTATGTGCAGCCCCAGGAAAACCGGAAAATCTCTCTACAGTGTCTAGTTCAGCAGGGCATGTCACCACATACTTCAAGGTAAGACAACAGTGCAGTTTATCACTGAATGAAAATCAATGATCTATACATGGAAGGACGTTGTTTGAAGTTTTATTTTACATCGCAAACCAAACGGGCATTGATGCCCAATATCATGATGGCAATAGAATAAAAACTGTGGCTCGATAAAGCTGTACTTGAGAAAATGAGAAAAACGTCAATAGGAAATATATGTTTAAACTCGTATACTGAGCTAGTAATAAAATGTAAAAAAGAGAAGAAATACATGAGAACGAGTTATGCAGCAACTATCCACAGGGGCGTGCTCGGCCCCCCAACTAGGGGGGTGCACGGGAGCCGAGGGGAGCCCCCCCCCCCGGCAATTTTCTGCAATTTGTTTGCAACCTATTTTAGAGCATATTTGCATACATTACAATTGCAATTACCCAGATTGAAAATTTTGGGGGGTGCACGTGCCCCCCGTGCCCACCGCCAAGCACGCGCCTGATCCACGACTGTAACAAGGGGCTACGTAACCACGAACCTTCCAAGTTGGAAGGCTGTTGGTTTGTGCACTGGAGATGTGTTAGAGCTAGGTCTCGGGTCGCTGAATGTCTCAGTAGCCTGTCAGTTTTGTGCCCTATTATCGCACTTTCTGACTGTTTATCATCTTGTTACTGTCGTGGATAGTTGCTGCATAACTCATTCTCATGGAAATATATGTACCGGTAATTACAAGTCAAGTTCGAACAGAATTAACAATCAGAGAGAAATAGGAAGATGAGGACCTATGCCAGAGGGAGGTACTATTCGGCCATACTAACCGTAGACAAACACTTCCAGCATTCTTTTAAACGGCATTGGACAACGAGCGGACGTGAGTTCCCGTGGCAGGGTGTTCCAAAGCTTCACGGCGGAAACCAATGGGCGGCTGTCGCCAGATGTTTGCCGAGTAAGCGGCACAACGTATTTGCAATTGCCATTGCCACAGGTGTTACTGGGAGGTTGGAGGGTTACTCTATCTTTCAGAAGAGGGCTGATGCTGCTGGTCTGGACATGGTGCATAAGGAAACGGAGTTTGTATTTGGCACGTTCATTTACAGGGGTCAGGGAAAGGCGAGTGTATATAGGAGTGGTATGGGACGGGAAGGACAGATTGGCTACGCAGCGAACACATCGCTTGTCGAGGACAGTGACCTGGTGCCCCTGCTGAGCCGTGAGTGCAGGGAAGAACACGTTTGATCCATAAAGCATGTCAGGAAGAATAAAGGCAGAATAGAAGAGGAGTGAGTGGCGTTCAGATAGCGACGGGCGGATGGTTCTCAGGGTGGTTAGCTTCTGGGAAGTTTTACGTACTATGCTGGAGACCTGCGCGTCCCATTGAAGACAGGAATCGATCTGTAGGCCCAGAAAGCGAGCAGTGGTGGTCTGGGTGAGAGGCATCCCGTTGCATTCAACGTTGAGTTCCAGGGTACTACGGCGTGATGCCTCAATGGCTAAGACCTGCGTCTTGTCGGGGTTTAAAACCAGGCCTTTCCCGTGTAGGTAGTCAGCCAAGTTTGACACAACAACTGACAAGACTTGCTTAAGGGTTGCTATGGATCTGCTTTGTTTGGTTGAGTTGGGTAACTCCGCTCTTCTTCCGCGCTCACCGGAGGAATTTCTCTAGTCTCCTCGCGCAACTGGGGAGCACTCCAATGAAGAGAGAAAGATTTTCATAGAGCGGCTTGCTGTGAGAGGTGGACTGAGACTTGACGGCACTAACGGCGAATAGCAAGACCTTCCGGCCACGGAACTGCGGGACTCTGCGCTGGTGGTCTATCCGTGTGGAGGCAAAGCAAACGCGGGCAACATTCTGCTGAAGCGAGCGTGGAGCTGAAGCTGGATTGGTGACTGGAGTACCTGCTTACTCCACAACACCAGCGCATGATGATGTACATGTACAAGACTTGGTGCGTATTAAACTCAATTTTGTGTTCCGTCAGCGTCAGTGTCAGCAAGTACATGTAGTACAATTTGTTCCCAAAATAACTTCGGGACAGTCTGTTCATGGTTTTCATTTGTATTGGACTCGTTCTCTACACTTGGGATAATTTAGCGGCAATTCTAATGTTGTAGCGCTTTTCTCTTGTAATTTAATGGACCCTGTATTGAGTAACTGAGTTTTGTGTTTCGTTACATTGTCGACAGATCTCCTGTGTACTCATGTCCACTAGTAGTACTGCGCCAGTATGTAGCTGGAGGTCTGCTGACGACAGGTAGCGGTCCATGGCCAGGGTGAAAGCATCTTCCGTGGAGTGTTGTGGCCGGTACGCAAACTGAGTGGCGGTCAAAAGTGAATGGGTTGATAAGAAGTCACACAGGCGTTTGTGGACTATCTTCTCCAAGATCTTCGATGCTATTGGCAGCAAAGATATGGGACGGTAATTGTGAGATGCGTTCTTGTCACCAGACTTAAATAGGGGTCAAACATTTGCAATCTTTAGGGAGACGGGCACGATGCCAGACAAAATTGATGCATTAATTAATATGGATAGCGATGGGGCGAGGGCTGCTGCACAATGCTTCAGGATGAATGCCGGAATACTGTCGCTGCCCTCAGCTTTACGAGCAAAGAGTCTCACGAGGAAGGTGAAGACCTCCTCAACACTAGTGGCCTGGAATTCCCGCAGAGGATCCCGTGGTGACGGACCACAAGGTAGGGATAGCTGCACAGGTCTACTTGGATCTGAGACTACTCCACTGAATTGCTCGCTGAGTGTTGCTATACTGACAGAGGGTGGAATGGAAGTTTTGGTCCGGCCGCTGAGCTGGTTTATTGTTTTCCAAGTCAGGCAGGCACAGTGGGTTGGGCAAAAACCATGATTGAGATACGAGAGGTACCTGCTTCAAGTCCTGCCTGGGAGCGTTTTTTCCAGTCGTGCTGCTACCCACAGTCAACTGGGAACTTGTGGCCAGGCACAAGGGGTACATGGATGCAGCTAATGGGGTCGTTCTCGGCACTTGTGCCAGTGGTTGTGAGACTTATCCACTCACCCCCACCGTTACGCGCTGCATCTGCCGCTAGGGTTTACCGGGTGTTAGCGGCCGTCGTGAGTTCCCTTCGGGAACGGACACGATAATTTACTTTAAGTAAGGCGTGAATTTGCCTGACTCCGTGTGGGAAGATTCTTGTAGTACTCGGCCCTGAGGCGTCGCGACATTCGCTTAGCCTCGGCTCGTGCTGATGTGAATACAGTTCGCAGATCCGTGCCAGTCGGTGAGGCTCGCCAGCAACGATGTGCTGCGTTGCAAAATAGAATAGTGTCGTGGAGGGCAGGTAATTTTCAAGGACAGGGCTTGCGGAGGGAAGCTTTAGGCCGATACGTTCGGACAGGAGCGTGCTCATGCAAAACAGAAACAATCGTGTCAGTCCAAGAATCCCACATGGCATCCACAGTCTAGGCGGTTGAAAAATTCTCCAGGTCGCAATGATGCAAGTCATTAGCGAATCGGTTCGTATCGATCCTTGCTAGGTTACGACCGCACTAGGCAGCAGGAGATTCCACAGTGCACGTGAAAGGTAGGCCAATTCCGACCGCAAAGTGGTCGCTGATGGTACAAGGGAGAACCGTGCAGGAGGTTATTGCTCCATCCGCAGCTAGGGCGAGATCCAGTGTTGTTCTGCTGCCGTGGGGGGCAATGCGGGTAGTGTCCTGCACCTTGTTGCTGATATTGAACTGATCGCAGAAACGATGTAAATTGTCGAGCTGAGGGGCTTGGCGCCGGCTTACGTCGACATTGAAGTCGGGGACGATGGCGTTGACGCCGCTGCTGTGTCTACTGTGTGTCTACTGTGTTGGACAAGTCCTGCCAAAATTGTACTGGCGTACCTGGAGGTCGATACACTCCTCCTAGGAGAATCCGGTTTCGATGACTTCTGATCTGCAGTAGCAAAAGTTCTATGTTGGTGTAGTCACCCACCACTTGTGCTTGAAAGAGATTGTTGACATTGGCTGCTAGGTCACCTCCATGACTGGGACGATCCCTCTGGAAAAGTGCATGGTTAGGTATGCTGAGCAAGCTGTCTACGGTAGAGCTAGATAGAAAGGTTTCCGCCAGTATCATGATGTCAATGTTTTGAGATAGTATGAAATTCGCAACTTCATGCTTTATATTAACCCTTTAAGAGCCGCCCCATACTTGAATGCGTCGTAAACGACGCATTCAAATGCAAAACTTCAAATGATCGTAACTCAGTCCAATCTCGCTCAAATCCAGTGATCAAAATATCCAGGGCGAAGAGAAAACTCTCACCTGTCGGGAGAAACAATCCGCGAAGCGCTGCGAGCTACGGTTCCTGAGATAAATCACTCGTAAGTTGAGCCGCGATCGCGGCAATTTCAAAAGCGCGCAGTGCGACTTTGGTATTGAGAATTTTGAGACTTTTCGTCACGTTGGTTTACTCGAATTTGCACGGGTTTCACTGTTGATATTGTCAAGAGTACACAGCGAAAAAATTGGAACTCCACGATCGAGCAAAATGAAATATCTGGAGCGGGACGCAATTGGACGCATTTGGGGCATTTTTCGTACTGTCGCTGCGATCTAGCGCTGGATAGACGGTGTGCCGGCGATCATGATCGACCTCATTCTCTTCGTCTCGCGGAGACCTTTCCAGGAAGCCCTAGATTGTGAGGATTGAGTGAGTAGAACTGAAGCTATGATCCAAGGAACACGAAAAAATGCAGAATTTTGAAATTTTCCTGTGGCTCTTAAAGGGTTAAGAAGTTAGCACACATTGAGGAACCCTACTCTAAGATTAAGACTAAGGGCATTGTTGCTGTTCGATAAAGGGGATAAATTAGGGGGTGTGGTCTAGAATGACATGGGATCGCATTAGGGTTTAGTCGGGTGTCGGCATTCATGATGTGGCTGAAGCTGAAGCTATCTTATCCAAGACGAATCTCCACTCTCGTGCACGCACCTCCGCGGGCCAGAGGTCTTCCTGCAGGGCTTTGTCGATTTGATGTGCTGGGATCACGACATGTGCGTACGCCAGTCCGAAGTACCGGGATTCTGACACACTGCACTTCATGACTGGCAGGTCTTTTTTCTCGCGCCAACCTACTATGGAATCAGCACTACATCCCATGTGGACATTGTCAAGGTGAATTACACGCCATTTTATCCGAGGGGCTCCACGAAAACTAGCAGGAGCTTTAGGTTTGTGCTGATAGTACGAGGTGACTGTGGACTGGCCTGGTTTGTGTGCCACGTCACGGCTTGTAGTGGTAGTCCTATTTGCCAACGTGCGTGCGGCCCTGAGTCAGATGTGTGTGGGTTGATCACTGATGTGGCCATGGAGGACGTGGACTGGCCTGTTGAGGTACATGTACCCGTGCGTAACTTCCTCGATGAGTGCCGCCACTTCGATCCTCAGGGAATTATTGTCAACAACAGCTTCTTTCATGGCAGCCAATTCCTTGATCAAACTACTCATGATCCCCATCAAAGATTCGCCACCACAACATCTATGGTCATGACACATGCATGAGCACTTACGGTTAGCAGGCAAGTTAGACGAGGCCACATCAATTTGGCATCCAGCAGAGCCGTTTTCGCCAAATAAAGGCATGACCTCAACAGAACCGTTGATACCAGTGCTCGGAGAACCACTTTGGGCAATCGGGGTCGTAGTAGAGCTATCTTCTCCGCTTTCTTTAGACCTGGTTGACATGGGCATGGCGAACCCGTAGAAAACAAGAAAAAATCAGCCAAAAGGTGGAGCCAGAAAATTTGCATCCTACTACTAGTCATTCCACTTTATCCTCTCAGTCAAGAGCATATTATTATTATGTTTCCAGCATAGTATTGTGTTTCTGATAATATTATACATAGCACCATCAAATGTCAAACTGATTGTTTTCTCCCTTAAGCAACCTAGTCATCCACACCACAAAAAAACATGTCCAGGGCCTTGGAATCCATCTCTTCACAGCTTGAAACAGTATAGGAGAATAGCGGCATTTTTAGTTTCTAGTGTGGTATGCAGTAGAAGATCGTGTACAATGCTGATGAGGGGAAAATGCACCAAAATACATCAACCTGTACATAGCTGTCAAGGGAAATTACTTCTCCCACCAAAGACATCTGATATTTAGTATCCAACTGCCAATAATCTCTCTTCCATTTTGATTCATGCATGTTTTTCCTACAGCCAATGTCACCAGCACTTACCCATGGCGTACTCACTGGATATCAAATTACTTTCAATGCCACTGAATGTGTTACACATCAGGACTGCCCATGTCAGCAATACAACTGCTCTCTACACGGATCTGCATTATTTCATGAAAGTAAGTTTCTATCAGTGCATCTTCTTGACTCTCTCCACTAACATGGGCAGCTTGACAGTCTCGACCTTTCTGGTGACGTACCAACTCACCGCAGTGTACAGAAAATACGATACTGGCATTACCTGTTATATCATGATATCAATGATTTGTATCTTGTTATTCCAGGTTGGGTCAGCAACTCAATCTCCTTGTCTGGTCTGAGATACTTCACAATGTACCAAATATCAGTTGCAGCTATCAATAGAGCTGGTGTTGGACAGAAGGCTTGGATCAACTTCACCCCTAAGGAATTTGGTGAGTCGTAATTCGGATTAATCAGGGTTTTTATCATTTGTATTGAATTTTTGGAAGGTGCAGTCGCCTTATCATATGTTGTCCCTCGCTCATTAGAAATATGGCTGTTGGTCGCCCTTCCCGTTGGCTGAGTTCTTTTCTGCGAGAATAATGTAACAAATTGTGCCGTGGTCCCGGTGCAAGCACATTCATGCTATCAAGCTTCAGTACGTCTTTTTTTCCTCTTACGGTGCCCAGTGGCGGGTCGGGGAGGGATGGGGGGGGGGGGGGATGAGTCTTGGGAACAGTTCGTTGTCAGCTTTGCTTGGATTTGTCATTGTGCTGATGCTGTTTATGTTCTTTCTGTTTTTGTGTTGTTTTGCATTTAAAAAATCCTAGTTTTAGGCAAAACACACTTGCAATGTGGCTGACATACATGTAGGTGTAGACTCTGCAACATTGTATTTATCCGAAGCTTTAGTCAGTCGAGTACAGTTTTGCCATCCTCTAATTCTGCATGGCATGCCAACACAGAGAGGAATTTTGTAATGAATATGCATGTCGCTCTGTAAGCATGTAGCATTTTGTTATTTGTATCGAAAATGTAACACAAATTTTGTTCTATTGTTGCTTGCATTGTACACAGCACCAGGTCCTGTAAATCGTGTGGTTGCCATGGTAATATCCAGCTCTGCAGTGCAGACAAAGTGGGAAGCACCTGGCATATCTAATGGTAGGTACTCTATACATGTAGTATGTGTACTTTTAAACATGTTCAAATACATGTACTTATACATTTACATGAAACCACAATCGACGCATGGACCATCTGCTGACCCCGATACCTCTCAAAGGGGGATGTACAGTCTATCGGTAGTCAAGGTAGTTTGTTTTTCGCCGTTGTCATTTTTGGTGCTCCTCCTTTTCACACGCAGATGAACGCACCCACAAACACGCACACACCCACAAACACGCACACACACACACACACACGCACACACACACACACACACACACATACATACACGTACACACACGCACACACACACTTGTACTTGTACTTGTTGCTCACTGCCAAAACTGTTCACGTGGGTCTCCCCGGGAGAAGGGAGAGAGACTCAAAAGGAATCTTGGAAAGATGACTTAATTGGCTGTTGAACCGCCCAATGGCCGACACCCCCTGAAATCCCCAAAACTCTGGGTGGACTTGAAAATGATCCCACTTATGGGCTCACCACACCTCAGTAAGTGGGTGAGGACAAGGTGCAGAAAAAGGATTGATGGCATCAGGGTATCTGTCCTGGGATCCAACTGCAGTTACTCCTGCCCCCAGTGAAGGTAATACTTGCTACAAGTGTGGGTGGCGCACACACACACACACACACACACACACACACACACACACACAAACACACAAACATAAACACACACACACATTGCTGATCGCAGCTTCTGTGTCTAGTGGTAATCCTTGGTTGGAAATTCTTGGATTAGCCCGCACTTGAGGAATGTTGCAACCTGATTAAAATCACTTTTAAGTTAATTTAATCAGGTTGCAACATTCCTACGTTAAAACGTAAGTGTTGGCACAAAACTAAGGTACTTGTGGATGCTACCAGCTGTCAAGGCGTGCCAGCATTGTTCATTTTTAGTCTGGTGATTGTAGCAGGCAGTCTTAGGCTGTTAAGGTAAAACTTACCTTTGATAGCCAGTCCACTACCCTCTCTTCTCTAGCACAATCACAGGTAAAATTTAGCACGTAGGGAGAACCTTTGACATCTTAGAGTTATTTCAAAATGGTACCAAGTTTCCATGGGTTTTATATAATAAATATACCAATATGAAATTGCCATCCATTTTATAAAAATATTCCGAAAGTTTTGATTTCTATCTTAATGATTGTGTTGATATTTTGTCGCGCGGTCATTCTGATCATCATTTGAAAATGTAGAAATCTGTGTATACTCTCACACAGCAGCCTAACCGCTGTAGGATGAAGCAGAACATTGCACTGCCGTGTTTGATCAGGGCACACCTTGTTCCTCTTGGTAGTGTCTGAATATATTGTGCTGCTTTTTCCCGTTATGTCTTTTGCTGTTCTTCAAAACATTTCGCCGGCTCACACTTTGTTGCTGGTTTGACACCTGTAGTAGCTTTATCTTTTGCTTATGTGGGCTGCTTAATTCATTCTCTAGACTCATCTACCACAAACAGTCACTGATCACTTCTTCTTTCCGGCTAGAATTTTGAAAATGTGCTACATGTACCATTGTTTCTTCTCCTCTCTTTTGACCAGGCAATATCCTGTACTATACACTGGAGTATAGTATGGTGAATTCTCAGTCATCTGTGCAGAGAGTCAAGGTCAATATCAGTACAGCAATGTTACAATACAACATCACTGGACTACTGAACAACAGTGATGTTCTGATTACAGTGTTTGCTGTCAACTCTGCTGGTCCTGGACCTGGTGTCACTACACGTGTTAGCACCGCAGACCATGCTGAAGACTACGTAGAGAAGAGTCCATCCTCCAGCCCACCATCTCAAACTAAAGTCTACTGCAGTGCTCCAACAGATATTAATTGGACTGCATTTGTTGGAAGTTCATTCAGTCCTCAAACCATCATAATGTTGAGCCAAAACTTCTCTGATGGGAGGTCCGTGAATGTGACATGCAAGGATGGATTGTATGTATCAGGGAATCAATCACAGCAGCATCAAGTCATCAAATGTCAAGACAATGGAACATGGAGTGACGAATTTGTAGCATGCTCAGGTAAGTATTATGTCTGCCATCCTTGTAAGTCGTTCTGACAGTGGCCAAAAACTTCACAATTTTTAATTTCAACGCATATGGCTTATTGGTTTGCAGGCTTGCCTGCGAATCATGACATGAGGTCCCGTTGAATAAGCGGTCACATGTTCATGTCTACACCAGCCACATGGTCACCTTGCCTGCAGGCTGCAACCTACAGTCTGTTTGTGCCCTTTCCTGTCACTTGAGTTGAACCATGTTGTGAAAACTATAGCCTGCAGGCACGGTGATCAGGTGACTGGTGTAAGCATGACCGCTTATTAAACCATGTTCCTTTGGAAATAAGGGCCGAATACTGCATCGCAGCCTCAAAACCAGTTGTCTCCGCGTGCAGAAGACTAGAAGACATGGGCCAATCGTGCTCATCCGTTCTTTTATAAGAAAGAAATGGCGCTTTTAGTGACATTTTGCTTACACATCCCCATCTAGTAGGGTACAAGTTCGATTGGGAATAAAAGAGGAAGGGAGCGTCTGAGCTCCCTCGGATCAAGACCATTGTACTCAGCACCCTGAAGACTACAACTGGTGAAAAATTGATTTTAGAGTATACTTCCCCTTTAAGCTGACACAGCAGACTTTCGTGGTCCACTCCCTGTACATTCCTGGATGCATAGCATGATCACTGTGATGAGGGGTAAACTTGTTGCTGCATTAAGTGAAGTTCAAGTTGATTGTTTGGGTCATTTAAAAATGTTAGTGGATAAGCTGAGAAATTCTAGTGTGCGTTGCTGTGTTTGCATTAGGACCAGCAGATGCGCAAACGGCACAGATGCGAGGATTTGACGGATCCAAGTCGTCCTCCAATATTGTACCATCATCCATTCTAGGAGGTACAACAGTCATCCTCCTAGTGATCATTCTGCTGTTTCTGGTCATACCATGTATCAAGAGGCATGCACGGAACACCTGCACGTCTGTCCGAGGATGATACAAATGTTTTTGAATGGATGTGAGTGGTGTGTACATTGTAGGTTGATATTAAGCCTACAGTAAAAGGATTTTTTGTCTTATAGACTACTTTAATACACTACAACAGATCAATCTGGGTTTCACCCAAGTACCGTATTTTCCGGGGTGTGTTAGCCGCACTTTCAAATGCCTAAAAAGGAAAAAAATCGCCACTGCGACTTAGACTCCGAATGCTGGCCATGGATCAACCAGTGATACAACGTGACATGCATAAACTGGATGTATATGTCATTCGATTACTTTTTATGTATTTATCATGCGCAGAAATCCATCGTTGTAGCTGTATGATGCTTGTATGTTATCAGTTCAGAGTGAGGGACAAACAAAGATACTTTTGTGGAACTTCGTGTTTCTAAACATTTTTTTCAATTTTAACCATTGGTAATGGTATTGCATGTACCAGTACCCTTCAAGTTTGGATGGCCAAATTTCAAAATCTGAGCGGTTTATGCTCCGAATGTCAACATTAGATACGGATGTTGGGCCCGGAAAAGGGGTGCAGCTTACATCCCGGTGTGGCTAACACCTCGGAAAATACGGTATCTCTTCATCTGCATGTGTTTGGATCTTTTTGGCTCTGCCCTCGTGGCATTGAGAACCTTTGCAAGAGTTTAGCAATGTAGCTTGTGCTGTCCGCTCCCGTGGTGGTTGAGAGCTGTCCTTACTGCCTTGCATGTGATGAATAATACTTAATGTTTATTGTTTGTCTCACTATGTAGTTGACGCCACTATTGGTATGAATGGTATCTTAGGTGCTATTTTGCCACTGCTCAGACCGCGAAAGTGCTGGATATAAGGACTTGCTTGCTTCCATATTCATCACCATTGTATTTGACTTGAAAGCAATGGTACGGAAGGCCTAGTCAAAACTATAATTATGACTGCTGTGCTTCGTGTGCTGGAAGGTAGCAATAATAGGACACGGTTGATGTCATGTTAGAACTGCTCTTATACAGTAAAACCTGGTGTAAGCGACCTCTGGGTTTAGCGACCACCTGCTCTTAACGACTGTTTCTCCATGCACCGACAGTTCTACACAGACACTGTGGGACCTGGTTCTAAAAACCATCGCTTTTGCTTGCACCGTGGGGTGGTCGCTTAAACCAGGATTTACTGTAGATCATGATAGCGTCAGCGAACATCAGCGTTGGAGACGAACACTGCATCGCCCTCCTTGTGTAGAATGAGATAGGTACATGCCCCTAGACACTGCCCTGTGGGACGGCACATGTGCAGCTTGTTGTACCAGAGACTTTCCCGTTGGCTAAGGCCACTCTGTGGTGTCTGCTACTGAAGTAATCCACGAACCAATCGAGTGTAACGGAGGCGATGCCATTATTGTGGAATTCCTTCACCATGGCCCTCTATGGCCGGGAGAAGGCTATCAACCGTAATGTTGATGGCGTCCTCCCTGGAGTGATGAGGACGGAATGAAAACTGGGTGTCGGGAAGTAGATGTTCCGCGTAGTTATACTGGCAGACCATGGTAGAATGTGGTGCGGCATACTCCATCAAAATGGTAGCCTAGGTACGTGAAGTCATGCATTACCCACACACATGTGCCGAGTGTATCACTCAGAACACAAGCTAGAAGATAATAATGTGGCCGCATAGGTGGGGTTATAGCAGGTCCTAGCCCTTGTTGTTGTTGATTTCCGTGGATAGCACCCTGATGTTGATGGCCTCTCAGGTCCTCCTCCTGTGGCGGTCACGCTCAGAACCAAGAACTTGGATACCCGAGAAGGCTGGTGCTCCCAATGGTAATGTCTCTGATGAATGCACATTCTACCATGGTCTACATAATCTTTCTTACTCAGTTACCTACAGCATCATGCATGGGATGTTAGGATTCTGACCTGTGCGTTCTGCCCGCATTAATATCACTGTTATTAAATTTTACTGCGAGTGGCGCGGGGGTTCTACACACCTCACTGGAGGTGTGAGACTGGAGTTGTGCTTGTATCACTGCTGTAGTGCAATATCTACTTTCCTCACCGTTTGCGTCTGTGTCTACATGTACGTGTAGTAATGCACCCGCCACGACATGCTTTGCGCTTTTCTACGCGACTTTTCGACTTTCAAAGAAATTTTCTCTCCAATTGAAAAAAAGGATAGATGAGAAGAAAGAAGGTTCAACATGCTGGAATCGAACCTGAACAAGATTCCCAAGCACCTATCTTGACCACCCAGCCACCAGGGTGTTGATGCTGAAGTTGGTTGAAAGATTGATCTTACATGTAGGTCTGTAACACGCAATGCAGCCCATACATATACATGTAATACTAGTACTACATGTATGTGTATGGGCAGCATTGCGTGTTACAGGTGAGTTTGCTGCACGTTATCATGCCAAAATTACAAAAATGTTAAACTTTTAAAATGTTTAACATTTTTGTAATTTTGGCATGATAACGGGCATGCCGGCAGCAAACTCTACGGACTCTGAAATTTAAATTTTTCACCGGACTTCCCCTGTATGCGCATCTTTACACAGACATCTCAAACCGGGTTCCCGATACCGTTTCTTCAAAATAACGATTAGCGCTTGCACCCGAATGCTTCAGAGCAGTGTATAGGAAATGGGAGAGCCAAGTGACTACATGCAATGGAAAGTCACAGAGCAAAGCTGCATGCATACCCACGTATTCTCACAACACCGTACAAGGATGATTGGGGTACACCAGTGTGCTGGTTTCGATCAACTGGTGAAGCGATTGGCGTTGCAAACAGCCAAAGTGATCGCTCACGACTGAGCTGCAGCAGTACCCGCGACCGGGTGCAAAGTTCCCTGATCGACGTTGCAAACAGCCAACCAGGGTGAAGCAGTTGGCGTTGCAAACGGCCAAAGCAATCGCTCATGCTTGAGCGGCAATAGTACCCGCGACCGGGTGCAATGACTACTGATTGGCGTCGCAAACAGCCGACCAATAGTATGCAATTTTAAGCAGAGATAGTAGCAGCAAAGCAACCAGTTGAAGGAAGCTGTTCCCACCTATATAATGTGGGAATGGGAGGGTGGGTGGCAAACAAATTCCGGTTGCTGCTCAGTGACACTGCAAAGGAAAGCGCAAGCCAAAGTCAGCGCAGCAAGAGCTACCCAAGGCGATTTGGGCGCGCATGCGCAGCAGTTGAGTGCACGTGTAAAGCCAGCTCAGTCGCAGCTAGCTAGCATGAGATAGATAGCAGCGCATCGGTCTTATCGCTAACTAGGGTTAGCCCAAAAGCTAACCCAACATTTAGCGCTTGCACCCGAATGCTTCAGAGCAGTGTATAGGAAATGGGAGAGCCAAGTGACTACATGCAATGGAAAGTCACAGAGCAAAGCTGCATGCATACTCATGTATTCTCACAACACCGCACAAGGATGATTGGGGTACACCAGTGTGCTGGTTTCGATCAACTGGTGAAGCGATTGGCGTTGCAAACAGCCAAAGTGATCGCTCACGACTGAGCTGCAGCAGTACCCGCGACCGGGTGCAAAGTTCCCTGATCGACGTTGCAAACAGCCAACCAGGGTGAAGCAGTTGGCGTTGCAAACGGCCAAAGCAATCGCTCATGCTTGAGCGGCAATAGTACCCGCGACCGGGTGCAATGACTACTGATTGGCGTCGCAAACAGCCGACCAATAGTATGCAATTTTAAGCAGAGATAGTAGCAGCAAAGCAACCAGTTGAAGGAAGCTGTTCCCAGAAAACCAGCACACGGCACCCCAGCAAGCGTTCACCACCAATGCACGAGAGCTAAGAACAAGTGATTAAGGCACGAGATGGATAAAGGTAGGCATGCAGATGGATGAAATCCAACGCAGGTTCTCAATACGGCAATTTAGCAATGACAATCGGTACCTGTATGTCAAGGCTATATTACATCGACTGGAATGGCAGCACTGCTCGGTCTGGTTGTGCTTGAGCAGCTGGGGCGAGACATCGGAATTCCTCCATGCGGAAACGAGACAGCGAATCGGCAATGCAGTTAGACTGGCCAGCAATGTGAGCAGCAGTGACGGTGAAATTGAAGCGGGCGCACACAAAGAACAGCTCTCTGATCAGGGTCATCACTGGCGGTGACTTGGATGTGCCGGAGCGGATGCAATCTACCACAGCCTTGTTGTCACAGTGCATTGTGATACGAAGCTGGCGCCATTCCTTGGCCCACGTGCAGCACGCTGTGGCCAACGCGTAGAGCTCCTTCCACTCAATGCTGTGAGTGAGTTGCTCAGGCGACCAGGTCCCTTGAAGCCAGCGGCCGCTGTTGAATGCGCCCCAGCCCAGGGTGCCACTGGCATCAGTGAACAGCTTCAAGTCTGGAGATGGTGTCCAATCTGGGAACAGGAAGAATGATTTTCCGTTCCATTGTTCCAGGAGCCGTAGCCACCATTGGATATCTTCCTGGCACTCGGTAGTCAGACTGATGCGGTAGTGAAGCTGCTGGTAGCGACTGCAAATAGACCACAGGCGCCGCATAAATGTCCGGCCGGGTACGATGACTCTTGCAGCGAAGGGGAGTTTCCCCAGAAGAGATTCGAGTTCGCGCTGAGACATGGTGGGGTTGATGCTCGCTGCAGTCAACAGGCGCTTGATGTCGGCCAATTTGTCGTCAGGGAGCCGGGCTTCCATCTTCTCACAATCCAGGATAATGCCCAGGAATGTCAGGGTACGAGACGGGCCTTCCACCTTTGCAGGCGCGAGCGGGACTCCGAGGTATGAGAATGCACGGAGAAGAATGGCCAGCTGCCGATTCGCCACTGCCTGGCCCACGCTCACGCACAAGTAGTCGTCCAGGAAATGCAGCAAATTAGGGATGGAGAATTCGTGGTGCATTATCCATTCGATGGTGGCTGCCACTGCATCAACTACCGCCGGGCTAGAGCGGAGCCCAAATGGCAAGACACGGTCGTAGTAGTACTTCCCCTGCCACAGGATGCCGAGGAGATGCCAATCCTGTGGGCGGACAGGTATTTGACGAAAAGCACTCTTCACATCGAGTTTAGAGAGATAGACAGGAGACGGGGAGGACATAATGATGTTAATGGCTTCATCAATGCTGATGTACTGCAAAGAGAAAGGCTCGGCAGGGATCCCGTCGTTAACGCTGGAGCCGGCAGGGCTGGACAGGTGGTGTATCAAGCGTAGCTTGCCATTCTTTTTCGGAACAGCGCCAATGCCAGAGCAGTACATAAATGGGAATGGGGGAGAGTCAAATGGGCCAGCCGTGTAGCTGGCGTTGCAGGAAGCGGTGAGCTGTGCAGACACAAATGCAGAGTGCTGGAATGCTGATGAGAGGTTGGACGAGTGCTGGTTAGTTATGCGGTTGCCGGTAAAGCCAATGTCAAAGCCGCAGCGGAGGCCGTTAATAACATACGAAGCCAATGAACTGTCAGGGTGGTTACGGAGCAGTGATTCAAAGCGAGAAACAGAGAGGGGTGTGTGGACAGCAGGACATGCGCTTGTGAAATCAGTAGAACGTGAAGTGCAGGGAGAAATATGTACAATCGCGGGAGCTGCAGCCAAAGCAGCAGAGTTACTGGCGCCTACCGCACTTAGATCCGTTGTGGTCCTTGGACCCGCAGCGGTTGCAGACATGGGCGTACTTGCACGTGCTGAGACTGCAACGCCCAGCGTTGAAGTTCCGGCAGATCGGTTGGCCATTAGACACCGTACGG